AATCGTGTAAAAATCCTGACCTTGATCACAGCCCCTCTCGAAAGCTTTCTTTAGCGATCACTTTATTCAGACAGTATCTTTTTTTTGTTAAGTTCAGGAGCAGGTCAGGGCTGACTTTTTAACTTATCTTGGAATGTTGCTCCCAAAACGTCTCTATTAAAAATCCTCCAGGAGCCGGAAACCCCCCTTCCCTGTTCAGTATCGGGCCCCTCTCCTGTATCGGGCCCCTCTCCTGGCCCTCACGACCTTCCTGGGGTGCCTGTGACCCTCGTTTGTCTGCCCTGCACAGACCCTGCTGGTGAGGGGCTTGGTCTCTGTGTCCCAGGGCTTCTGCCCAGCCCACCACACAACCCCAGGCCCGGGCCCGGCCTGTATTCCTGGAGGTCCTGGGGCCCAGCAGTGCCTCTCTTTAGGATCTGATCATCTTCCCCGATGACTGTGAGTTCAAGCGCGTGCCACAGTGCCCCAGCGGGAGGGTCTACGTGCTCAAGTTTAAGGCAGGGTCCAAACGACTCTTCTTCTGGATGCAGGTATGCAGGTTTTGTTTACTTTTTCTCTTATAATCTTGTCATAAAATTAGGTTAGAAATTTGCTCATTGGGCCTTTGGGTTTCTGTCGGGTTTTTGTAGTCCCCCCCCCCACCAAAACCCCTTCATATATAAGTTGTATTCCACGAAGGCAGGTATTAGGTCTGTTTTCTAATTCTATTCAGTGTATAAAATAGTGGATTTGCCTGGTAGCACAGGTGCTAAAGAATCTGCTTGTAATGTAGGAGACCCAGGCTCAATGCCTCGCGTATAGTAGGTACACAGAAAATATTGTTGTTTGACTGACCTATGTTACTTTATTTTCAAACACAATTTTTGAAAAGTGCCAGCTTATCAGAATTAGCTGTTCTGATGATAGAATTTGCTTTCACTTATCAGCTGGTGCTGAACCTGCTTGCCATGGAACCTAAGGATTCAAGAGTGTCACTGTGAGGGGCGGGTAGGGTGAGGGAGGGGGATGTTGTAGCGGACTCTGCCAGAGTCCAGAGTGTGTAGCTTGGCTTTGGGGGTCCTTTTGAGGCTGGAAATCCCTGGGTCACTGACAGGAGTGATTTCTGGGCTGGGTGCTATCTCTGCCTGGGGTTTGCTTGTCTCCCAGTGTCCCCTCCAGGGTCATGAGAAGCCCAGACCGGAAGCCAGGGTGAACCCTGTGTGGTGACCCTGTCTTGTGTCTTCCCCTTGGTGTGCTCTGGGGGTCTCTGGGTGGCAGTGCACCAGTCATGGGTGCTCTGACTCGAAGTTCTGAGGGTGCCCTCAGGGTGATACTGCCTGATGATCCCCTGCATGCCCAAGTGCTCATTGTCAGCACCCAGCTAACTCTGGAGGGCTGCAGGCCAGGGCTGGTTGGTGACAGTGGTGTGATTACAGGGTTATTTTACAGCATTACATGCATTGAAGGATTTGAGGTTTTATTTTATTTTTTATTTTTAAAAAAACTTTGACTTGAAGTTTGAAACAGCAAAATTCTGTAAAGCAATTATCCTTCAATAAAAAATTAATGGAAAAAAAGTTTGACAGCCATTTTTAAAGTCTGTATTGAATTTGTTACAATATTGCTCCTGTTTTATATTTTGTTTTTTGGCCCCGAGGCATGTGGGATCTTAGGTCCCTGACTAGGTCTTGAACCCTCACCCCCTGCAGTGGAAGGTGAAGTCCTAACCACTGGACCACCAGGGACATCCAGGATTTGTGGTTTAAGACAGTCACATAGCCTCATCCTGGAGGATCGGGTTATTTGTGTGCCAAGTGCTCCTAGCATGTCAGTCTCCCCACCTGTAAGATGGGTGGGCTGCTCAGCTGCGCCTGTTGCTGTGTCCTCCCCATAGGAGCCCAAGACGGACCAGGATGAGGAGCACTGCCGGAAAGTCAACGAGTATCTGAACAACCCGCCGATGCCCGGAGCCCTGGGGGCGAGTGGGAGCGGAGGCCACGAGCTGTCTGCGCTGGGCGGTAATGGTCACCTTCCCGGATGTGCTGTGAGGTTGGAGTCGGTTTCCGCTGACGTGGACCCTGGGTGGTGCGGGCCGGTGGCTAAGCAGAGGTGGAGGATCCAGGTTAGGAGCCCCGTGGGGCGGTTCTGGAGTTGGTCCTTGCTCTTGTCTTCAGTTGGTGACCTGTCTGTGAGCCCTATTGCGCTGGCTCCTGGCAGGAGATAGTGCACAGCTCAGGGGCAGCTGAGATGGGGGCCGCCCCCAGGACCCTGGTGGCGGCGGAGGGGTGGGGGCAGACCCAGCTGGAGGCCCCTGGCCGCCGCAGCCCCGATCTGAGCACCTTTTGTCCTGCAGGGGAGGGTGGCCTGCAGAGCCTGCTGGGGAACATGAGCCACAGCCAGCTCATGCAGCTCATCGGACCTGCCGGCCTCGGAGGACTGGGTAACGTGCTGAGGGCTTGGGAGCTTCTTAGTAACAGAGTCAGGCAGCTTGCAGCTTCTAATCAGCTCTGTCAGAGCCATGTCTGTGTGCTGGCTTCCCTGGGCAGGGGCGTGGTTTGCCTTAGGGTTTGACCTGGCACCAGGCGGGCAAGGCCTTCCAGGGCCCCCAGGGAGGACACAGTTTCATACTAAAGGGGAGCACAGCTGGCTGAGGAGCAGGGCCTAAGAACATGCGACAGGGATCCTGCCTGGGCCCACTGGTCTCCCAGGTTGGCCTGTCTGTTGGGGAAATGCTTGTTACTTTGTACTGAATTTGGACTCTGTCTTGAGCCTGGGTGCATTGGTAGTGTCATGGGATGGAGAAGCGATAGACTTAGTGTATTAAGCTGCCAGAACACGCCTGAGGAGTCCTGGCCCTGGGCCCCCGCAGACAGGCCCTCTCTGCTCCTTTCCCTGCTTGTCCCTGGGCTGTGGTGCTGGGTGGGTCTGCTCTGTGGTGGGGGAGGGGACCTCCGGCCAGGCGTGAGTTTTGAACTGTGTGTCCTTGCTCCTTGCAGGTGGCCTGGGGGCCCTGACCGGGCCAGGTCTGGCCAGCTTACTGGGGAGCGGAGGGCCTCCGGCAAGCAGCTCTTCATCCAGGTGAGCCTCACCCCTGGCTCTCTGGTGTCACCAGGTGTTGCCTCCTTCACAGAGGCTGGACATACGAGATGCTGAAGCACAGAGTAGGCACCTGTCCTTTTCATGGTTCAGACTTCTCCCAGAGATCTGGCAGCACAAGGAGGTCTGGGGCAGGACGGATGTGTTGTGGTACCTTTGTGGGCATGTCACCCTCCAGTGTTCCCTCGCTCTCCCCAGCTCCCGGAGCCAGTCAGCAGCGGTCACCCCGTCCTCCACCACCTCCTCCACTCGAGCCACCCCAGCCCCTTCCGCTCCAGCAGCTGCCTCAGCGACCAGCCCAAGCCCCGCGCCAAGCTCAGGTGACGGAGCCAGCACAGCAGCCAGCCCCGCCCAGCCCATCCAGCTCAGTGACCTGCAGAGCATCCTGGCCACCATGAGTGTGCCGGCCGGGCCGGGAAGCGGCCAACAAGGTAACTCTGAGCCTCTGCCCCTGCCTCTCTCACCTCACCTCACCACACCACGCCCGGAAGTTCCACAATTGAGTCTGTCACTGTCCTCCTACGTGGGCATCCTGGCTGGCTTCTAGCCACTGACGGCCATTGCTTGTGCCCTAGTTGACCTAGCCAGCGTGCTGACACCGGAGATCATGGCCCCCATCCTTGCCAATGCGGATGTCCAGGAACGCCTGCTGCCCTACCTGCCATCAGGGGAGTCCCTGCCACAGACTGCGGAGGAGATCCAGAACACGCTGACCTCACCCCAGTTCCAGCAGGTAGACAAATGGCCCAGGTGTCCTGCGGGAAGCTTGGTGTAGGGGACACTGCCGCCTGCAGCACGGCCCCTGGCACCAAGTGTCTTGGTTCCTGCGGTCCCCTTCAGCTCTCTCATGGACTCAGGTGCCTGGCTCTTCCCACAGGCCCTCGGCATGTTCAGTGCGGCCTTGGCCTCGGGGCAGCTGGGCCCCCTCATGTGCCAGTTTGGGCTGCCTGCGGAGGCTGTGGAGGCCGCCAACAAGGGTGGTAAGTATCTGCGCCCCCACCCCTCGGCCACAGATGAGACCTTGTAGTTGAAAAGAAAGGCTTCCCTCGTATGCGGAGGATGCCTAGTCCTATGACCCTGGCCTCCGTCTGGCTTTCACCTCCCATCCCCCGGTCAGAAGTGCTGGGCTTGGGGCTGGAAAGGTCACGTCAGGCTTTTTAATGTGTTTTAGACGTGGAAGCATTTGCCAAAGCCATGCAGAACAGCGCCAGCCCTGAGCAGCAGGAGGGCGACGGGAAGGACAAGAAGGATGAAGAAGAGGACATGAGCCTGGATTAGGTTGCCTGCGGCCACGAGGGCTGAACCCCCAGGTCATTTGGCCTCAGTAGTGGCATTTGTGATCGCACCCTCTCACCTCTGCCCCAATGTGCTAATCAGTAAAAGTCTTTTCTTTTATCTGCCAACTCTGGATTGTCTGCGTGCCAGGGTGGGCTGACGGGAGTTGGGTGCAAGAAGCTCCTCTGGGCCTGGGTTCTGACTCTGAGGGACAGTTGTGCTGGGCTTGGGCCTCCAGACCCACTGGGCTGCTGCTTTTTTTCTACATTTAAATTCAACACTCAGTTACACAGGTTACTTTTTAATTTTTGTTTCAAGAAGCAGGGGGACCAGTGATTTACAGCTTTCCTATTACTGAATATTGGTGGAAGGGAAATTTCATAATTAAATTGAAAGATAAAACAAACCCCCATTTTACAGTGTTATTTACCCTTTCCTTTAGGAAGTCAGACATAACTTAAAAACCACTCCCAGAAATAAGACTTTATTACCCATAGAATCTGGAGTCTAGATAAATACACACAGACTTCATCTAAGAAGCTGGCTGAGGTTGGTGGTATCTGCGCGTTGGGTGGAGGGGCTGGGGGCTCGACCCTGCCTGATGGGGCAGACCACCTGTGGGCTCCAGAGGACCCCCTCATGCGGCTGTGCTACGTGGCTGGGCAGCCGCTGGCCCCCACTGCCCTCTGCACGCCTGCAGTACGAGGCCAGGTGACCAACACCTGGTTGAGCACCAGATTCCGCATGCAGCCGTTGTAGGGAGGCCTTTTCCAGGGTTCTGAGGGAGGGGAGGAGAGGGCCCGGTTGGAGCAGAGGCTGGTGTCTCATCAGGCCTGGGCTCCCCACTCTCAACCTCAGCACCTGGTGCCCAGGGCAGCCTTCCCCCTCCCCCTGCCCCCAGGCTGAGGCTGCACTCACCTGGCAGGCCCCCGAGATGCAGTGGCACCAGGGTGTTGGCCCAGGTGGCCGGCGCTGGGCCCAGGGTGTGGTTGCTCTGCTGGTCCACCTCCAGCCGGAGCACGTTCCCGCCTTTGGTTACTGCAAGCACGGCTTCCTTGTGGCTGGGCCAGGACGACTCTCCCAAGCCGCAGGGCCAGGGGCTGTTCACCCTGTTTCTTTGGCTTTAAGTCCCTGCCACCCTCCCCACTGGGGGCCTGTGGCTGACCCCTGCCGAGTCCCTCCAGGCTCGTCTCTGCAGCAGGTGGGGTCAGGAGTGTCCCCAACCTCCCGCTGGGAAAGGCCCCGGCTCACCTGCCAGTCGGTGCCAGTACCCGTCACACAGTGCTGTGGGGCGTGTCACCAGCGTGGAGAACTCACCAGCGCCATCGTTGGCCCACAGCAGGACCTGGGGGTGTGAGAGGTCAGGGGGGCCCTGCCTGCCCCGATCCCACCATGAGGCTGCGGCTCAAACCTGTCTTACCTGCTTCCCCAGCACCTGCAGCTCTAGGTACGGGGGCGTCTGGCCCCACCCCAAGTGGAAGACCAGGCCGGTGGCTGTCTGGGGCCGCACCTCCAGCTCCAGGGCCACATCGGGCAGTGTGGCCCCCAGGGTGTCTGCAAGGAGGGGCGGTGAGAGAGAGGGAGGGCTTCAGCCCCAGGCCCCGCCCTTTCTGGCTGTCACTCTTCTGCCCCTCGGCCACCCAAGAGACCTGGGAGGGCACGGGTCAGGGACAGACCTAGAGTGATAGCTCCCCCGCTGCCTGTGAAGAACAGGCCCTTCTCCAGGGGCCCTGAAACGCAGGGTGTGACCCCCACCATCCGCGTGGGGGCCCCCAGGAGCCGCCCATCCAGCCTCAGCCTCTTCACACAACCCCTGAACCCAGGTCTGCTGATGGCCACCTGTGGGAACACAAGAGAGTGGGCTGGGGTCAGGTCCCTGGGGTGCTGAGGAAGGTGGACAGCATCTGGCTGGGGAGGGGCGGGAGGCTGGGCAAGATGGTACTCACTGGGAGCCTGGGGCTGTGGCCACCGGCAGGAAGGCCCCCCACAAAGAGTGTGTGTGGTCGGGGGCCCTGCTGCCCCTGGTGCTGCCGGCCTGGCCCCTCCTGGCTCTGGGCCCAGACCCCGTCTGTCACCAGCTGGATCCGACTTCTTTCCCAGCGCACAGACACCTGGGGGTGGGGAGAGGTACATCAGGGTGGGAGCTCCCGGATGCCCCTGGACCCGCTGCCCCATGTTCCCTCTCCTAGTCCCTCACCGTATGCCACTGGCCAGTGCGTGAACGCTGGCGGCTCTGGACTCGGAGCTGGGGCCCAGGGCCTTCGGTCTGAGCTACAAAGCGTCTGTGGTTCAGGAAGAGAAGCAGGGAGGGGCTGCTGGCTGTCTGGGGGACAGCGAGGAGCAGGAACCCTCGCGGGGCATGTGGGCGGACGAGCATGGAGAGCTGTGACCTGGAAGCCAAGCAAGGGCATCAGCCTTGTGCCCTATCTCCACCCCACCGTGGCACCCCCCACCCTGATCCCCACCCAGGCTTACCAGTCACTGGGGGAGGCCGGGACATGTGCAAACTCCAGGTAACTGGTCAGGGGACCCCCAAACTGGTAGGCGTCTCGGATGGTCCTGAGGGACCCAGGTGGTGAGCAGGCAGAGTCCTGGGCAGGCTGCCGGCTTCGGCGGGCAGCCTGGGGGGTTTAGATGGGGATGCGGGGACATGAGGAGGCGGCCTTCTGCCCACCCCAGCCCCGCCGCCCACACCCCTCCTGTACCCCACCTTCCGAGACACGGTGGCCCGCAGCCCTTGTGGGACGTGCTCCAGGAGCTGGGGGCGAGGGGCTGGGGTGCAGCCTGAGCTCACATTGAAGCCGCCCAGGTTCTCCTGCAGGTCAAATACACGCTGAGGCCCCAGGAGCCTGCGGAGGGCAGGGGGTGCAGGTCAGTGGCTGAGGCCAAGTCAGCAAGTTCTTGCCAGCAAACACCGCCCCCCGCCCCCACGCCCACTCAGCTCACCGCAGGACAAAAACATTGCTAATGCAGCCACTGAAGTTACGAACGTCATCGGCCTTGGGTGAGCCCCCCAGGAGGAGCTGAGGAGGCCCCTCGGGCTGGGGCCGTGGCCCCCGGTAGGGCTTCATCTCCTGAAGCTGGTCGTCCACGTAGAGCCAGACCCTGGTGGGGAGAGTGGTGTTTCTCCGCCCTGCCACCCAACCCGCAGTGCATTGTCCCCAAACCCTCAGCCCTGCCTCCCTGCCTTGGAGAGGCCAGATGAGCCAGGCTCACCCCGTGCTGTTGCTGTAGAAAGTGACGTAGTGGGCGGCCCCGTCATCAAAACGCTCTTGTGTCTTCAGCTCAGTCCTGGCCAGCCGGAGGGTCACATGACCCTGCTGCAGGGTCACCTCGCATGGCCCACCCTGCAGAGCATGGTTGGGTCAGTGAGCCAGGCTGGGGGCCCAGACTCCCTCTGGCCACAAGCCCCCACCCTGCTGCCCTGGAGGTGGGGCAGACGTACCAGGGACTCTCGTTGGAAGAGCAGCGCGCTGTCCTGGCTGCTGCGGAAGCCAAAGCCAGAGTAGACATCACCCGTGAGGGGCACAGCATCGCTGGGGAGTGCCAGGCGCAGGAAACCATGGCCGTGGAAAGTCATGGCCCGTCCCACCTACAGGCAGAGCGACTGTGAGGGCCTGCGGTGGCAGCTGGAAAGGGCGTGCACACGGCCGGGGGCGGGAGGGGACTCACCAGCAGGTCAGTAGTGCAGCCGGCGCTGATGCCCGTGGTGTTCAGCCTCTTGAGATCCACGTACTTGCCCAGGGCCTTGATGCCCTTGACGCAGCCTCGCACAGAGCCTCCAGAGGGGAAGAGCTGCCGCAGGCTGCAAGCACCAGTGTCCACAGGATGAGCCACAGGTGTGGCCTCCCTGGGCCCTGCCCCCCCACCCCCACCCCTCACCCCAGGCCAGTGCTCACCTAGCAGGCAGTTGGCTGGGCGGCACGCCCCCCAGGTAGTAGGCGTCAGCCAGCTCCAGCATGTTCTCCTGCTCCACGCTGAATACTGTGGTCCGCTCCACGCGCACCAGCACGCGCTTCCGATTGCCCCCCAGCAGGAACACCTGGATCTGGGAGGTGCCAGCACAGGTGGGCACCTTCAGGGGAGCTGCGACCCCCGCTGCCCCTCTCCACCCAGGGCCTTCTCTGAACCCAGCCTTACCGCCTTGCTGGTTGCAGTCAGCTGTGGCGGAGGTTGCTGCAGCGGGTCGGCCTCCTTCAGGCCTGCGCCAAAATCATAGAGGAGCACGAGTTTGCCTTCTTGCACAGCCAGGCACAGGAACTGGTCCTGGGGAAAGGGGAGGGTCAGCACAGCCAAGTGGGCAGAAGAGGGGGCATGGACAGCAGGCAGGCAGGGGCATGGATAGTAGATGGGGGCATGGACAGCATGCAGGCAGGGGCATGGACAGCAGGTGAGGTGGGGGGGCGTGGATAGTGGGTGGGGATAGGAGGGGGGCATGGACAGTGGACATGCCTGATGCTGCAGGAAGAAGATGATGCCGCTGTAGGACACGAGTCGCAGCTCCTGGTCGAAGCGTTTGGTGTTGCTGAGCTGGCTCTCCATGCTGATGCGGGCAAAACCGGAGCCGTCCAGGTAGGAGCCATCTGTGAGCCATGGGTCCCCCGTTGACTTGGAGCTGCCAGTCAGAGGTGGGAGGGTCAGCCAAGGGTGGGCGGAGTCGGAGCGAGGCTTAGCTCAGACCACACGTACCGGGCACAAGGCTTGTCCACAGCTGTGTCCAGCTGGAAGGTTTTCTCGAAGTTGTAGAGACTGACCACCTCCTCGTTCAGCGTGTCCAGTTCAATGCAGCCCCGGTAGCCGGGGAAGCGTAGGGGTTCGGGGGGCTGTGGGCACAGTGCACAGTCAGGGCAGATCCCAGCGGGGAGCTTGGGCTAGACACTGAGCAGGATTTCCTGGGACAGGCAGGCAGGGCGGCTTGCACACCCAGGCTGGCCAGGCTCACCGTGAAGTTGCTGGGGTAGCCCCCAACATAGAAGACGAAATCGTCTGGCTGGACATTGAGCAGCCCCTCAGCCCCAGGGGCCACTGTGTCTCCCTTGGTCTCCTGGACCATCCGATTCTCCACCGTCACAGACATGCGGCCAAACTGGAGGATCCTGAGGGCAGAGGTGGGAGGTGAGGTGTGGACACGCGGCCACACTCGCAGGTGGCGGAGTGCTGTGGGGACTGGGTGTCCTACCTGTCAATGCTGACGGCCGCAAACTGCTCCCCAATGCCCTCGTCGATGCTGAGGGTCGCAGGCCCTGCCCCGCCGAGGCGGTACACCCAGTGCACCCTCTGGCCCCGCAGAGCCACACCCATGTAGTCACCGGTGGCCTGGGTGACAGGAGACTCAGTGGGGCAAGGGCCTCGGGCACCCCACCCGCTCCAGCCTGGCACCCAGCTCCACCCAGCCCGCAGAGCCCGCCTGCTACCTGGCGGCCGCCCATGTACAGCACAAACTGGTCCCCCACGACCTGGCCAGCTGTGGGCTCTGGGCTCTGCAGGTAGAACTTGAGGGCAGTGTAGGAGGCGAGGTTGGTGAGGTCCCGAGGGGTGCGCAGCTGCACCCCTGAGCTCCCGTTGAACTTCATGGGCACCTTGACCTGTGGGGACACACGGCCTGTCAGCGTCCGCCTCCTGGTCCCCCAGATGCCCACATGGCCCTGGCACTCGCACCCACCTTGCTGGCGGCACCACGGGCCTGGGCGATGAGCTCCCGCACGCGGCCAATACTGGCTGACAGAGCCAGGCTGGCGTTGTGTGCCCCGCGGTCCTGCAGGAGGTTCAGCTTGGCCAGCAGCTGTGGCAGCGTCTTCTCCAGGGTGGACACTGCAGGCAGGGAACAGAGGGGAAGGCGGCCCTGAGTGCCTGGCCTGCACACCCTGGCCCACCCACCGTCAGGGCACCATGCCCCAGGGCCCACCTGAGCGGCCAGCATCGAGCACCACACGGCCCAGGTCCTGGCTCTGCAGGCCCTTGTACTGGCCCTGCCACCGCTCCACATTCCTGTGCATGTCCTGAAGCTGGGACTGCACACGGGCAGCCGTATCCTGGGCCTCGGCGGCCACGGCCTTCGCATGGGCTATCTTCTTGCTCGTCTCATCTGCAGTGGGCCATGTGCAGGCTCAGTGAAGGGGGGGCCCTCATCCCCATGTGGGGAGACCACTAAGACCCCCCTGCCAGGACCAGCAACAGGGAATTAACCCCCGGCCCCTCGCCTCGTGAGAATCTCAGGGCAGTGGAGACTCACCCACCACCCTCTCCCAGATAGATAGCCTGCCTGTGCCAGCCACACGCCTGAGTGGAGTCCCCTGAAGCCTGCTTGCATCAGCTCAGCCTCATCTCCCCCTGGTCAGCCCCCCACCCTGCCACTCCATCTTTCCTGAGGTCCTTCCAGAGTTCTCGTGGCCCCCAGGCTTGTAGACAGGGTCCACTCTCAAGTCAGCAGGGATCCCTCCTGTGCCCTGAGCTCTCCCGGCCCCCAGACCCTTGAGGTGTCTCCTGGGTGTCCAGCTCCAGCCACACTGACCTCTGCTGCTGCCGCCACCTCTGAGCCCACTGAACACCTGTACCTTTCCCGCCCGCCCCATGTCCTCTCTCCAAATGCTTCCCATCCCTCCTGGTTTCACTTGCTACCCAGGCTGATGTAGGGGGCGACGTTTGTTTGGTGTCTTGATTCCCAACCAGAAGAAGGTCCTTAGGGCTGGGGAGAGTCCCTGGGGTTGGAACCACCCTGGCCCCCCTCCTGGATGGTGACTCCACTGGACAGGCAGGGCTGGTGGGGTGATGCCCATGTGGGCAGGTGCCCCTTCAGCTCTGGGGACAAGAGGTGGGGGAAGTGCAGGGAGGAGACCCACCCTACCTGTGTCCATAGCCAGCATGGCTTGCACCTCCCGGACACGGGCTGCCAGCTGTTCCTTCCTGGCCCGGGCATCGCGGAGCTGGGTCCCAGTGTCCTGGAGGGTGGCCCGCGCTGTGGGGGAGATGGCTTCAATCCTGAGGAGCCCCCGCCCCCACAGTACAGGTACAGCTACTTCAGTCCTCCTGACCAGGGAGTGTTAAGGCTCACACACACAGTCAGAGGGAGACATCTGGACACAAAAGCCATCTGCGTAGGGGGAAGTACTGCACCTCAAGTCTCAGAGCAGCCTCCTGGGCCCACAGCAAATACAACCGTCCCCATTTTATAGGTGAAACAATGGAGGCTCAGAAAAGCCCACTGCGCATGGCCACCAGCGCCCTGAGGTGCTCACAGCAGAGGGTGCACAAACACACACACACCCTGTCTGGCCCTCCCCCATGGCCTAGCACACACATGGTCCTCAGCCAAGACAACAGAACCATCAGCTGGTTCTCGTGTCCTCTCCCCAGGCCCTTCCACGTACTGGGGGCCTGTCACAAAGTCAGGGTGGGTGGGCCTTTGCAGGGCTCCAGGAGTGGACTTGCCTGGGCAGTGGGGAAAATTCACACCCATGGCAGCTGCCATCCTGACTCTCACAGTGACAATCTGCGAACCCCCATACAATGTGGCTGGAGGGCAAGAGTCCCACAGAACCGGGACACCCCTCAGGACATGACACTCACCGAGGTCCAGTCTCCGCTGCTCTCCCAGGACGGCCTCCTCCAGGGCACTGCTGTTAGCCAGTAGCTCCCGGGCCCGGGGCGCCAGGCCCCGCTGCACCACCATCTGCAGATGTGGGGGTAGGAAATGGTTTAGCCCTGCCTGGAGGGGCTGCCAGGAACAGGGGCTGCAGCCGGGGCTGTGGGGGTGGGGTGGGGTGGGAGGGGCAGGGCCTCACCGACCACGTGTGGCTCGCCTGCTGCCGGGCCTGGTCAGCAGCGCCCTCAGCAGCCTGCACGGCTTGCAAAATGCTGCTGTAGGCGTTAGCGGCCTCAATGGCCCTCTGGATGAAGCGGTCCTGGTTGACTCCTTGGATGATGCTGTGAGGGGAGGCCGGGGAAGGTCCAAGGCTAGAGTGGGGGCTCAGCCCGGCTCACTGGCCTCCCCATCACAGCTGCTGGGCCTGTCTGCCTGCTGGCCCCAGACTCCCGGCCTAGGTCATGACCCTCCACTGCCCAGTGTACCTTTCCTGCTCCTGTCTGCCAACCTGGGCCCCAACTTCTGCCCGGCCCTGCAGGAACAACGGCTGCTCCATCTAAGAGCCCTCGCAAGCCAGCTCTGCCCCACCCACGGCATCCTGTTTGGGCCCCATACCTGGAAAGGTTGAGTGCCAGCTGGTCCAGCTGCCACGCGTGGGCCTCGGCAGCCTCTACCAGTTCCAGTTTGCTGCTCGCTGGGGAGAAGGCATGCATTTTCTCAAGCAGTGGCGTCCGGGCGCCATCCAGGCTGGCAGCGAGGTGCTCATACTCCTGGGGTGAGGGGTAGGTAAGGTAGGACCCTCGTCCCCATCCCTGCTCACCCAAACCTGATCTGGGCATGCCCACCCCCACTGAATATGCAGCCCTTGGGGAGGGGGGTGCTCACCTCCCTGGCCTGGTCCATGCCACGCAGAAGCTCAGAGACCCGGGCCAGGGTGTCTCTGGCAGCCTGCAGAGTAGCCCCCAGAGTGGCATTGTCCTGGGACAGCTCCTGCTTCCGTTGCTGGAGATGATGGGGAGAGCATGGGAGGTAACAGAACAGAGGTGAGGTGGGAAAGTAAAGGGGTGGGGGTGACGTGGTGATGAGTCCGAGGGGGCGAGGAGAAGGAGGGGTGGAGGAGGGGACGGGGAGGAGGAGGGGTGAAGGAGGGGACGGGGAGGAGAGGAGGGGTGGAGGAGGGGACGGGGAGGAGGAGGGGTGAAGGAGGGGACGGGGAGGAGAGGAGGGGTGGAGGAGGGGACGGGGAGGAGAGGAGGGGTGGAGGAGGAGGAGGGGAGGAGGAGGGGCAGGGTCAGCTCTCTACCAGGGCTTCCTCCAGGCGCTCCTGGTTGCGGCTGTTGAGTTCTTCTGCCTCCCGTGTGGTGCCCACTGCCCGATTCAGGGCCTCCCGCAGGTCCATGAGTCCGGCCTCATGCTGGGCCAGCTGGTCTCGGGTGTGTGTGACCAGCGCCTGGTTTCTCTCCCAGGGTCTGGTCAGCTGCTCCTGCACACGGTCCAGCACTGGCAAGGCCCGGTGTAGGAATGGTCACTCGGGCAGTGCCCCCTGGTGCCTGCCAGCCCCCATCCACCCTGTCAAGCTGATGCGACACCAGTCTGGGCTGGCCTCAGCCCCAGGGCCCTCCCCACTCTGCCCTGCTGGGCGGACCCCACTCACATCGCTGGGCCTCCCCCAGCTCAGCCTCAGCGGCTGCTTGTGGAACCCCCAGGTCACGGGCTCGTATCTCCTGCAGCAGCCGTTCAACTTCGGCCAGGACCCTGCGCAGCTGCTCGCCCGACGGGACTGAGGCATTGGCTGGTGCCAGGCGGTCCGTCTTGGACTCGAGCTCTGTGGGGGTTTGGGCAATGGGCTGTCAGGGCCCAGGGCTGGCCTGCTACCGGGCAGACCTCTGCCCACTAGCTTCCATCCAGAAGCCCCTGGCCAAGCCTCTTCAGACACCCCACACATGAGCTGGCAGGCCCTGGACAGACAGCCTGCTCCAGGCCACGACTCTGAGGCCTGCCTGGCCTCTGGCCCATGTCCCCTCACCTCCTGCAGACCCCACGGCAATACCCCCACCACTCCCTCTGCTCAGCCCACTCCTTGGCCCCCTGGTTTAACCATCCCTCCTCCCAGCCCAGCGCTCAGTTGCAATTTCATCTCCTAGACCCTGGCCTGGGCCTGTCCCTTCTGATCTCTTCTTGTGACAGATGTCAGGTTGTAACTAAGGCTCACCCACCACTTTTCCCACTTTGCAGGGACTGCCTGCCCTCTCGTTCTGGTCACGTGGGCTGCCCCCTCCCCTCCCTACTCAGACCTGCTGCTTCTGTGACCAGGACACCATCTCCCTGTCTAAACAAACACCCCAAAGTGTGTTTAGAGGTCAAGCCCCCAGAGGCACACCCCCTGCCCTCAGCCCTGAACATCACTCTGCTCAACTCTCCCCACCCGCCCAGCTGGGCCAGTGCCTACCGCTCAGGGCAAGGTCCACAGCCCGGATCGCTGCCAGCAGCGTCTGTGCCCGGCCCAGCGTGGTGTCAGTGCTGTCCAGTAGTTGGCTGGCCTGAGCTCGGGCTCTGGTGGCCTGTGGACAAAGTACCCCATCAGGCCTCAGCCCCTGCTGGCTGGGGAAAGCCTGGGGCCCTGGGGAGGGACCTTGAGCCCGAGCTGAAGGTCAGGGGTGACTCTGGATGGTTTGGGGCCTGAGGAGAGAGACTTCTCAGGGAAGATTTGACTGAGAGGGAGTGAGGGCTTCTCTGGAGGAGGAGTGTTCCAGGGGGTTCTGGGGCAGGAGTCCCCAGGGGCCTGCCTGGCCATCCAGATGCTGAGTGTCCTGCCCGAGGCTTGAGGTCTGTTGTTCCAGTGCCTCCAGCTGCTGTATGGTCTCATAATGGGGGCCTGGGGGGCTCCGGAGCTGGCTCTGGGGGAGAAGAAGGTGAGTCTGTGACCCAGGATGGGTAGGCTACGGGCCGGGAGAGGGTGCCTGGGGGTCAGGCAGGGCAGTACCTGCAGGTCGGAGATGGAGGAGTTCAGCCTGTGCAGCCTGGCCCAGGCCACAGAGCTGGCATTGATGCCACTCAGCTGCTCCCGGATGGCAGGGAGGAGGGCGCTGGCCCGCTCCAGGTCGTCCAGGAGCAGGACCACACAGTGGTCACACACTGCAGGCAGGGGGCAGGTGGGTGTAAGGTAAGGGGCAGGGAGGGCGGGGCCAGCAGGGAGTCACTGGGGCGTCAGCATGATAGAGATGCTCACCGGGGCTCACAGAGACGTAACAGGGGTGCTGGGCTGAGGGTGATGAGGTGAGTGGGGGGTCAGAGGTTAGCATGGGGGTCTCAGGGTCAACAGGAGGACAGCTGTGAGCTCTCAGAAAACTGAGAGGGAGAGCTAGGGCCAGAGGGCTGCTCTGGAAGTTGGGATGAATGTCAGGGTCACCAGGTCAGCATGGGGCTGGGACCTGCACTGCCCCAGGGCAGGGTGAGCCAGGTGTGTTTCGGTGGCCAGGGCAGTGGGCAGAGCAGGGACACACCTTCACAGTGCACGCCGTGGCCCCCAGGTCCTCCCGGCACGGGCACCTGGTGCTGGTGGCTGCAGGTCTCACAGCGTTCCCCACTGAGCCCAGGAGGGCACGTGCAGCGGCCCGTGTGCAGGTCACAGTGGCCCCCTTGGCACTGGCAGCCTTGGGTGGGAGGGACGGGAGAGGCGGGATGAGTAGCTGGCTGAGGACCCTGGGGGTACTCGCCACCCCAAGGTGCCCCGCCTGCTTGCACTCACGCCTGCAGCCCTGCTCGGGGAGCCCCCAGTGGCCGGGGGCACACTCGCGACATTGGGGTCCCCCAGTCCCTGGTCGGCAGTGGCACTGCCCACTTTGGGGGTGGCACTCGGAACTCTCGGCGGCTGGTCCACAGGCACATGGGTGGCAGCCCTCGCAGCCCTCGAAGCCAAAATGTCCTTCCTGGGGGCACAGACTGCAGTCAACGGCTCTGTCCTGCCCTCAAAATCCACCTTCCTTCAGCCCTGGAGCCATGAGGTCCTGCCCACACAAAGCCCCTCCCCTCCCACTGGGCCCCGCCCCTCCCAGGCAGTGCTACCTGACAGCGGTCACAACGCAGCCCAGTCACACCGGCCTTGCACAGGCAGTGTCCGCTGTGGGGGTCACAGGCCTCCGTCCCGCATGGGGAGCAGTCACACCCTGCAGAAAGTCACCCTGGGAAATCACCCCAGCTTCTTCCCAGCCCTCGGAAGCCCTTACTAAGCTCCTACTCCACATGCACCTTCTTCCTGCCCCAAACGAAGCCCCCAGATGCTTACTTTCCACCACCTCCCTGCTTCAGCCAGGTCCAGGCCATACAGCTGGCAGCTCACTGTCCCACTGTGCCCAACTTCGCTGCTGCCCAGGCTCAGCCCCCAGAGGAGCCCTTTGGGGAGCCCTGCCAGAGCCCTCCTGGGAACCCCCACCCTCAAGAGAGGCCAGAGTCTCCGAACAACCCCTGGCCTGGCCAGGGGGTGCCTAACCGTGAGCTCGGGGGACCTGGTCAGGTCCACACTATCCATGCTGGGCTCGGCCCAGGACACAGCCTGCTCGGGGGGGACGCCCCTCATCCCTGCCCTCCCCGCTTACGGGTGCAGTTGCCGGGCAACAGGGCATTGCCGTAGAAGCCAGGGGCGCAGCTCTCGCAGTGGGGCCCGGTGGTGTGGCGCAGGCAGCCGCGGCAGGCGCCTGTCAGGGGGTCGCAGTCGCTGAAGAGCATGTTGGGGTCGCCGTTTCCGCTACAGTCACAGGGCTGGCACGAGCTGCCCAGCACCAGGGGGTTCCCGAAGAAGCCGGGTGCACAGCTGGGGTGGGGTGGGGAGCGGGATCAGTGGATGGAGCTGGCTCAGGCACTCAGTGCCCTGGGCCTCTCAAACAGACCCTGCCCCACTCAGGCCCTGCCGCCCAGCTCACCGCTCGCAAGAGGCCCCAGCATAGCCAGGTTTGCAGAGACACTGGGTGCGGCCACCTCGCAGGATGCAGCCTGTCGCGAAGCTGCAAAGACGGAAGTGGTCATCACACACTGGCATTCTCTGGGCAAGCACCTGTGTACTTAGGCTGGGCCAGGCACCAGGTGCTGGGGTCCCACCTCATGGGCCCACCTGGCTGCAATGGCCTCCACAGAGGGCAGTGTTGATTCAACCAGGTGTGGGGGTGGTATTCTGTTCTGGGTCTATATAGACTTTGGGCCACCAGCCAACAGTCGGGACCCGGGATGGCTGGCCCAGCTTACTTGTTGGAAGGCACGGCCAGAGGGCAGGGGCAGCTGATACAGGGGGCTGCAGGGTCCTCGGAACCAGTGCGCACGAAGCCGGCCTGGCAGCGCTCGCAGTGGTCACCCTCGGTGTTGTGCTGGCAGCCCTGGGGCAGAGGGAACAGTTCAGCACCCACAGTGGAGGCCTGGCTCCCACCAGCTCCATCCCCAGCTCTGCAGGGTCTGTGCCCAGGGCACCCACCCCTGCCTACACCTCAGCATACCCACAACCACAGACCCAAAGGTGCCCTGGCCTTCCCTACCCTGTGTCTTTGGTGCCGGCTTCCCACCCCCCCACAGGGCCCCACTTACCACACAGACGCCTGAGCCAGGGAGGCAGCGGTCTGAGTGGCCGTGGCACTGACAGGGGATGCAGCGACCCAGGAAGAGACCTTTGATGTCCCGGTAATAGCCAGGGGCACACTCCTGGAGTGGGTGGGCATTGGTGGTCAGGGAAGGAGGCAGGGCTAGCCTGACGCGGGGGCAAACCAGGGACCATGCTCACGGGTCAGCCCTCAGGTGTCCTGACCCTGACAGGCTGAAGGCACAGGTGAGGTGTGGAGGAGGTGAAGTGGATGCTGTCTGGGTGAACTGTGGATATAAGACGAACTGTGCACTAAATGAGTGAAGGCCAGCTAGTGCACACAGGGGCCAGGCAGGGAGCAGCTGACAGTGGACAAGAAGATGGTCGAATAAGCAGCCGGCTCGGCCTGAGGTGGGAAGGCTGGCTGCTAGCAGGGTGATGCCCAGCAGGTATAAGAGGAAAAGTGGGGTGAGATGGAGACGGAGGCCAAGTGTGGATGCTTGGGGACATGTGGGCCGGGCAGGCAGAACACTTGGCCCTGGTGCCCACCTCCACTGCCTCACCTGGCATGAGTGCCCACGGTAGTTGGCAGGGCACATGCAGAGCTCCACATTGATGGCTGGAGGCCCCCCACCCATCTCGCTGGCCACCTCCAGCGCCACCCTGCGCAGGGAGATGGCCGAGGAGGCCTGCGAGAAGAGGGCACGGATATGCAGCTGCTCCAGGCCAGCCAGCACCATCATGAGCTCCTCGCGGGACACGGTACTGTGGGTCTCCATGTGTCGGAAGTTCCCCTGCATGACCACGACAGGGCTCACTGCGGTGGCCACAGGAGGGCACAGCAGGAGCCCAAGACAGACCCTCCCTTGGGGGCGGGGGCACTCAGAGCACCTGGGCAAGGGTGGAGGACATGTGGTACGGTGAGCGACTCCTGACCTGAGAGACAAAGACTTAACTCACAGAAACACTAACTGCAAACACGAAAGCGGTCGATTTGAGCCTACTGAATGTAAGACTGTCTGTGACCCTGAAGGGATCTTAGAAAAAGACGCACAGGCTACAGATGCAGAGCAGACAGCACAGTTCTGAAGTCAGGACACAGGCTGAGCATCAGGAATGACAGCCCCGCCAGAAAAGAGACAGGTAAAAGACAGGAGTGGGCAGCGTGCAGAGGGAACCATGAGGACAGCGCACTGGAGGAGCTGACCCATCCTGCTCCTCGATGCTGTTCTACATCACAGGGAGCAGGCTCCACAGCCTCGGGGACCAGGGACGACCGCTCACCTCCACCAGCTGCAGCTCCCCATGGTGCACGTCACCAGGCGCTGGGTACACCGGCTCCAGGAACGTGATGCTCATCTGGTTGCCCTGGGGAGGCACGTGGGCGGATGAGGGCCAGGAAGCTGGCTGGCCACAGTCTCAGCTTGGCTGTGCCCGCTGCCCACCCCACCAAGATGCCCTGGTTGGCCACCTGTAGCACCACATCTGGCCTGCTCTCCATGGGGTTGAACACATCCCCGCGCTGGGTCTCTGAGTGCAGTTCGTAGCGGAGGGTCCCACCATAGGATGACACCTGGAGGCCAGACAGAGATGTGACTTGGCCAGACTCATTCCAGGGGCCCGGAGTCGACAGCAGTGGTTCTGGGCAGCCTGGGGCTGGGGGTGCGGGCGGGGCCAGGCACCCTCACAGAGCCTCCTCCCTCCCTGCTTGCCCTCAGCCTCCAGGAGGCCCTGGATCCTCTTGAGGTGCCCTCCCAGGGGACACTCGGCTGCTCACCCGGTCCCCCAGGTAGGAGGGTGGGGCCTGCCAGTACAGCTCGGGGATGGCCTCGGGCATGTGCTGCAGGTCCGCGCGAAGTAGCAGCGCCTCCTGCCGCTCATGGGGCACCACCTGCCGGTCACCACTCAGCAGCGTCCAGCCCTCCATGTCCACAAACTGCGGGGCACACAGGTGGGTCACACAGGCTCATGTCCTACGTCCACGTGGGCTAATGTGTCCCTGCCTGCCTGCCCACACACCTCGCGACGGGCGTAGGTCGAGCTCCGGCAGCGGTCAGTGGCCCCGAAACAGAAGCAGCGGGTGCAGCCTTTGGGGTTGGCAGCGTCCAGTGAGAATGTCCCCAGGCGGCACTGGTCACACCTCGGGCCCTGCACATTCTCCTGGGGGTGGGAGGGCACGGCAGGGCAGGGCAGTCAGCCACGTGTAGGGGGTCCAGCCAGTGCTGCCTGTTACCCTGCAACTAGGCTGGCTGTCCCAAAGGGTTCCAGGAGGAGCCCTCCTAGAGAGGATGAACTTCAGCTGACAAAGCAGGACGAGGGATGGGGTGGGCAGCGGGCCGGGCCGGTGGACCCCTCACCTTGCAGTAGCACTGGCCTGTGAGGGGGTCGCACGTGCCAGGCGCAGAGCCTGCCTCGTGGCAGTCACAGGGGCGGCAGCTGGGGAAGCCATGGAACCCAGGAGCACAGGTGTCACAGCGGCGTCCGGCCACGTTGGGTCTGCACCTGCCGTGAGAGATCAGGAGCCGGCTGGACCTCCCTCCACCTGCCTCTCATGTTGAGATGGGACCAGAGGTGACCCCCCACCATGGTGATGACCCCCCAAGAGCCAGAGGGGAGGGCGCTGCTGAGCCCTGGGAGACCCTGCCGGGGGGGATGGGGTCAGGGCTCACTGGCAGGGGACCCGGGACTGCTCCAAGGCCACAGAGACCCCCAGCGCAGGCACTCACTTGCACTGGCCGCTGTCCACATCGCAGGTGGGGTCCATGAGCTCCTGGACACCGGGCCCCGAGCAGTTACACTCCTCACAGCCCACCAGGGGGTGGCAGCCAAAGGTCTGGGGCTGGCAGACGAGGCAGTCGGGCGGGATGGTGCGTGGGGGACAGATGCACTGTCCTGTGAGCTCGTCACAGAGGCGGCCGCTGCAGTCACAGGCTGTGGGTGCGGGCACAGCACCTGGTCAGCAGGCCTGATGGCGGCTCTGAGGGCACTGAAGGTGGGGCGGGGAGCGAGGCCACCCTACCCCAGCCTGGATCCACCCACTCCGGGCCCCAAGTCCCAGGCAGCTCCTCTGATGTGAGGTCAGGCGCTCAAAACTGCTGTCCAGTCCCCAGGACCTTCTGGACAACAGTGCAAGGCCCGACTCTCACAGACGGGAGGGGGCAGGGCTAGTTCACCAGCTCCAGAACATTCTCCTGACTGTTCTTGCCTGGCGGGCACCCCGGGCACTCCTGGGACTGGGGTACTCACGCCTGCAGTTGGGGAAGCCCCAGTAGCCGGTGGCACAGCGGGAGCAGTCGCGGCCGATGACATGGGCGCGGCAGGGACACTGGCCCCCGAAAGGCTCGCATGTGGGGCCCGTGGCGCCCACCTCGTGGCAGCCGCACGGCCGAGCCCCGTTGTTGTAGAAGAGCGAGAGCGAGGTGGCGGCGCTGCGGCAGAAGGGGGACGAGCCGGAGGGGCTGGGGGAGGGGTGGGGGTGAGGCCAGCTGCCAGCCAGCCACACCCCTGCACACCCCCACCCCCAGCCCCGAGCCCGGCCCACCTGACATGGTAGCCATGGGCGGCGCACTGGCTGATGAAATCGTAGGACTTGTCCAAGGGCTCCTCCCGCAGGTAGCTGGAGCTATAGGCTTCCTCGGGGACCACCAGCACGTACTCCTAGAGCATCAAGGCCTGGTCACCTCCTGTGGGCCCAGCTCAGGGCCCAGGTCAGGGGAGGGGCCAATACCAGCGCTTCTCTCCCACAGGCCAGCATCCAGCCGGATAGCGTCACACCCTGTCCTGGGCCCTGGCGAGGCTGCCAGGTTATGGGTCCCACCCTTGGTCACTCAGAGGGGAGGCCGGCCTTTGCAGCCAAACAGGAGCTCAGGAACAGGTTGTGAAGAGGCAACTGGGCTCCGGGTGCCCCCATCCTTTTCAGCCAGACACCGCTGGCTCCTTCCAGGCCTCCTCCTCCAGGAAGGCCACTCTGACCAGCAGGGCCCCCAGGAGCTGGTGGGTGTCATTTTGGCTCATGGACCCCCAGGGCCTCTCAAGATGGGCCTGGAGGTCCCCAGATGCTGCTGTCCTAGCACCAGGCTCAGAGTCGCCTATAGAGAGCAGGGGACATGCCCTGGCAGGGTAACCTCTAATGGTAGAATGGGGGGAGGACAGACACCAGCCTCCAACTCACCAGCCAGAGCCACCGGCCCTCAGGCACACGCACGGTCACAGTGAGCTCACTGTCAGTCACATCCAGGATGGCCCGGCCCTCACACACCACCAGTGTGCGGCAGCCATAGCCATGCGGGCAGAAGCTGGCGTTGGCGTGGCCTGGAGGCGAGAAACAGCATCAACACCCACCACATGTAGACCACCCCTGCCCCACGGCCTTGTCCCAGTAACTCCTGCAGTCGCCACGGAGGTGGGGGCACCCAGGGCAGCACGTGCCACTGTGAATTGTGCATCTATGAACAGGACACGGATGTGTGACCCAAAGAGAGGCCCACATGGCTGTGTGCACTCATGCAACACGAATTGGCCGTGCTCACGCACGAGGGCCTGTGAGATGCAGGTCTCTGGGCCCTGCAGAGCAGAAGGAAATAAATACATATGGACATATGTCCCCAGGGAGCCCTCAGTCACCCTGGCATGTTGTGGGGGAGTTCTGAGTTACCACACAGACGTCAGGGACAGGGGCTGCCACCTGCCATGGCCTGGGGCTCCCTGTTTGAGAGCCGAGGGCAGGACAAGTTGTGTGGCCCAGTCACTCACAGCCAGGGGATGGGCTCTGCTCTGTGGCCACGTGAGCTGTGGAACCAGCTGCACCCCATCCACGTCCTGCACGGGCCATGTGGACTAGACCCCTGACAGCCCTCTCACCCAGGTGTCCAACCCCTCTGCTCACCCTGCCAGACGCGGCCCCCATTGATGAGGACCTCCACGGCGAAGGTCGGGTGGGCGGGCTGGTAGCCGTGCAGCAGGAAGGCGTATCGGCCCAGGGCAGGCACTTGGGTGGTGAAGACCATGGTACCCTGCGGGGAGAGGCTCTGGTGAGCCCACACCAGGACGGGCGGGGTGCCCACGAGCCTGCAAGTCCTGGCCGGGCCCTCACCTGGGGGTGGCGCAGCAGCGTGGGCTCTGCATCCGGGTCCGCGGCGGTGGGGGGCCGGGGCTGGGGCCCGGGTGGGGGTGCGCCCGGTGTCAGCTCCTGCGAGCGGGTCAACGGGAGGCCGGGTGGCAGCGGCAGCACTTGGCAGTCTCTGAGGAGCACAGGCTGGGGCGGCTTCGGGAAGCGGGAGGGCAGGCAGGCGGCACTGGGGCAGGGGATACACCGGTGAGCTCCCGTGTCCCTGCCACCACCCTGCTGCCCCCGCCAGGCCCCCAGCCCCACTAACCTGCTGGGGCTGAAGGCACCATGACTGCTGATGCAGCGGACTCGGGGCTCCACGAACTCTGAGCTGAAGGTGTCCGTGGGTACCAGGGTGACACTATGCTGTGGGCAGCAGATGATGTGGGTGCAAAGGCAGGTGAAGCCCAGCCACACCTGCCTAGGCTGGCCCGGCTCTCGGCACTGAGCCCCTGATCCCCACTCAGCCTGCCTCTCCTCCGGCTGCACAAACCCCAGCCCTCGATCACGGTTTCTAGGCCCTGGAGTGCCTTCCAGCCCCAACCAACCGCAGGCCACACCTCCTCTTCCTGTGCCCTCACCACTGTCCATGGTCACAGGGCAGAACCCAGCACAGGTAGGTGCTCTGCAAGCCAGGGCTCGTGAGTAGGCGCCTCCGCCCTGTGCTGTCCCCAAGGGGTAGAAACACGTGTGACAAGTATGGTAAAACATGACATCCCAGTGTGTCTAGAAAAACCTAACGGTGGAGACAGAAGACTGCGAGGCTACAGCAACAGCTCAGTCCATCCCAGCATGGCGTCAGCAGAGAAGACAGCACAGAACACCCACATGACCCCCGTTATGGCAGGTTCCAGAACAGGCATACTAGGCGGCACAACCAGTGTCCAGGGTGACCACGGGAGGGGCCTAAGGGGCATCAGGGTGGAGCCATCTTGCCTCTGGCCTGGGTACTGGGCGTGTGGGAGAATCACGCTTGGGCAGTGGATATAGCTCCATGGGATGTTTACAGTGACCCAGCCCAGGACTGCAGGGCTGTGTGTGTGTGTGAGGAAGGAATCACAGGGGTTCCAGCATCAAAAACTTAGGAGGAAGCTATGTGACTCTCAGCAACATGGAAGAGACACACTGACTCTGGAAGGAGGAATGAGACATGGCAGATGGGGTGTGGGACTGTGGTTTTTGTTGCAAGTCTTTTCAATATTTGAAGCTTTTATAAAAATGTGCACCTATTACTTTGATAAAACTTTTAAAGGCCTAGGGAAACGTAATGATGAAACTGTGTAATACTCTGATGAGAAAAATGTCATCTATTTTGTCACTTACTGAACAAACACGTATGCTTGGTTCTGGGCATCAAACTAATGGTTAACACTGCACGGAGTTTAATGATGCAGAACAGGCCTGCAAACAGTTAACCTTGGGATTTAGTTTCCAATTCTGTGAGGAGGACACAGAAGCAAGCTACTTCGATGCTAGTTGAGTCCTAAGCTTCAGGACCTAAGATGCTCACATGGTGTGGCACTTTGTAAATTATACCAAAAAGTGGCCTTTCTTTTGATACCAAAAGATCGTTCTTTCTGGGCTTCCCTCGTGGCTCAGTGGCAAAGAATCCATTTGCCACTGCAGGAGACATGGGTTTGATCCCTGATTTGGAAAGATCCCACATGCTGCAGGGCAACTAAGCCCGTGTATACAACTACTGAGACCATGCTCCGCAACTACTGAAGTGAAGCCCACACACCCTAGAGCCCGTGCTCTGCAACAAGAGAAGCCACTGCAGTGAGAAGTCCAAGCACTGCAGTGAAGAGTAGCCCCTGCTTGCAACAACTAGAGAAAGCAGCACAGCCAAAAATAAATAAAAAATTTAGAAAGGTTATTTCTTTCTACCCTGGCTCCAACGCATCATAGTTCCCCTTAAGTGACTACGGGCATTCTTTATAAATAAATACACATTTCATACCCACAGGAAAAAACCTGCAGGGGAGGGGTTCTGGAAGAACCTGGATTTAGCACAAGCCGAGGGCAGTGCCTGCGACGGGCACCCAGGCTCACCACACTCTACTTCTGCACATGTTTAAATCTTTGGAAAGATGGAGCCCTGCAGTGGGGTCCTGGGGCCCATGCAGGCGAGGGATCGGGGCCTTACCAGGAAGAACCGTGCCTGCTCGGCTGTGAGCCGGATGCTGGCTTCCGTGTCCAGGTAGAAGACGGCCAGGTGGCGCTGGGCGTCTAGGGCGGTGCCTCGGCACAGGGTGCTGGGGTGGGCAGGGGTGGTTAGTGGGTAGGGCAGCCCTGGGGTCCCGAACCCAGCCCCAGCGCTGCCCATACCCCGGGCTTGCACCCTCTACCCACTCCCCGCACACCTGTATGGGCAGGGGTGGAGTGTGAGCACCCCCTGCTGGGGGGGTCTCTGAGGGGTGTGTACTGCCACATCCACCTCCTGGCGGGCGTCCTCGTTGGCATACTCCACCACCAGGGCATAGGGGCCTGGCTGTGGCACTGCCATCTGAAGCTGGACGTCCACCTGGAGGGACAGGGCAATGTGAGGCCCCACCCCAGGCCCCCTCCAAGAGAACAGGGTGCTCCTGAACACGGCCCTTCCCACCCTCTGTGCCCAGAGCCTCATCCTACCATCTCAGGGCCTGTGTGCCCACCATTCCTGCTGCTGGAGGCACTCCTCCTGTGGCCACTCGACCTTCCAACCTCTGCTCACTCTGAGCATCCCCTGCCCATCGTGGCCCACCAGCCTCATCACTGGAGAGTGTTTGGTGCCTGAAGTGAACCAATGACCTGCTGCCCCTTCACGATAAGCTGGAACGCTGGGCCAACCTCACCCCATTTACAGCTGAGGCCCCAGGCACTGACTCTCAAGGTCAAAATCGGAAGGCAGCAAGCACTGCCTGAGCCACTATGTGGGCCATGCCCGCGTCACTTCTGCCCTGCACCCACGTCCCCTCTGCAACACGGACCCCCCCATCCTCCAGGTCAAGGGCACGCCTCCCTAGGACTTGATCCTACTTGTCCCCAAGGGGCCCCGGGGACACGCACATCAGTGCCCCAGCAGACAGCGAGCGGCGGGTGCGAGGGGCTGAGCTGCTCCGTGGGGCAGGGCCGGGGCAGGCTGTTGTCATGGCGACACAGGGCCTCGGGCCCAGCGGCGGAGGGGAAGCCATCCAGGGGTAGGTGGGTGTAGAGGAGGCAGCTGGTTAGGGACACAGAGTCTGGTCAGCACAGGGCAGGTGGCCTGAGCACCGGGAGGGGCAGGTCCCCCCCAGCCCCACCAAACTGGCCCTCACTTGTCTCCAGAGCGCTGGGCGTCTGGCCGGAACATGCAGGGCTCGGTCACTCTTAGCTGCAGCAGAGCCGCCTCATAGTAGGCGCTAGGCAGCAGAACCACATAGTCCTTGGGGGGAGGGGGGAGGTTAGGTGTCGTGGCCCCTGCCCCGGGCCCCGCCCCAGCCCTCTCAGCCCCGCCTCACCAGGAGCACCCCCTCGGCCTCCACGAGCAGGGCCCAGGCGCCAGGGTTCAGCACAAAGGGCTCCCCCAGGCCCCTCTGGGGCACGGTGACAAAGGCAGGCTCGGTGCTGGGTGGGAAGGCCACGGGCTGGCTCTGTTCTGTGCCTGGGGGTGCGGACAGTGGGCTTTCTGGACGCAGGGATGAGACGGCCACCCCAGGCCACGGTCACCAACTCCCCAGGGTTAGGAGTTCGGGTCTGGCCTCCCCACCCACGCATGGGGATGTGGTGGGAGCTGGGTGGGGAGAGGGCAGCCCCAGCACTCACAGTTGGGACACGTGGTGAACCTGCCCTGGTCTCGCACGGAAACCCGCCCGCTCACACTCGTGGGCCCGCGGTTGACATAGCGGAAGACGAGTCGGAAGAGGTCAGGGGAGGTCAGGTTCAGCTTGGCCACGATCCTGGGCTGCAGTGGGGTTGGGGAGTACAGAAAGTTGAGGCGGCCCCTTCTGGTCATGCTCAGCCCACACCCATGAGCCTACCCTCTGCCAGCCATCATGCCAGGAACACCGATCCCGCACCTGGATGGGTGTCATCTGTGCGTAGCCTCTCCAGCTGAAGTTCTCGAACTCCAGGGGGTTGAAGCCGAAGCGCACAGCGTGGCCCTCGGGCGTGGCCGCCTCCTCTAGTTCCAGGCGCAGGTGGTGCAAGTCGGGGAGATAGTGGTCCTGAGCAGGCCTGGCCACAGCAGGGGCAGTCAGGGCGGGACAGGTACTGGCCCTGCACCGCACACTGGGGTCCCCAGGGAGAAGCCAGTGCACAAGCTGCTGCCCCAGCCCACACCCCCAGCCCAGCCGGGGTGGGGTACCCACTCGCTGCAGGTGGAGCCCTGGGTGTTGGGGCGGCACATGCAGGCACCCGTCCTCAGCTCACAGCTCTGCCCCAGCGCTCCGCCAACATCGCACCGGCAGCCTGCAATGGGGGAGCAAGTGAGTGAGGTCCAGTCCCACAGCCTCCATGCTCCTCCTGCAGCCCCCGGCTCAGGACTCCACTCCGTCCACCCTCCATCAAGAGTGACCCAGGCTGAGAGGACGAGTGTTGCCGCCACCAGGAGCTGCTCAGGGCTCTGGACAGCAGAGGGTCAGGGTTTAGCGCAAGGGCCCTGGTATTGGTGAGTGATGCCTGCCAGGGCATGGGACAGAGGGAGAAGGACGGGGTGAAATCTGCACCCCCTCCACACCAGCACAGGTCTGGCCAGGCACCCAGAGTGGCTCAGCGAGTGCCATGTGACACCCAGGCCCTGGCTGGCCCTTGTCCCATGTGTCCCTCCCTGGGCCTCAGCCTCCCCAGGACGTGGTCCAAGGGCCAAGCAGTGGGCCTTACTACGGCAGCCGAAGTAGTCAGCCTGGTCCAGCCCGAAGAAGCCGTCCTTGCAGGCTGCGCAGGTCTGGCCACACACATGGGGCTTGCAGAAGCACTGGCCGTTGCCCTGGAGGCCAAGGGAGAAGCTGGGACCAGGTCTGGGAGGGTCCCTACACTCTGTTCCCATGGACCCCGGCACCTCCGCCCTCAGACTCACCGGCTGGCACTGGGCAGCCCCACCCAGCGTGCCCCTTGGATCACAGTTGCAGCCTGGGGGAGAGGCAGAGCAGCGCTGAGAGCGGGGTGGGGGGCAGGAGGGCTGGACTCCATCCCCACCCTGGCCACTGTGGAGCCAGCCCTCCCCTCCCCAGCATCTCCCCCAGCACACTAACACCACCCCAGGGAGACTCACGGGTACAGCCCTCAGGGTTGCTAGGACTCAGCCCCCAGAATCCAGGTTTACAGCGGTCACAGCTTGGCCCCTCCACGTGAGCCCGGCATGTACAGGGGGCCTGTGCCTGGGAGAGAATGAGACTGAGGTTCAGAGTAGGTCCCTGCCCTCCTAGCACAACCCTCAGCCCTGGAGCCTGGCCCCTCTCAGGCATGACCCAGCCAGGGGACCAAATGGGCTCTGAGGTTGCCATGGCAACCGAGCAGCAGGTGAGTGATGGTTTCTAGAAGTGAAGGCCTCAGCGCCAGAGGGCTGCCCTGGGCTCACCTCGGGAGGGACACGATCAGCTGGGGCCAGGCCAGCAGGATGACAGGAGCCAGCTGTGGAGAGAGGCCCAGGCCATGGTCAGTACTCAGCAATCGATCCTGACGGCTGAGGGCTTCCCCAGGCCTGGCCAGGACCTGAGGCCCCATGGGAGCCAGCACACATGCCTTCCACACGTATGAACAGGCAAGAAACCACAGGTGCCTTCATGCCCTAGTCCCCGTAGCTGTGAGGGTATGTGCTCTCCCCAACCACACAGCTATGAACACGCAATGAGCACACACTCGCACAAAGCACATGAACAAGCGTGAATGGATGGACAGCACATGACCACATGCACAACACACAGACACTCATGTGAATGCAGTGTGTGAACCGCATGAACACACGAGAGCGCACACAGGGCCCAGCAACAGCATCGTGGGAACACGCAGCACACACACACACACACACACACAGGGCCAGCCCCACCTTCGCGCGCGCGCGCACACACACACACACACACACACACACACAGGGCCAGCCCCACCTTCGCAGTAGGGGAAGTTGTATGCACCAGGCACACACGTGTCACACCGCAGTCCCGTCACTCGCGGTCGGCAGCTGCACTGCCCGCTGTGGGGATCGCAGGCTGCGTGCAGGGAACCTTCGGGGGAGCAGTGGCAGGCTACAGGAGGGAGAGGAGGGGGAGTCAGCACGTGGGGAGCACGCCCCCTCCCTTCCCTGCCCCACTTCCCCGTCCCAGGGCACTCACGGGCACAGTCGGGGAAGCCGTGGAAGCCGGGGCTGCACTCCTGGCACGTGGCTCCCATGTAGCCCGGGCGGCAGCGGCACAGCCCGCCCGCCCCACACAGCTGGTCCATGGAGCCCCGGGGGTCACAGGCGCAGGCTGCAGAGGACTTGGGGTCATGCCCTGGGTACCTGCAGTGGCCCTCCCCCATGCCCGGAGCCCCACCAAAGCCACTCACTCACCATGGCACTCGGGGTAGCCATGGTAGCCCAGGCGGCAGCGGTCACAGTGGGGGCCGTTGAACTCTGGCCGGCACGGGCAGTGGCCAGTGTCGTCACAACCTTCAGGGAGGGTCCCCACGGGGCTGCAGCCACACACTGCAGGCCGAGAGCGCACGGGGCCCTGAGCTGGCAGCCCAGACCCAACCCCACTCCCTCCTGCCCGCTGGGGGTGCCATACTCACACTGGCAGAGGGGGAAGTGGAAGTAGCCGGGGGCACAGCGGTCACATGCGGCCCCCTCGAAGCCTGTCCGGCACATGCACTGGCCCGAGTCACGGTCACAGGTTCCGTCCACCACGCCGGGGCTGGAACACTGGCAGGCTGCAGAGAGGAGGAGGTCACAGAGGGGCCGGGCTCCTGGGCTCTGCGAGGGGATGCTGCCAGGGCTGGGGCTGGACTCACGCTGGCAGCCTGGGCCGTAGAAGCCAGGGGCGCAGAGCTCACAGTGGGTGCCCTGGAAGTTGGGTTTGCACACGCAGTGCCCCACCTGCGGGTCCTTCCGGCAGGCGTTGCCCTGGGTCCCGGCGGCGCTACAGTCACAGTCTGGAGGGGAACAGGGTGGGATGGGGGTCTCAGAGGCCCTGCAGCTGTCCTGCTCAAAACCTCCCTTCTCCACAAACTCCTTTCCTTGCCTTTTAACACTGCACTTATGCACAATGAGAAAGACTTTAAAAAAGGCCAACAAGGGAAAGTGGATGTTTCAGGAAAACAGTGGCATGCAATGAAATCAGGAGCATTTTACATACACATAATTAATTGTTTATAATGTAGACACCAAGTCAACTGCAGGTGTTGACATAACCAGAGAAAATGCAAAAACAAAATCTTAACAAGGCAAAAAGAAAATTCTACTCTTTATAAGTAATTCTGAAGATTAGGACAAAGGAAAAAAAAGTGTGCTAGATGTCTTAACTGATGCACAAAAAAGGACTAATATTATTTTTGATTACTGACATAAAATAAGTAATGGTTCATTGTTCAGTCACTAAGTTGTGTCTGACTCTATGCAACCCCATGAACTGCAGCATGTCGGGTTTCCCTGTCCTTCACTGTCTCTTGGAGTTTGCCCAAACTCATGTCCATTGAGTTGGTGATGCCATCCAACCATCTCATCCTCTGTTGCCCCATTCTCCTCTTGCCCTCAATCTTTCCCAGCACCAGGGTCTTTTCCAGTGAGTCAGCAATTTACATCAGATGGCCGAAGTACTGGAGCTTCAGCTTCAGCTTCAGTCCTTCCAGTGAATATTCAGGGTTGATTTCCTTTAGGATTGACTGCTTTGATCTCCTTGCTGTCCAAAGGACTCCTAAGAGTCTTTTCCAGCACCATAGTTCAAAAGCATCAATTCTTCAGTGCTCAGTCTTCTTTATGGTCCAACTCTCACACCTGTACATGACTACTGGAAAAACCAGAGCTTTGACTATATGGACATTTGTCAGCAAACACTGTCTAGGGTTGTCATAGTTTTTCTTCCAAGGAGCAACTGTCTTTTAATTCTGTGACTGCAGCACAAAATAATGGTTCATTATTTGTCAAAACATAAAGGTAACCTTGGCCCAGACCAGAAGATAGAAACAGAACTTGCAAACCCTCAGAGAAGAAAATACAAGCCAACCAAAACAAGTTTTGCAGTCAATCCAGCAAAAGTCAAGAAAGCAAAAATTTAAGCAGAATGAAAGAACTGATACAGCTGGGGCAGGGGCAAGCCCAAACCAATAGCAGCCACAGTCCCTCTGCCAGGCCGCATCCCCTCTCATGAGATAAACCCAAAGGCATCGGTTTGACTCTTGAAGGAGAATCTGGTCACACCCTTTTGAAAGAATGCACCTTGAACCAAGGACTTGGATAAGAAATAAAGAGCTTCCAAAAGGGAGAGTGTGGAGTGTGGTGAGCCCAGGCACGAGCATTAATGGAGACAAGGAAGGATGTTGTGTGTGGAGGAAATGGACTTGCCCCCCAAAAGATGCGGAAAACCCAAAGCTCTAAGAGCAGGATAAACATGGTCCAGAGGTACTGAAAACTAAAACTATTGAAATTGGGAGGGAAATTTGGCGAAACCACTGTTAAAGAGAGAAAGACTGAATACACTATTCCCAGAATGTGACAAAAACTAAGAACAGAGTGGGTTTAAATAGCATAATTAACATGTCCTTTAATAAACGTATGTGTACAAATCTATTCCCACAGAAAACACAAGTTCCTGTCAGACATTCTCGGACAATCTAAAAGGGGTCACATTCCAGGTGAGAAAGAAAACCTCAAAATCCAAAGACAAAAAGTAGAAATTTTCAAGCTACCAAACCTGACCATGGTGCAGTAAAATAAAACAGAACCATAAAAAGAAGGGACAGAATGGAAATCTAACCATCTGGAATGACAAACACAGTTCTAAACAACTCAGGTGAAGAGGAAAATGAAAACTGAAATGATACACAATTTAAAAGGAACAGTAGTGAGAACACAGCATATCAACTCTATGGGATACACCTAGCCAAAGCTACATTCTGAAGCAAATTCATAGCTTTAACTCTGGGTTTCTCAACCTTGGCACCAGTACCATTCTGTGCTGGATGACTATTGGGGTGGGTCTGTCCTGTGCTCTGCATGATATTTAGCATCATCCCTGGCCCCTACCCACTAGATGACCATGGCATCCTCCAGTTATAATAACCACAGATGTCTCCAGACATTTTCCTGCAGAATAAAATCAGCCTTGGTTGAGAAAAAATGCTTTAAATGTTTTGTGGATAATTACGAGAACTAAAAGTAATAATAATGCAAGAAACTATGAAAATGGTAATAAGTCAAAAGAAAGTAGAAAAAGACAAATACTGTATGATCTCACTTATATGTAGAATCTTAAAAAATACACACACACACACTGAATCTTTAAAAATACCCTGAGCTAGTGGACATAAAAAAAAAAAGGTTGATAATTGCCAGAGGAGGGGATTGGGAGTTGGGCAAAATGGGTGAAGGGAGTCAAAGGATGCAAACTTCCAAATACAATGTTAAATAAGTCATGGGGATATGACCCACAGCATGGCAACAGCAGTTAATAATAATATACTGCATAATTGAAAGTAGCTAATACTTTGGCCACCTCATGCGAAGAGTTGACTCACTGGAAAAGACCCTGATGCTGGGAGGGGTTGGGGGCAGGAGGAGAAGGGGATGACAGAGGATGAGATGGTTGGATGGCATCACCGACTCGATGGGCATGAGTCTGAGTGAACTCCGGGAGTTTGTGATGGACAGGGAGGCCTGGCGTGCTACGATTCATGGGGTTGCAGAGAGTCGGACACGACTGAGGGACTGAACTAACTAGCTAACTAAGAGAGTAGACATTAAAAGTTCTCAGCCAAATAAAAAAAAAAAGTTCTCATCATGAGAAAAAAATTATAATCCTGTGTGGTGACAGGTGTTAACTAGACCTTCTGTGGTGATCATTTCACAATGTCTAGAAATACCAAACCTTTGTGTTACATACCTGAAATTAACATACTGATTTAGGATTATACCTCAACAAAAGAGAGAAGAGAGAAAGACAGATTTTAGCTCAAAATTTTCTATATTAGGAAGTAAAATCTCTCTCCCAAACCAGAGAAAAACTCCAGCAGATCTTATCAATATAAACCTTAAGATGCACTTCAAAAACACTAAAAAACTCAGCAAACTTCTGTTGTATCTCATGAAGGCAGGAAAGAAAAGAAAAACAGACAAAAGGAATGGAAGGAAATTTGAAAATCACGTACAGAATACTGTGCATAACTTTATGCCAACACCTTTTAAAATCCAAATGATATAAACAAAATTTGCTAAGAAAACATAAGTAACCAAAACTGACTTAAGATGAGGTAGAAAATGAACATGCATAATAAAAAAAATTAAAACCATCACCTAAGATGTCCATGGTCTAATCAGATTCACATGAAGAAAATAACAAGGGCAAATTACCTACTGGGAGAAAAGCATGTGACCCATGAGGCATAGATACTATAGTTAATGTGGAAAGAGCTTACAGCAGCAAACGAGTGAAAAGAAAACTGAGCCATGACCTCAAATGGGAAATTCACACATGAAAACAACAGAAAGAGTCCAGAAACATGAGAGAAGATTCAAACTCAAATGAGGCAAAGAAATACGGCTAAGACCAAGGAAACACCAAATGCCATCAGATCTAAGAACCAGTTACAGGACACACCACTATCTTGAGCTGCTGTGAAAGGAAAATACTGGCCAATTAGACATTGATAAGCCACCAACCAAAAGGTGCACCCCAACTCCAGGAAAACTGAAGATTTCTGTAATAATGAATGTTGCCATGCAGAGACAGCAACGTTCTGACATGAGTGACGTGAATGATGCCACTCCATCCAGGCAGACGATTTTGCCAGGAGAGAAGTTTGGCAATGTGCAGCCAAAAATGTTTCAAAACCTTCTTCTAGGAAACTGTCCTGAAGAAATAGTTAATAATTCATGGAAAGCTTTAGCTGCAAGGATGTTTACTATGGGTTTTTTTTTTTTATGGTGTTATTTTTAAAAACTCTGGAAAGAACCTAAATTACCAAGAATTGAGAGTTGGTCAAACAAGAACTACATCTGTGTACATAACGTAGAATGTGAAATGACGTGTTTACAGGATGGTGTGGGTAGAAAGCACAGTTACACAAAAATGCACACAGTGCACGTGGATGTTTATAAAAACACAGCATACACGCAGAGGGAGGAGGGGTTGTTTGCAGGAGTTGCGATTCTGGATAACTCTCTTTAACTTTCCGCTTTCCTATATTTTTTAGGGTTTTCTAGAATGAATATGTATTATTTGCACAAAATTAAAAGAACCAAAGACAAAGTGAACAAAATGGAAATATCAGGTTGGTGAAAAAGTAACTGCGGTTTGGGACCGTGAATTTTAAATCATTATAACCAGGCTCAAACACATCTTTATTAATGAAAATAAGAACCATTACAATCAATACAAATAAGTTTGCTTATTCCTGTAGCATAAAGATCGGTGCTTCGGGATTTGATGAACACTTGAAAAGCATTTTCTGCCTCCTGCTGATTGTTGGAAGCATTTTCCCTGCAAAAAGTTGTCAAGATGCTTGAAAAAGTGGTAGCTGGTTAGCAAGAAGTCAGGTGAATATGGCAGATGAGACAAAACTTTTTAGCCCAATTCGTTCAACTTCTGAAGTGTTGGTTGTGCAATGTGTGGTCAAGCGTTGTTGTGGAGAAGAATTGGGCCCTCTCTGTTGACTAATGCCAGCTGCAGGCACTGCAGTTTTCAGTGCATCTCATCGATTTGTTGAGCAAACTTCTCAGATGTATTGGTTCTGCCAGGATTCAAAGAAAACTGTAGTGGATCAGATTGGCAGTAGACCACCAGACAGTGACCATGACCTTTTTTGGTGCAAGTTTGGCTGTGGAGCTTCTTCTGGGTCCAACCACTGAACTAGCTGTCACACTGGCTGTCGTATACAATCCACATTTGGTCACACATCACATTCCGATGAAGAAATGGTTCGCTGTTGTTGCACAGACCAAGAGAAGACGACATTTAGAGATAACGATTTTTTTAAAAATTTGTGGTCAGCTCATTAGGCACTGTCTTGCTGAGCTTTTTCATGTTTCCAATTTGCTTCAAATGCTGAACAATTGTAGAATGGTCAGCGTTAAATTGGTTGGCAACTTCTCATGTAGTTGTAAGAGGATCAGCTTCGATTCTCTTGGTTGTTGTCAACTTTGATGGCTGGCCACTGCACTCATCTTCAAGGCTTTTGTCTCCTTCGAAAAACTTTTTGAACCACCACTGCACTTTATGTTCATTAGCAGTTCCTGAGCCAAATGTATTGTTGATGTTGCAAGTTGTCTCCGCTGCTTTACAACCCATTTTGAACTCAAGTAAGAAAACTGCTGAAATTTGATTTTTGCCTAATATCTTTTCTCCAATCTAAAATAAATATAAAATAAACTGGGGCCGCAAAGAGTTGGACATGACTGAGCAACTTTCACTTTCACAAATAGCAAGTAATAACTCATTAGGGCTTCCCTGGGGGACAGTAAAGAAACTGCCTGCAATGCAGGAGACCCAGATTCAATCCCTGGGTCAAGAAGATTCCCTGGAAAAGGAAATGGTAGCCCACTCTGCTATTCTTGCCTGGAAAAATCCCATGGACAGAGAAGCACAGTGGACTACAGTCCACTGTGGGTCACAAAGAGTCGGACGTGACTGAGCGACTAACACTCTTTTTTTTTTTTTTGCGACTAACACTTTCAACTTTCAATAAGTCATTAGCAAAAAGAACATAAAATAAGAAATATGCACTAAAATGATGCATCACATAACCACATTTAAAAATGTATTCCAATATCAAACAGCAAAGGTCAACAATGCAAAATCACAATTACTTTTGCACCCCCGTCTCTGTGGGCCTGGGTATGGCCCACTCTACCCCACTGCTCCAGTGGGGCCTAGGGCAGGATGGGGATCTTGAGGGACACTTACTCACGATATGTCCGGCAGGCAACACCTGCTCCCCGGTGTCATTGTGGGAGGAAGAAGGCACCGCTGAGGGAGGGGACGGCACATGTCAGCGAGGTGGGGTAAGCACCTGGCTGCCAGGGTCTCCCCACATCACCAGAGGTACAGGCAGGATGAAAGGGAACCCCCCCTCCCCACTGGCTCCAGCCAAGTATCAGGGGATACTCAGGTGCCTGCCCACTCTCCCCACCCCCCATCACGCCCTCACGGTAGCAGTGTGGGAAGTCAGTGAAGCCTTCAGCACATGCGTCACATCGCGCCCCTGTGAAGTTTGGCCGGCAGTAGCAGCGGCCAGTCAGGTCCTCACACGTCCCGTCTGTGAAGTCCGACTCACAGTTGCAGCCTAAGTGGGTGTGGGAAGTCAGGGGACCCCAAGCCCAGAGCTCTCAGGCCTCCAAGGAGGGTTAGCATCTGCACCGCCACCCCCCAACCTGGGATGTGGGATGAGAGCCATGGCCTCCCAGATAGCTGCAAAGGCCCCAGGACCCTCCATTGGGGCACACCCTGCTCCTGGACACCCTTGGGACACCCCCACCCCAACCACACCCAGTCACCCCCACTTACGGCGGCAGGCATGGGGTGAGTCGAGTGGGTGGTCTGGGGAGCGGTAGAAGCCAGGCAGACACTGCTCACAGTTGATGCCCGTGGTGTGATGCTGCGACAGAACAGGGCCACTGAGTCCAGGAACCCACTGCCCCCAGCCTTGTGCAGGTCCTGCCTACCTGACACCCTCACCACAGACCTAGCAACAGACCCACCCACCTGGCAGTCGATGCACACGCCCCCGCCCTGGTAGACCTGGTCCTGATTCTGGCTGGCGTTGCGCTGATCCACCTCTGGGTCGTAGTAGCAGTCATGGGCGTGGCCATAGCAGTTGCAGGCTGGAGAGCAAGAGGCTCAGCTGTGGCCAGGCCTCCATGACCCCCGCCAGACTGGGACACCCAGGCACGTCCCATAAACCACAGGTGACCCCAGACTCAGGTGATGGAGTGTTGCCATGTTGCCTGTGTGTCAGGCACTCTTTTGAGCATGTATAAACGTGTGAATGTGTATGAATGCTGTGTTTACTGTGTGAGCACATGTCTACATGCACAGGTGTGCAAACATGCATGTACATGAGTATGAAGAATGAGATGTGAGTACAAGAGTACATTGTGTGGGTATGAGTACATGTGAGCACGTGTGAGCATGTGTGGTAGCACATGTGTGAGCACCATGCAGGCGTGTGGAGGGGCACTCACACTGGCATTCGTTGGCACTGTCTGTGGTTGCTGGCCTCCATGGCTGCTGGTTGAAGCCGGGGCAGCAGCGGTCACAGGAACCCCCACACGTATTGTGTTGGCAGGCGCACTGAAGCCTGTAGGGGACACATGGGCACAGGAAGGGCTCGGACCCACCAGGGACACAGAGGTACCGGAGAAAGGCAGTGGCTGTGTAGGGACTTCATGGAGGACGGGAGCTCGGGCAGAGCATGGCATGGTCAGTGCATGTGGCCCCTGACCACAGGTGAGCCTGGGCCCCTCAGGTTCTAGCTACACCCTCCCCATCACAGCCAGGACCCAGGCCAAGTCTGCAGCTTTCCTGGGCCACCTCTGAGGTCTGGGTCTTGCTCAGCAGGCAGCCCTGGGCTCAGCCAGACGCCCCTATTACCCAGGGCTCCTCCCCAGGGGCAAGTGGCCAAGAACTGCTTCCTCTTCCAGCCGGGGGTGGACTCCAGTCAAAGGGCTGGAATCCAGCCTACTGTCCTGGAGAGCAGCTCCTGCTGGCTCAGTGGGCAGGGGGACAGCTGGCTGCAGCTGAGGACTAAGCACAGAACCACCCTTCCCCTCAGCACACACCTCCACAACTCAATCAAAGGGGGAGCAGGAAGAACAGCCCCACCCCAGGGCCATGTGCGCCTCAGTCCTAGACCAGTACCACAGTGCTTGCTAGCCAGCCCCAGGAGCCAGTCCAAGAAGAAGAGACTGAGAGCTCCAAACCCACTTGAGCCCCTCCCTTCCTGCACAAAGGGCTACATACAGAGCCTGGAGAGGCAACACTACTGCTCCTTGGCATCCAGGGAGGGACCAGGAATAACCTGCCACAGAGGGGCCATCATAGGAAGCCCTGAGGATCCGCAACCAAGGCCCGATGGCTGGTGTTTGATTTTTCAAGAATCTACACTTGAGAAACCTGTATGCAGGTCAGGAAGCAACAGTTAGAACTGGACATGGAACAACAGACCGGTTCCAAATAGGAAAAGGAGTACGTCAGGGCTGTATATTATCACCCTGCTTATTTAACTTATATACAGGGTACATCATGAGAAATGCTGGACTGGATGAAGCACAAGTTGGAATCAAGATTGCTGGGAGAAGTATCAATAACCTCAGATATGCAGATGACACCACCCTTATGGCAGAAAGTGAAGAACTAAAGAGCCTCTTGATGAAAGTGAAGGAGGAGAGTGAAAAAGTTGACGTAAAGCTCAACATTCAGAAAACTAAGATCATGGCATCCAGTCCCATCACTTCATGGCAAATAGATGGGGAAAGAGTGGAAACAGTGTCAGACTTTATTTTTCTGGGCTCCAAAATCACTGCAGATGGTGATTGCAGCCATGAAATTAAAAGACGCTTACTTATTGGAAGGAAAGTTATGAACAACCTAGACAGCATATTAAAAAGCAGAGACATTACTTTGTCAACAAAGGTCTGTCTAGTCAAGGCTATGGTTTTTCCAGTGGTCACGTATGGATGTGAGAGTTGGACTATAAAGAAAGCTGAGCACTGAAGAATTGATGCTTTTGAACTGTGGTGTTGGAGAAGACTCTAGAGAGTCCCTTGGACTGCAAGGAGATCCAACCAGTCCATCCTAAAGAGATCAGTCCTGGGTGTTCATTGGTAGGACTGATGCTGAAGCTGAAATTCCAATACTTTGGCCATCTGATGCGAAGAGCTGACTCATTGGAAAAGACCCTGATGCTGGGAAAGACTGAAGGCAGGAGGAGAAGGGGACGACAGAGGATGAGATGGTTGGATGGCATCACCAACACAATGGACATGGGTTTGGGTGGATTCTGGGAGTTGGTGATGGACAGGGAGGCCTGGCGTGCTGCGGTTCATGGGGTCGCAAAGAGTCGGACACGACTGAGCGACTGAACACTGTCAGTGTACCCCTTAACCAAGAGAATAAGACAAAGATTAGGGCATCTGTCAAAAGCCTTGGAAAACCACACTGGAGGGATTCTTCCCAATCTAGGGCACATGGTCATCACACAGGTGAAGCCCTATTGAAAACCTGCACAGAAACAACCCAATGGGGTCAGTCGATGCAACCAACAGCAGGGTTGCACCCCAGGAACTTCACTTCATGGAGCAATCAGGTCGAAACCATAAAAAGAGAGTGTTTAAAGATTATAACAGAAGACAGTGAAATGACACTTCTCAAGTGTTGAAAGAGATAGCGATCAACCAGGAATTCTACAGCCAGCTAAACTATCACCAAAGAGGACTTCCCTGGTGATCCAATGGTTGGCAGTCCGCCTGCCAAAGCAGGGGACATAGGTTCAATCCCTGGTCCAGAAGGACACATGCTGTGGGGCAACTTAGCCCGCACAGCAACTCTTGAGCCCATGTGCCATAGAGCCTGTGCTCTGGAACAAGAGAAGCCACCACAATGAGAAGCCCAAGTAGCACAATTAAGAACAGACTCCGCTTTCTGCAACTAGAGAGAGCTCCCAAGAAGCAACAAAGACCCAGCATAGCCAAAAATAAAATGCTTTAAAACAAAAAAGAATCTTAAAAAAATAAAAAAAAAAATAATAAAAATAAAAAGACCCCAGAGAGCTCCCTCGCCCCTCCCACACTACAAGGACACAGCCAGAAGATAGTCACCTATGAACTAGGAAGGGGGCCTCAGCTGCCTCCAGAACCATGAGGAATAAGTCTCCATGGTTTATAAGGCTCCCAGCCTCTGGCATTCTGTTAGCCTGAACAGACTAAGGCACAACAGAAACAAAACAAGTGCCTTCCAAACCGAGGGGTGGGGAAGAGTGACTGGGGGCTGAGAACAGACTGGGCAGGTAGTCGGCACTCAGAATGATGGTGGTAGAGAGGGCAGAGAGGATGCAGGTGGGGGTGGAGGTGATGGTGGTAGAGGCTGAGGGGCAGAGAAGAGCAGCTGGTAGGGCAGAGCCCTCGTGGAAGAGGCAGGAGACACAACACAGGGAGGACACAGCAGGCTGATGCTGCAGGGCATGGGTGTGCAAGGGGTTTTGGCACTTGAGGTTCTGGGAGAGACACCCCACACGCCCTTCAGGGTGAGCAGAGCTCTGTTTATGCCCAGGTGCAGGTGAGTCAGGGCAGATGCCGACGCCCTCCCGGCAGGCACAGGCAGGCCTGCCTCTCCTCCGGGGCTGATCTGGCCGCCCACCTGGCGCCCTAAACAACCATCACGAGTCCCACTTGGCACTTAATTTCCCGGAGCAACCAGCTGCGCTTGGGTTCAGCACCTGAAGCTGTGGGCAGAAATCCTCGCCCAGGGCCACACTGAGGCTGCATGGGCCACTCGGGTCCTGGGGGCCTGCACCAGTGTGATCGTACCCCTCCCCCTGCAGACCCATCAGCCACGCCTGAGGAGGTCTAGGGTTCACCTCTTGGTGTTTTTTGACTATGAGAACAGGGGTGAGCTTCTGCACTGTCTGGGTTTCATCCACCTCCCTATCAACTAGGATGTGGACACAGTGATAAACCCCAGAATTGAGGGACCTGCATGATTTTGAGGCGAGGGAAGCAGCAGGAGGTGGCTGACAGAGGGTGGGGGCTGCAGGAATCTGGCCTCAGGCTCCCTTGGCAGGCTCTGCTGCCTCTTCCAGCATCACCTGTCCAGCCCTGGACCTGCTTTATGCCCCAGAGCCCTCAGCCCTGCCAGGACCTCTGTGCTAGGCAGAGGCCTCCCATTCCCTGCCTGCCCAGAACAGGGGCTGCTGGGGTGGGGCAGGAAGCCCACCTGTGCCTCTGGAGCAGGAACACAGCCCAGCATGTGTTAACTCCACACACAGCTGCTGATGGATGGGAGGGAGGAAGAGGGGTAAGAGGGAAGGAAAAAGGAGGGAGGGAGGAGTGAATACGAATCCACTGCCGAGCCAGGAGGAGAGCTGGCCTAGTGCCAGGCTCCAGCTGATAATTTAGCTGAGTGCTCACTGCTGAATTCATGGCACTGGAGCCACTTAGGCACATAGCACCAGTGGCAGCTTGTTAAAGACGCAGGTTCCTGAGCCCTGCCTTACTGGCTGAGCTCAGAACCTCCGCTGAGCGTGTCAGATGGGGGTCTCCGGGCTGCTCCCTGTCCTGAGCCTCGGCCCCTGCCTGTGTCGAGGATGGAGGTCAGGGTGGGGCGGCAGGGAGTGTATAATCTGTGTCCTCAAGAAAGGTGGGAGAGCTCCCCCCACCCCAGAGGGGTAACTGGGTCACAGGTCCAGGTAAGGCTCCACCTCTGTGGGCAGTAGGGCAGAGACCCAAGCCAGACACTAGGCCCTGCCCTTCCACCTCACTGTGCAGACGGGGAAACTGAGGCCACGGGAAAACGAGGGGCAAGGGGCCAGTGTAGAGGTGATGAAACCAGGCCTCCTCTCCCTCAGGTTGAGCACGAGATGGGGGGATGAGTAGGGAGCTGCAGGTCTCACCTGAAGGGGTCTGTGGGGTCTTTGGCATCACAGACATCCGCATGCCCGTGGCAGACACAGCGGCCGCCGATGCTGATGTCCTTGATACTGTAATAGTACTGTGCAGGGCCCGCAACGTCAGCGCGTGGCGCCCGCTCCTGCCCAGAGCCCAGGTGGCCCCGCCTCATCAACCCCCAGCCCCAGTGGCCCCGCCCACACCAGCCCGGCCCCACGGGGCCCCGCCCACACCAGCCCCAGCCCCCGTGGCCCCGCCCACAGCAGCACCAGCCCCACCGGCCCCCGCCCACACCAGGCCCGCCTGCTCGCCAGCTCACCCGGCGGGTGACCGTGGGGTCCCGCAGCGCCTTGCCCATGAGGTGGCCCAGCAGCGTGTTGGTGCGCAGGAAGCGCAGGCGGATGTTGGTGGCTTTGGTGAAGTCACGCAGCAGCGGCGAGTAGGAGAAGTTCATAGCACCTGGGCGGCCGTTCACTAGGGACACCACGATCTGAGGATGGACGCAGATCAGGCGGGGGCATGGTGCCGTCACTGACCGCCAGGTCGCATGCCCGGCGCCGTCCCACCCGGCCCACCTCGCCATTCTCCAGAGGTACAATCCGCGAGTACTCCGTGCTGCAGATGACGTCGTCGTCCTGCGTGATGCGCTCCAGCGTCCGCGGTCCAAACCGTTCCAGGCAGTCCCTCTTGGAGGCTGCGGGAATGCCGAGGGTGAGCGTGCGGCGCTCTGGGGAAGCCCTCGGAGGAGGCAGTGCCCTGCAGCCCTGCGCGCCCTGTCTTCCGGGAGCCCCATGGCCTCAGCCAGCAGGAAGCATCAACTGGAATGCAGGATCGCGGCCCACCCTCGGGGTTTTGTTGAACAGAGTGTGGAGCACATGGCAGCTTCCTCCAGAGGGCGCGTCAGGACCCAGGGTGCCTGACCCTGCCCCGAGGCTCTGAACTTGCCCACCCTTGGCGAGCTGACCGTCCAGGCCTTTGCCATTCTCTCTGCAGAGTGTCCCCTGGCGTGTCCCTCCCCAACCCCACCCTTGGGGCACCCATCCTGACTGCCCCTCACAGGGCTGCCCTGCACTCACTCTTGGGCTTTGGAGCTTGAGGGGGACACAAGTTCCAGGACCACCCAATCGAAGCCGCAGGGACATGATTGGTCAGGGTGGCACATTGCACAGCCAACCAGTGAGCAGGGGCGCAGCGCTCCCGTGCTCCCCTGATGGGGCAGCTAAGTCGGTGGCCTTTGCCACCTCGGGAGTTGCTGGAGCATAAGGCCAGTCCACAGCGAGCTAGGAGATGGACCCAGCAGTGCCATGTCAGGGACGCAAGGCCCTGAACCCCCACCTGTCTTTGGGAATATGCACCCCACCACCTGGCCCACCTAGAAGTCGGGCGTGAGGGCAGGCCTGGTATCCAGAGGCCTTGAGAGCACAGCACTGGCAGCCCACCCACCCAGGGTATCCCCCCTTGCCAGCCCCTCATTCCGGGAGACTCACATGCAAAGTACTGCCAGGGCTGGTAGGTGTGGCCAAAGTCCGTGGACCGCTCCAGCACCCAGAGGTCTGGCCGAGGGGAATTGGCAAATTTGATGAGCACATAGGCCACATGGAAAACCTGCCGGATGGTGGGTGAACACCCCTGAGACCCCTTCCATGCCACGTGGGGCCCCCAAACACCTGGAGGGCCGCCCTCAACCTGTGAGGTGAGGTCCCAGGAGATATCTGTGGGCTTGCCCTCAGGGGCCAGATACACCCAGGTAAGAGGGCCAGCTGGCTCAGGAAGCAGCCCCTCGGCTTGCAGGCCAGTCCAGGGCCAGTGAGACCTGCACCGGGGACATAGAGATGACCAGCAGAGCCCAGCATTTCTGGAGGGCTCCCTTCTTGGGCCTGAGGGTGCCTTAGGGCTCAGACGCACCCCCTCCCCAGCCCCACCCCAGCTGAGGCTGCACACAAGCCTGATAGGAGCTGGAGTCAGACAGGGCCCAGGCAGTGGGGCTGGGCAAAGTGATGGCAGAAGCTCATCCCACTGTCCCCAGAGCTCTGGTGGCTGGCCTGGGAAGGTGGCCAGATGATGTCCCAAGCTCCCAGGAGCCTGGCCTCCTTGCACAGCAGGCCGATGAACCCCTGTCCAGGATGGGGGCCCCTGTCACAGTCATCCTGGTGACCCCATCATCCTCAGAGCCAACTCAGGACCTGCCCATCTCACCTACTGACCGGCCACAGGGGCAGGCAGCGAGGATCCACCAGGGCCCAGCCTCTGCCTGCCACTGGCATGAGGCCCCAAGAGGGGAGACAGACAAACACAGGCCCTCCTAAAGCGGAGCCAGGGAGACCCTGCCAGCCCAGGAGTCAGAAGCTGGAGCTCTGCTGGGCCCAGCCATTGGGGCAGCACCTGGCCAGGGGGACGGGGGAAGCTGTTCATACAGAGGCACCCAGAACCCCCAAGGTCCCGCCAGGTGACCCAGGCTGACCTCTACTGTTCCGTCCCTGGGTCTCAATCTGACCTCACTCCCTTGTATCTCTCCTCTGGGCCAGAGTTCGGCATCCCTGGATGTCACTCTGTCCCATGCCCCAGACCTCGGCTTAGAGGGCCAATGACCCCTTCTCCTTCCCTACCTCCGTCCCAAAGTCAAAGACGAGGCGCCATTTTCTGAGCTGCTCTCTATGTGCAAAGTCTGGGCTCCAAGGAGACCTAGGCAGGGCTGGCGGAGAACCCGGTGCCCAGTCTGTACACAAGGAGAGCTGAAGCCCGAGACGAAGGGCAGAGACACAGCTAGTGAGCACCCCACCCATGGACGACGCCTGCCCCACCCCTCAGAGCCCTAAGTCACACCCCCATGCCAGACCTGCTCACAGGCGGGCGTGCTCACCAGCCTCAAGGGCAACGTCGCACCTCAGGCCACTCACTGTCCCCTCAGTGAGGCCCTGCCCAGCCCAGGGGAACAGGCCCTTTCCAGTGTCCACTGCTCTGGAACCAGCTGGTCTGTCAGTCAGCCAGGCCCCAAGCCTAGGGACAGAGCAGGGGTCCCCTCCAGGGCTGCCCAATGCCCACAGTCACCCCCTCCCCTGGTCAGCCTGAAGCTGCTGTGGTAACCCCTCGAGGGACAGTGAGGGGACCACGGACCCCTCAGGGCCCAGCCCTCAGACCAGGAGCCTAGAATCCAGGAGTGGGGGTAGGGCAGGGGGCAGGGGTTGTGAGATCCCAGGACCTTGAGACACACCCATTCCTAACCCTGCACTTCCAGGAAGGCCTGGCTTTTGCAGGGAGAGGCCTGTCCCGGGGTGTATTGTGGGGGGGTGGGGGCGGTGAGGGCCTATTCACCCATTGCCAGGCCTTGAGATCATCTTCCACTTGGCCCTGCCCAGTCAGGGGAAGGGCTCAAGCCTCTGGGGGTACAGACCCTACATTTGGCAGGCACCTTGGCCAACCCCTCAGGCATTCCAGGAAGCCCTAGGGACCGCAAACGGCCCCTGTGCCAGGAGGGGTCTTCATGAGGAAGGGGGACATGGCAGGGTGGGGGCCTCAGTGTGCACTGGACACGGAGAGGCTGTTTTGGGGGTGGCAGTGTGGCTGCCACAGAAAGCCCCCAGAGAGATTAAAGCCTCGCTCCGAGCCCTGTGGGGCCCACCCCCGCCTTTCCCTGAGTGAGGCCACCAGGCTGCACCCTCCGTGGCCAGCTTGGTCCCTCCCCCAGGTCGGCGGGCCGCACACATTTTTCCCAGCTGAGAGCATTTGCACAAATATTGACTCGAAGATGCTAATCAGGCAAGACAGGGGCAGCATGAAAACTACCGCACCCCCGCAAGGCCCAGCCCTCTGGGTGCGCTCCAAGGAAGACCCCTGCCTTCCGTCCATCTGTCCACCTGGTTGTCTCACTGTCACAGCAGGCTGGAAGGAGAGGAAGGCATATGATCAGCTCTCCCATCTGTCCCCGATCTGGTTCAGGGAGCCGCACAGCCGCCCTGGGCACGACCCAGAGCGAGTGCAGACCCCTGGCCTCCCTGGACACGGCCCCCCCCGCCGTCCCCGCCTGCTTCACTCTGCTCAGCTGCCAGCTCCCCTGACCTTTCCCGCTGCTAAAGAGCTCTGCGCAAAAGGAAAAAAAGTCTTTTAAAGCAAAAGCCAAACAAAAGCCTCCTGAGTTATTTTTAAAAATCTGGCTATTCTGGGGCAGGCACGTCTCCAGAACAGCAGCCGGACCCGCCTCTCGGCCACGGCCCCCCCCACCCAGCCTGACCTCGGAGGGCCAGGCTCGCCAGGAAGGGGTCTGCCCTGTGACCGCTGCCTGGAGTGGGTGACGGAGCCTGGAGAGCCTGGGTGCGTCCCAGACCTCAGTGGCTAGATGGTCCAGGGGGTAGTGGGACAAACACAGTAGAGGTCAGAGGCCAGGGGTCAGAGTGCAAGACCTGAAGAAAGTGTGTGAAGGCTCAGGGAATCTCCAAAGAGAAGAGGCCACCTGTTCTTGCAGGCAAGCAAAGGTAACCCAGAGCCACACCAGAAGCAGAGATTGGGGGGCGGGGGGAGGGCAAACAGGGGACAGGCTGGAGTCAGAAGACACAGGGAGGGCCAGAGAGGAAGCCGCTGCTGAAGACCCCCGGGGGTCTCCATAGCCCCAGGGACGGGGGTGCAGCAGGGCACAGCAGGCAGGAAGCCTCCTGGGCTCAGGCACCCACGTACCAGGGACAGGGCTGATGCTGGAGCCTCTGGGAGCACAAGGTCATCAGGGCCAGCACACTCCACCTCTGCCCTGAGCCCTGTGCCCCTGTCCTGGGGAAGGAGGACCCTGCCCCCACCCACTGGGCCACCAACATGAATCACCAGGCAGCCCGTGACTCAGCCTGACCCCGCAGGAAGCAGGGCCCCCTGCTGATTCCCAGGGATGGGGCAGGAAGCCCCTCCTAGACCAGGCGTCCGGACCAGCTCCCCCTTTGTTCCCAGGGGCACCCAGACCTCCTGGACCACCACCCCAGACTGCTGGACTGGCCTCAGAGCCCTGTGTGCTGAATCTAGTTGAGCCAGCACCCCGGGTTTGCCCTCTCCCTGGAGACCCCATCTGGAAACCTTGATAAATATAAATGCCACAGCAGGAGGTGGGGGGGTGGGGTGGCCTAATGGGCATGTCCACTCAGGCCCCCAGCTGGGTAAATAAGAATGGCCATCCACACAACGGGGAGCTGAAAAACAGGCCACACGTGGCTGCCACTCCAGGAGTGGAAAAGCCACTGCTGGAAAGAAAAATAAAACCTGGAAACAAAGAGTGGGCAGGCAGAGGCCCCAGGAACCCTGACTCTGTGGGGCCAGGTGCCCAACACACAGGTGTGTAGAGTGGAGCGCGTAGGGGGATTCTCAGCGATTGGGCAATCTGACAGCTCTCTAGAAGCTCACCAGCTCAGTGGAGCCGGGCTTGGTGGGGAGTTCAGACACCCCCAACCATCCACATGCTGTCTTGGGTCCCCTGCCTTGAAGTGGGGGTTTGGGGGGCTCACCCCACCCCCACAAGAGCTCCTGTCCCTGTCCCACAGCGCCTGCAGCCTGGCCCAGGTCAGGCCAGATGGTCAGCCTCGGGCCATAGGAAGTGGAGTTTATCCCAAGGGGACCCCAACACCCAAACAGTTTATAGACTTCAGCATGAGCCGTGTTGCTGGAAGCCAATGCCACAGTGTTTGCTTAAAAACAGACAGAAGAAAGGAGCCTGGGGGGCTCAGTATGAGGAGGCCGGAGTGTTGCTGCGTGCCATGATGGCCGGGGGTGAGTGGCAGCAGGAGCCAAGGACAAATGGTCCCCAGTCTCAGCCCCCGGTGGCCCCTCTGGCCCTGCATCCTTCAAGCCGAGGGACGAGCTGAAGCACGGTCCCCCGACTCCCACAAGGAGAGAAGGGACCCCTGCTGACCCGAGGACTCACCCTGGGGAGGCTGTCCCAGACCCCCACGCTCTCACCCCCCCAGGGAGCCTAGCCCAAGGAGCCGTGTCCGGTTCAGACCCCCCACCCCCACCTGTAAGCAGAGCCTGGCTGGTCTCAGCCATACTTCCGGCCACTTCCCTTCAGCAACCCCGCTGACCCTCCTGGGGCACTGCCCACATGGCTGAGAGCCCAGCTGGGCCTGGCCAGCCTGGCCAGTGACCGTGACCTCGTGACCCAGCAGGCTGGCGGGCACGCCGGGACCAGGCTGCCTGCCCAGGGAGCCCCAGACTGACCAGCTCAGAGGGGGTAGAGCCCGGGACTGGGGTGGGCAGGGTAGGGCTGCATGGGGAGTCCTGACCACAAAGCAGCCAGCACGTCTGGGGCCCTCGTGAGCAGCAAGGTCCAGGCACGTGCTCACAGCCCACATCCAGAGGAGGGCCGGAGGCACAGTCGGCCTGGCTTCTCCTCCACACGGGGGCTCCAATCCCGCTGTGGTGGGGGTGGGGGACAGCTGGTGTCCTCCCTGCCTCCCCACTGTCCCTCAGGGAGGGCAGACGCCTCACCCTGGCATTTTCAGTGCCTCAACCAACACTCCTGGCCTCCCACCCAACCCCCCAGCCTACACCCCACTACCAGCCCAGACCCCGCTCCACTGTACCCCTCACCTGGTCTCCAGTCTCCTCCCCTCCAGGCCTGGCCTTTTGGGGCTGGGACAAAGGGCCGCCCCATCAGGGCACAAGCAGAGAACACAGCCCACAGCTGGGAGGGGACCTCTATTCCTCACCTGCCTCTGCATCTGAGGCGTGAGGGCTGAGCCCACAGGTGGGGGTTGCTGGGGAGAGGTCCTCCCCCACGGCTGGGCCACCAGGGGGCATCTGGAGAGGGAGGGGACTCCCCCCAGAACCAGCCCTTACTCACCCTGCCCAGCTCCCTAAGACCCCCTGGGAACATAGAAAGTGAGGCTCAGAACAGGGAGCCTGAGACAGGCAAGAGGCCCAGGGGAGACAGGAGACAGCAAAAACCCGTAGGCCCCTGGAGGACCCCCAGGCAGGCCACTGCTGGGACTCAGGACAGTGCCCCCTCGGTCTCCAGCCAGAGACCCCCTCTGAGGCTGGCATCCCACAGGCTCAGCTCCTCAGCCAGTCCTCTCAGGTGTGGGGTCCTGGCCAAGGTCAGCAGGGCAGGAGTGGAGGCCTGGACTTCTCCGTGCCCTTCTCGGCCAGACCCTCACTCCTGGGGCCTCGGTTTCTCCATCTGCAAAATGGGGGGAATAGAGTGCAGTGACTGCTGTCCCATCCTGGGGAAGGTCAGAGGCAATGAGGAGGGGACAGGGAGAAAGCTCCTTGAGGTCCCAGAACAGACGGACGCTACAGGGACCAGGCCCCACCAGCCGCAGCTCCACCCCCGGGGTGAGAAGGAAGAGGAGCTGCCAGCGGTCCTCCCTGGCCTCCCAGGGCAGGAAGTCCTCCTGATGCCCAGGGCCAGCTGCCCCACCCCCACCCGCTTTCCTGGGGCATCCGCTTCACATCCCAGAACAAAGGCCCCTGGCAGCCGCTGCAGGGGGAGGGCCCAGCCTCACTGCCCACTCACCGACTCTGACAGAGGACCCAGCCCCACCCCAGGGGGACCTGTGCCCCAAAGGAAGGCCCAGCCCTTAAGCCAGGGAACCCCCAGGCCCCTCCTACTGGCCTCTTTCCCCCTGCACAGCCAGTGTGCTTGGAGGGTCCTTCCCGGGACACCCTCAGTCTGGCTGCAGGCCAGCTGCTCCAGTGACCAGAATGGGGACACTTGAGGAGGTAGATCCCAGGGTCACTGTGAGGGTGCCTCCAAAATGCCTTCCCCCAGCACTCCAGCCTGTGCCCCCTCCATCCTCCAGAGCTCCCATTTCCTACCCCCGTGAGCCCCTCTGCCCACGAGGGACCTGGTCTCTGTTCCCAACCCCCACTGGCCAAAGGCACTGGTCGAAGGGACCCAGTAGTCATGCGGTGACTCGGGGAGGAAGGGGCAATGAGCTCCTTTTCCTAAAGGGAAGGTGGTGAACGTGGGAATCACCTCTGGAATTCCACCGTGGCTCAGAAACATGCCCAGGAAAGGGTTTTATCTCATCACAGAGCTGGACACTGGGTGCTTCCCACTCCACCCAACTCCAAAGCACACAATTGGGCATGTCCTAGGCTCCCCTGCCCCCGTCCCAACCAAGGCTGGCATCCCCTTAACCAAGATGGGGGTTTCCGTAAGAGGAGAAGGAAGAAGGGAGGGGTGGGGACATGGGAAGAGCAAAGGGTTTGCAGGTGGATGGATGTTAGGCGGGTGGGCTGGTAAGGTGGGTAAGTAAATGGATGACTGGGAGGGTGGGTGGGTAGATGGATGGGTGGGAGGGTGGCAAAAAGAGAGGATGGGGAGAGAGAGAGGAAGAGCAGTGGGTGGGTGGGAGAGTCAATCTCCCCACAAGCAGGGCTGGAAACGGTCGCTTTCCCATTTGTGTCATTTTACATTTGGGGAAACCGAGTCTTGGTGGGCAAGACGCACACAGGGTGAAACCCTGGCCCCAGTGCAGGCCCAGTCTGCAGGGCAGATGTCCCGCCTGCCTCCGCATCTCTGTCCTACACAGACAGACACTGAAGCGCAGGGGGCCACGGAGGCGGGGCAGGGGTGGGGTGGTGTTAGCACTGTCCGAGCTCCCCCTTGGCCCCACCCACTGTACCTGGGGAGGGCACTGTGCCCACCTGCTTTGGGAGGCCAGATCACTGTGTGCCCAGAGAGCACCCCTGCCCTGCCCCAGCCAGGCCAGGCTTGTCCACAGAGGAGGGGCGAGAAGGACCCAGTGGCTTGGCACAAGCTCCCCTGCTGACCCTGGGGCAGGGGCAGAGTCCATGTCCCCCTCTCCCTCCCTGGTGCCCCCTCTAGGGCAGTGCCAGAGACAGGGGCACCCAGGGGCACCCAGGGGTGCTGAGGTCCCTCTCATGCTCCCAGCGGAAAGGAAGAGAGCACAGGTGTGGTGAAGGCCCAGTGAGCTGAAGGGCAGTGGGCCTGGCGCCCCCCAGACCTGGGCCAGGCAGCACTAGCAGCCCAGGGGCCTTCTGCAGGGCCTGGGAAGGGAGCCCCTCCCAGGGCCTAAGAGCTAACTCCACCCCTCCACTCCCCTGGAACTCCCAGGCCACTTACTGGAACTCAAACCCATTCCCCTCACTACCCCCTGCCCACCAGGCCTCCAGGTGGGGGCAGGAGGCAACCAACACTGCCCCCTAAACCCACCTGCAGGGCACGCCTCCCACCCAGCCAGGCTCCCAGGAGATGCATCCCCAACTCTCCTGGGATGCCCTCAAGGTGACAGCAGGATGGAGGCCCAGTGAGGAACAGAAACCCACCAGGTCACGCACCAGGATGGTGGCTAAGTCCCTGTGACCAGAGAAGGGGTGAGCATGGGGTTGAGTAGGATCAACCCTGAGCCTGATGCCCAGGCAGGCCCAGAGCTGGCTGCTCCTGGGCTCGGCCTCATCGACCTGCCACCCCTACCCCGCTCTACCCAAGGAGGTGATGGGACTGCTGGCCCATTTCACAGGCCAGGATTCCAAGGCTAGACACCTAACAATGTCATGTGGGGAGTGGGACACAGCCTGTGAGCCTGAACCAGCCCAGATCCACCAAAGGAGGAAATGCTTGACACCCTCCTGCCCGCCTGACTGGGAGTGTGGGGCGGGGGGCCGGGGGCGGCACACCTAACCCTTGGGTGGCCCCACAGCACAGGTATCCTAGGAATGTCCACTTCCGCTGGCCTGTGCATTCCTGCAGCCCCTCCCACTCCCCAGTGGGCCTGGCTCCCTGCAGAGGAATTCCTCTGAGTAAACACCAGGGCGCCTGGCCAGGGGCACAGGGCCCACAGCCTTCAGTCCCACCTCCGTGTCAGTCCCCCAGTGCCCCTCACCCTAATTCTCCATGTGACCTCTGGGAAGGCCCCCATCTGGCCTCCCGCCTTGCTGTGAACCATGAGGATGTTGAGAAAACAATGGAAGGTGCCCCTGCCACGCCTGTGTCTGTGCTGAGCCTGCCACAAGCAGCCCATCTGTGCCCAGTCCAGCCCGGCCTCCCAGTCCATTCTAGATGGAGACCCCGCCTTCCAGTCCATGCATCAAGGGGAGCCCTTCGGCCAGAGACACAGGGTGGGGCTGTGGCAGACGGAACAGGGACTGTACCTGGCCCAGGTCCAGGGTGACGTTGACCTCGTTGTACTCCAGGCCCCGGGACAGTGGTGGGCTCTGCCACCAGCGCTCCGTGCCATCAATGGCGTTGCTCACAGGGTGAGCCCTGTTGCTGTTGGCGGCTGTGCAGATGTCGCAGTACTGGCCCTGTTGGGGAGAGGTGGTCAGATGGCCAAGGAGTGCTGTGACCTTTTGCCTCTCCAGTCACTCCCACCCCTGCCCACAGGGCCCACCCCTAGCCTGTGGAGCCTTGTCTGCCGTTCACTCTTTCACTTGGCTAACACACACTGGGTGCCAACACGCACGGCTGATGTGAGAGGTGATCACACCTGCCACAGAGGAAACAGAAGAGCAGGCGGGGGAGGGGCACCCAGCGCAGGTGGGGAAATCATGGTAGGCCTCCCTGAGGAGGTGGCTCTGAGTCCTACACCATAAGAGAGGGTATGCTCTAGGCAGAAGGGCTGGCTATGCAAAGGCCCTGGGGCAGGAAGAGCAAACTAGGAGTAAACCGCAAGAAGGCTAGTGTAACTGGAGCTGAAGGGCAAAGGGCTAGCTAAGGAGCAAGTCACATGTCATTCTCCCCCACAAAACTGGCCACTGCAGCGGGCTTTAGAAGGGCTGGCACAGGATGGGGCCCAGTGGAAACCTAAAGAGCGAGGAAGGTGGGGCTACAGTCAGAAGGCCCAGGCTGAGTGTATGCCCCTCCCCACCTCTACCAGCCCATCCCTCAAACCTCCCTGCCAGGCTCTCACCCAGAGCCATGGAGCAGGGTCTCCAGGGAGGCAGCCTGTGGGGAGGCCCCAGAGGGCAGGCACGTGGGCAGCCGGCAGACGAGGCCGGGACCTGCTGGCTCTGCCATTTCCGAGCTCTGGGACCCGGCCAGATCCCAGCAACGGCTGAGCCTCACTGCCCTGTCTGAAGAGTGGGCGTAATGCTGGCACCTGCTGCGGCCACTTCAGGATTAATGGATCCCACGCAGGGCCTGGCAGCTGCTTCTGTCACGGTCCAGCCACCTGCCGGGGCCCTGTCCTCTGGCGGGGGACACAGGGGCTCCCAGCGCCATCCCAGCCTGCTGTCCCCATGGGGTAGGAGCAGGTGCTGGAAGCCCAGGCTGGGATGGGGGCAGCGCTGGGCCCTGGCTGCTGGCCCAGTGGAGGCCCAACCCCCCAGCCCAGAGGAAACCAGACCTGCTGTCCCCTCGCACACAAAGGCGGCCCTCGGAGACTTGGCACTGATTGAGGCCCAGAGAGGCTGTGTCTGGGAAATGTGGCCGCTCCACCCCTCCCAGCCTCCCAGGGGGCCAGACCTCCTCCTAAGAGTTGGGAGCGTGGGAGATGCCCTGTCCCCACTCCCAGGCCTGGCAGCCAGACAGCCCCCAGCCTCCACCCACACAAGGTGTACCCCTGCCTCCCCTGGACACACCTGCTCACAGCTTCCACCATGTGCCCAGGACAGCGAGACCAAGAGGAGGAAGCTCGGGCGCCAAGCCGCCAAGAAGTGGGACCCCGTGTGTTGGGTGCTTGGGGAGGCCCCTCTACCCTCTCCCTACAGCCCTCGCACCCGGATTTCTTGTCCTCCAGCTCAGCTGTCACTCCTCAGCAGAGCCCCATTGCGCAGGACCACCCAAGAAGCTGACCTGACAACTCCCCCCCTCCACCACTCTGCTTTATTTATTCTGTCACATGAGCCTGTTGCGATTCTCCGATTCTCAGTTTACTGCCTCCCTGGGCAGAAGGGGCAAGGGGGGGGGGTACACCTGCCTTGTTTTTATATCTATTTTATTTATTTATCTGGCTGTGCCAGGTCTTACTTGTGGCACACTGCATCTTTTCGTTGCAGCATATGGGATCTAGTTCCCTGACCAGGGGTCAAACCCAAGCTCCCTATGTTGGGAGAACAGTTTTAGCCACTGGACCATGGGGGAAGTCCCCCTGCCTTGCTCTTAATTGCATCCCTGAGGCCATGACCCAGAGCTGCCGCACAGAAGGGCAGGAGCAATGGAGGACACCCAGAAGAGGGGCACCATCTGTAGAAGCCGTACCACCAGCTCAGATGGAGGAACCTGGGCTCCGGGTCCCAGACTCTGAGAGCTCCCAGAGGCTGGGCTCAGAGAGGATCATGGCAAACACCGAGCACATATGTGCAAGCTGTCTGGGGCCTGGTGGGGCTCTCAGAGGAGGTGGGTAGGGCGGTCTGGCTGGGGTGGTGGGCCTTTCAAAGAAGACTGCCTTGGTCAAGGGAGACAACGTAAGTGCCTGCTCAGGTCCCCCCAGAGAGTTGGGGCCACAGCAGGGCTGCATGACATGGGCGCACAGTGGATGGAGCCGGGGGTGGAGGGGTGGGGAAACGAGGTTCACTCCGCCCCTCCACTGCAGAGGGTCCTGCTGGGAACAGAGCGAGGAAGCAAGGAGGAGTGATAAGGACTTCCCCTCCCAGTGAGTCACCATGCTGGCAGCTGAGCCCCCGACTTCCCCTGCAGCGCTGGGGCCAGCCCAGAATTTCTCACGTGCCCACCTGAAGTCACAGGGCCAGATCCCCAAGTTACCCTCTGCCTGCCCCAGCTGCCCACAGGACTGCCTCACCCCGATGTATAGCAGGGCTCACCCTGTGCCCTGCTGGTTTGCAACCATGGACCACACGACCCTCCTGACCCACCCACAAAACTGGGCTCTTGGGATGGAGAGGTGGGCCTGGTCACTCAGCTCCAGACAGTGCTTGCAGGCAAGGCCCTTCACCAACCCAACAAGAGGCCAGGGTGGTGAGCAGACCTCGTCCCCCAAGGGGACAGGGAAGCAGGTCCAGTGACTCGACCAAGGCTGGCCATCAGTGTTTCTGGCCATGCAGGCAGCCTCCGAACAGGGGTGCCATAGCTGAGCACTGCAGACTTTTAAAGTGAGGCTTCAGCCCTAACCTGCTAGACTGAGAGCGCAGGACTCAAGTTTTGCTTAGAGCCCTTGCCTGCAACGCCACGGCCATGGCCACTTGCCAAGCGGTCACTGTGTGATGGACCACCTCCCGGGCTCCACAGGCAGGCCAAGCTCACAGTTTCAGGTGAAGCGGCCCTCGTGATGTACCCATTTTATAGATGAGGAGCCTGAGACTGGGATAGGGGGAAGCCACACAGCTAAGGAGAGGGCCTTGGGCCACAGGCCACCAGCTCCTGGGCTGCTCATTTAAACACTGTGAGGAGGTACTAAGCAGCCTTCCCTCAACGGCCTGGGCAGGCAGCACAGGTTGGTAGGGGTGAGGTGGCCGGGAGCCTGTGCTGATGAGCTGTGGAATCCCAGCTGAGCATCTGGGGGCGGGGCACTTAGCCAGGCCCTCTGGGCAGCTTTGGAGCTCCCCACAAGCTCCTCCTTTTGACCTGGCTTCTCTGATGTCACTCAGAGACACTAAGGGCCCAGGGTAGGGGTCCAGGTGGCCCCGCTCACCCTAGCCAGATCCTGGTCTGCTTTGGGGCTTTACAGGCCTCAGTTTCCCCACCTGAAACGTGGGCTTGAGACCTCCCCCTCAGCTGGGCAGGGCTTTCAGAAGAGCATGAGTCCAGAAAGGTGAGTCCAGGAGCCCGAAGGAGGTGACACTGCTCCAGACAACACTGCCGCACCAGGGCCCCCTCTCACTTCTACCCACCCCCACAGGGGTGGGGGGGGCAAGGGGAGTGGGCAGGCAGGCCCTGTAAAGGGGCCCCAGCAGTACCTCCCTCATTCATCACCCCCATCAAAGCTCCTCCCCTCCCCCCCGTCTCTCCTACCAGGAAGGTGGCAGCAAGTCCCTGGAGGCTGAGGCTCAGATTACAACAGCCTAGGGGCCCCCAGACTCTCCCTAAGGTATGGCAGGGATGGGAGGATGGGCCCAGCATGGGATGCCAGGAAACCTCCGGAGCAGGCCCTACCCCGTCCCCAGGCAGAGAAGTGCCCCTGATTGCAGCTCCGAGCTCTCATCCCCTCCGTCTGTCCCCCTCCCACCTCGAGGGTCCTACCGACTCCCTAGAAACCCCGGCGGGGACAGCTTCAACCCTCCGGACGGAGTTAGCTCTCCCTGTGTCTGGCCCCTCCGCCCCCATCCCTGGCCCATCCCGTCGCCAGCAGGTTCCAGCCTGTCCCGGAGGAAGGCGGAGCGGTCGGCCCCCTCCCCAAGGGCAACGGGCCACGGAGGCCAAGTCCCGCCCTCGCCGGGATCCCGGGACTCGGGGCCTCGGGGGACCAGGCACCAGCCCCTCCCGTCCAGCTCGTCACCGCTGCCGAACTCAACTGGTGCCAGCCGCGCCCGGGTCGGTTGCGTGCCGCCTTCCCAGCGGGAAGCGCAGTTCTCTGCGCTGAACCCGAAGGGCCGAGCTGCGGTCCCTTCCGTCCCCCGAAATGCACAACTGGGGCACTGGGACGGGCGGCGGCGGCCGCGGTGCGTACCTGGGCTCTTCGCCGAGTCGGGTTGGAATTCCGGAGTCCGAGCCCGGCGCTCACTCTGAGCCGGCGTCCCCACACCCCCGCCCGGCCTCCGGCCCTAGCTCACCTGGATGGTCTGGTTGGGGTCCCCGCCGGCCACGGGGCCCCCCACCAACTTGCAGTAGAGGTCCTCGGTGGGGCGCGGGGCGCCGCGCGCTGGGGCCTCCTCGCCGCAGGTGGCCGAGGCGGCGATGCGGGCGCCCTCCGCCAGGTTGAAGTAGGGCGGGTGCAGGCTGAAGCCACCGCCCGCCGCCCTCACCCGCGCCGCGCCCAGCAGCGCCAGTCCGGCCAGCAGCAGCGGCGCGAGGCCCCGGGGACCGCGGGGCCGCGCGCCCGGTTTCGCCATCTTCCAGCTCGCGGACTGCGGGCGAGGCGGGAGCCCGGCGGGTCTGCGGCGCCGGGCCGGGTTCGGCTCGCTCCGCCCGCGGACGTCAGGCCCCGCCCCGGCCCGCCCGGGAGCTTCGGCCCCGCGCCCCGGGGAGGGGGCGGGGGAGGCCGGGGGGAGGGGCGGCCGGCCGCCTTAACCCTTGGGACCCCGGCCCGGCCGGCCTCCTGGAAGGGGGACACCTGCTGACCTCGAGCCGGGCCGTGGGAACGCGACGCCGAGGCGGCCCCGGGGCGTGGCTCCCGGTCCCGGGCGGCCCCCTGCGCCCTCCAGCACCGCGGCCCCGGACGCGCCGGCCCGCTCCTCTCGGTCCAGCGGATCCGCTCTTTGTTTCCCTAACTTCGGGCACCTCTCGGCGGCCGAGAGTCCCCGGCGGGCCCGGGTTTGGCGCCACTCCTCTCGGGTCCAGTCCGGGCCCAGCCCGTCCCCACCCGCGACCCCAGAACCGGCAGAGTGACCCGAGTGACCGCAGCCCGGGAGCCCAAACGCGGGGTCCCTGGGATTGAGATGTGAATTCCGGAGCGCAGCGCATCCTGGCCGCCTCTCGCCGGCGGGTTTTCGGTGTTTTGCGCATGGTACTGGCCCCCATTCTGCCTCACCCAGCAGGTGTGCAGGAAGGTGCACTCTGCTGGCTGTGAATGGCGGTGGGTAGTGGCCCCAGAGGCAATCCGGTCTGCAGAGGGAGAGGGAGACCCTCAGCTGTGGACCAGGGGCCAGGTCAGATTCAACCCCACCTGACTCCTGCCTGGGCAGGGTTTGGTTTAAAAATTCTCTAAAACGGGGAAGTGGGGCCCTCTGCAGTGAAGGGAGGATACTCAGAGCCCTGTAGGCTCCAGGAAGACTGGCTGCGAAGGAGGGCATCTATTGAGCACCTGCTGTGTGAAGGGAGGGGCCAAGTGTGAGCCCACCCTGGTGCCTGGGGTTCCTTGCGGGGAGGCACTGTGGATCCCACCGTCTCTGTCTGCTAGTGGAACCCTCAGGCTCAGGGCAGGCGCTCAAGGACACTGGGGAAACGGGGCTGGAAGAGAGGTCGGTCGAGCTCAGGATTGTGTCCCAGCTGTTTTTGCATTTGGGTGGCTTCGGCCACTGGGTCTCCTCCCCTCCTTCAGCTCCTGGCCCACATCCGCCTCAAGGGAAGCCCTGATGGGGCTGGCGCAGCTGCTGGGCTGGCAGGGCCCCCAGTCTATGAGCCAGGCCAGCTGGGTGTCTGTCCCACGTGGGACCCCCTGGACAGTCCTGGGGAGTCGAGTAAGTTTGTGGGGTGGCAGCCAGCTGGTCCTGGCGGGTCCTGCCCCAGTAGTTGTTCCTGGAAGGTCACACCACTGGTCACATCTTCCTGGCTGTCCCTGGCCTCCTGCAAATCCTGAATCCCAGGGGCTGGAGGCAGCTTCTCTGCAGAGTTGAGACAGGCAGGCGGCGGTGTGGGCTGGCTCCCCCCTCCCCTCCCTCTCCTTTCCCTTCTTCTCTCTCATCTCCCTCGCTCTCAGGCTATTCTGTAACTCCACCTGGGCAGGGGGAGAAGAGGTGGTTCCTCCCCAGAGACCCTCTGAGTTGGAGAGGGCCTGGCCTAGATGGGGGGAGGGGCAGGTGGACAGGAAGGAATCCAGAGTCCCTGTGCCTTGACAGGCCAGCTCACCAGCTAATTTATAACCCCTTGAGACAGCTGCCTCTGGGCAGTAGCAGGGTTTCCAGATGGGGGATTTGACCTGTCCTGGCCCCGCCCTCCCTACTGCCCAGAGGTGCCCCCATAACACACATCACAGCAGTGCGCTCTGTCCCTGGCACCAGCACCCCCTTAGCGCTGGTGAGCTGGCATCCTGAGGGCTGGGGCTGGGAACCCTCCACCCAGGTCGCCCCCCATGTCAGCTTCTCAACACCCATGGAGGGGTCAGGGGACAGGTGAGAGGCAGGAGCCCTCTGAGCCTCCCAGCGACCAGGCCACCGCTGTCCAGAGGGTACAGAGCAGACGGGAGGGAGGGGCCACCGCCTGAGAATGCGCTGAGTCAGCCGGGTCAGCATGTGGAGGGTTAATCGTGGGCTAGCGGCTTCCGGGAGACAGCTGCCCTGAGCAACTGGTGGCCTGGGCCTGGGGGTGAGGGGTGAGGCGCATTGCCTGGTGAAGTGGGCAGAGGGCGATGTGGTGGAAGGAGCTGAGTGAGGTGCCCGCTTGGCCCCCACCCTGTGTCCACTTAGGTGCCCCAGCTGGAGCAGGGCAGGGGAGGGAGGCCCGTCTCTGCTCACCTTCATGCCTGATGCCCAAGGCACATTTCCAGCAAGTCATTTTCAGCTGGTGCAGCGAGGGTGTCCAGTCTTGCTCTGACTCCTGGACCACCCAGCCACCTTTCCTACTTAGGAATTGGGAAACTGAGGGTCAGTTTCCAAGGCCCAGGGGTCAGTCAGGAGCATGTGGTTAGCAAGGGAGAGAAGGAGTTGGACTGGCATTCATTTTCTCCTCCCAAATATATTGGGCACCTTTGCGGTACAGGTCCGTAATGCAGTGCCCCCCATCCTGAAACAGGCTGCTTTAGCCTTCTGTCCTAAGTACACAGGAGAGGGACCCCAAGTCCTGGGAGGTGGGTGGAGGCAGCTCATGGGGAGGCATGTGGAGGCGACCTGACCCCCTGTGTCCTGCTGCGCTCTGACCATGTCCCACAGGAGGACCCCACACCCAGAGTCCCCCCCACCCAGCCCCACAGTAACTGGAGCCCCGGGGCCTGCGGGAGGTCGGACACAGGTGGCAGCTCGAGTGGGAAAGAGGTGCTCCTGAACCCAGGTAGGGGATCCAGCCGATCCCCCCCACACCGAGCCCTGGGATAAGACCCCTGTGGTGGGGCCTGGGCCAGGGGAGCCCACCCTCGAGACTGCGCCCCCCCACCTTGATGTCATGCCCAGGAGCCCTGCTTAGCCCCATCTGCAGGGCAGCTGTGGGGACCACAGGCCAGGCCACAAGGGCACACCTGCCATAGCCTGAGCTGAGTCCTAACCGCGACCATAACTCCCCAGGAACAGCTGCGAGGGGCACCCCTCATTACACTCAGCCGCATCATCACGTCACAGTCGGTAACAGATGACTGTGCCTGACCCTGACCGCTGTCCTGGATCCCAGCTCTCACCCAGCGCTGCTCCTCTGGGGTGGGGGGTGGGGGTGGCGGGGAGAAACTGCAATGCCCCGTGGGAGAAGGAAGCTGAGCTCTCTGCTCCTCGCTGGGAGTGTCTGTCTCCCTTTGACAGGAAGAGGTTTCAGGAGAAGCTAGGCTGTGGTTTGGAATATTCCCTGCCCCAGGGCTGCCCTGATGCCTTCTGGGGAGCCCAGGTGGCCAGAACATGTACCCGGTCCATCCAGGCTGGCTGTGGGGCAGGTGGCAAGGCTGATGCTGGCGGCTGCTGGCAGCCCTGGTCCAGCCCAGGCCTGCGGGGGGAGGACGCAGACCAGCTGAGGGGAGGCCTCATTAGGAGGTTGTAAAGGGTTGTAAAGCCAGCAGGTCTGGGGCTGAGAGAGCTTCCTGGCCTCTGGGCCATTGCTCAGTCCAGAGCCCTCCCCTGGCCGTGGGCTGGCACAGTCCACTGGGAGGGCAGAGGACAGGCCAGATGACCTGAATGGGCACCAGAAGGGTGCCAGGCTGGAGTCCCCTCATTCCCAACTGAGGAGTGTCTGGGGACAGGTCCCTGGATGCCCCTGATGGACTGGTGTCTCCTGCCTGTGACCCCAGCTGGGCCACCTTGGGGCTCCCCGAGGCCTCCAGGGCGTGGGCTCTGGGAAACCTCCGAGGCCACCAGGCTTTGGGTTGATCCCAACGAGCAGCAGATGGTTTTGACCCCCATGCTGCCCAGCCAAGGGCCTTCCCTTAGGAGCCTTCTGTCCCCGGAGCTCTGGATGCTCTGTGCCCAGCCTACAGGCAGCAGTCTCCAGCCTGAAGGCCAGACCCTTGGGCATCCTGGTGGGCGGTTTGCACCTCGGAGGGGGTCCAGACAGGCTCACGTGTGCCCAGTGCCATGGGCTGTGCTGGCCAGCCCCCAGGCCTGGGCTCTGCACAGAAGTTCCCCAAAGCTCCTTTCTCCTACTCGTCTCACCTCCTTCCCGACTGGTGTCCTAGATGGGCAGGCCTGGCTCTGTAGAAGGCACACACGTCCAGGATGCCCAGAAATGTGGGGCTTCGTGACTCCCCATGGGCTTGTCAGTGTGCTGTCCATGAACAGAAAGCCTGGATCAGGCAGGAGTCCAGAGTCCCGGGTCTGGCTTGTACATCCCCTCCTGTGGCCTCAGTGTCTCCAGCTGAGTGTAGGGGAACCCCCACCTTGCTGACATAGGGGCACCAAGCTTTGTGAAGGACGCCACGAGCTGGAGGAATCGGACCAGTCACCTTATGGACTGGAACCTTTATGATAACAGCTATGGGTGCCAGGTGCCTGCTGGGCTGGGGCCCTGCCACGCCTCATCCTGTCTCCCTCCTCCCAGGCCAAACTGCCTTTTGCTTATCTTAGGATAAAAGCCAGACCCCTCACTGAAGCCCCCAGGCCCCAAGGAACCTCCCAGCTATGCGCTGCCTGTCTGGGCCATCAGGCTGAGCCTCCAGCCTTCCCTCCCCTTCTGTCTCATGGAATTTTGGCCTTATTCCCTCCACCCAGGACACAACAGAACCCCTTGTCTGCTTTCCTGGGCCTCTAGTGGGTCAGACAGATATGCACCTACCCTTTCTCAGATTCAATTCAATCACACCTGTGTCTTGCCTGTCCATCTTGCCATATCCTCAGGCCTGGTGAAGAGGAGGTGCTTGGGGAGTGCCCACCACATGAAGGACAGCCTCTGGGGCTTACCCTGTCACAGGTCCTTCCAGGCTGTGCAGGGCCCTGTAACCAGACTTGGGCCTCTGGTTCCCCAGAAGAAGCCCACTGCTGTGCTCTGGGGACCCCTTTCCAGCACGGGGTCTGTGAGCTGGAAGGAGAGGCAGGGCCTGCGGAGAGGAAGGAGCTGCTGTCTGAGATAGCCCCCGTGTCTGCATCCTTGCACGATATCTTTCCCACCATGGCTCACCAGACGCCCCCCTGACCCAGCCCTGGGCTTGAGGAGCAACCCTCAGCCACAAATCTCCCACCCCAGCCCCAGGGGAGCGGCGGGCTGAGTTGGGGGGCACCCTAGGAACCCCTGAGGAGGGGGCCCGGACCTCCCTGGAGAGCCAATCATATCCAGAGGGCAAAGGAAGGGGCTGGTTCAGAAGGGAGGTCGCTCTTCAGACTCCAGGCCCAGGTGCCTCCCTCAATGGGTCACCTCCCAGCACCTTCCTAAGGTGTAAAATCGGGGGTCCAGGCCTCCTGCTCTCAGATCTGTGGGGAGCGGGGGGGTGACCCCGGAAGGCTTACATCAATCCCTGTATCCCCCACACAGGACGGCAGCATCCACATCGGACACCCGTGGGGCCAACGTGTCTGCAGTGTTATTTACCCCATTTGACCTTTGGCTCCTAGGACTCCCCCACCCCCACGCTCACCACCTCCCTGCTCTGTACTCTGGACTGGGCAGCCCTGGGGGAAGCAGGTGAGGGGCAGGGGGTCCCCAGCACAGAAGAAGGGGGTGGCACCTAGGGCCCTGGGCTGCCCTGCACCCCTTCCCTCTCAGGACTGACCTGCAGCAGGCCCCTCCCCCCAGGTCCCTGGGGGCCTGGCCAAGCTCTGGTTCCCGCCGGGTGAGGGCTCTGCAGCTCCTCCAGGAGGTGCCCACAGGCGGCCTTATATGGCCAGAAGGCCTTGCTGCCCAGGAGGAATCTGATCCCACGGGAAGGGCAGGGATGTGGGGCTGAGCCCCAGGCCGGGCCAAGGGGCGTGGTTTGAATGGCTCTAGTCCCCTGGCCTACAGCCCCCTAAAAGCAGCCAGATAAGCCTGACCCCCTTGCCAACTTTGGGACATCTGGTTGGGGGCCCTGTGACAAACCCTGGGGGTCTGCCATCCTGGCAAGAGCTGCAAGATTCGAGGCCAGCTGCACCCCCCCCACCCCCACCCAGTACCACCCAAACTATACGAGGTACAGCCTGAGAGAGTCTGGGGCCTGCAGCCTGGCTCTGGCCTTGACTGGCCAGGTCACTGGCCTTCAGCAAGTTGCCTCCTTCCCTGGGCAGGCCCAGCCTGGCATTAGTGCCCTCCCCAGAGTGGCACCGGGGTCCCTACACCACATCTGGATACCTGCTGGGATTCAACCTCCCTGCCCCCTTCCCAGCCCATCATCCCTCCCTCCATCACCCCCACATCTCTCTCTCCCGACTCTCTCCTTCTCTGGGTTTCTCACTCTGGCTACCCTCTCTCTCTGCCTCTGTCTCCCTGCCTCTGTCTGTCTGTCTCTCCTTTTCTCTGTGTCTCTTGGTGTCCCTCTTCCTCCCACCTGCTGCCCTCCATCAGCTGAGCTCCCCTACTCTGGGCAGCCCTAGCCTCTCCCCCAAAGATCAGCGGCAGCAGTGGTGACAGAGGCTCCTCCTGCCCGCTGGCCTGTCTGCCACCTGGAAGCTCTGGCCGTGGGCGCCTGGTGGCCCTTGCTGGCAGGGCTGGGGAGTGGGCCAGCCGATGACGCAGCTCCCCTGGGCCTCTGAGCTGTCACATGGCCCTGGGACACAGCAAGTCGAGGTGGAGTCCACCTTTCCAGGGGGCACCAGAGTCCACTGCCTGGACGTCGGGGCTGTGGCCAGGGGAGGCCCCAGACCATGGGCAAGGAAGGACAGGGCCCATACTGCTCGGCGCAGCCATTCCTGGGCCAGCGGGGGAGGCAGGGGCTCTTGTCACCCTGCTCACCGGGTGAGCAGAGGGGGCAGGGCTGGCCCAGACCACCCCCTATGTCTCCCCATACGAAAGAAAGACGAGGGGCCAGCCCCTGCCATGGGCCTGCATCTTGCCCACAGGCTCTTGGGGAAAGCTAAGTCTTGGGCAGTGCTGTGACCCAGGAAGGGGGCCTGAGACAACACGTTGAGGGGTTGACAGCTGTCTGTCCATCCAGAATACACTCTGGGCAAGGGCTGCCTGGCTGCCCAGGCCAGGGAAGGGGAGGAGGCCCGGGGCAGCACTTAGCCAGTCCATCCTCTGCAGTCCAGATGGGCACATGCCCTGGGCTGACAGAAACCCGTGACATCTCCTCCCAGGAGGGGCTGGGCACAGCTCTTGGGAGCCCTGACTTGGATGCTGCCCAGGGGCTGCAACTCACCCACCCTGAGGCCCCTGGCTGTGACTGTAACAAGGGGTCCTCCTCTGCTTGTAACCTCAGGTGGCTTTTAAAAGGCAGGTTGCCCTGTTGCTCCTGTCTTCAGACCCCCCACAGCATCCAAGGTCCTTGAGCAGCCCCTCACCACCTCAGAGCCCGCAGTGTTCCAGCCTCACTGGCCTCCATACAAATGCTAAGTGCTCCCTTGCACCACAGGACCTTTGCACAAACCACACCTTCCACCAGAAATCTTCCACCCAGTTCTCGGCCTACCCTACAGACCCCAGGTCCAGGGTACATTCCCCTTTTCTTCCTCCAACAACTATGTAATATTTTATTACATTTCACCTTATTATTTTGTTATTTAGTGTCCTGTGCTGAGCTGGTGCTGGGCAGTCATGGCTGGACCCTGGGACACCTGTGCCCCATTGCCTTCACATTGGCCTGGAGGCCTGGGATAGGGGCAGGCAGGTCAGAGGGGTGAGGGCTTGGCGCCCAGGCCCCTGTTCCTCTCGTGCAGCCTGAGGGCCACAGTGCATAGTAAAAACACCAACATCAACAAGTGTGGGCAAGGATTTGGGGAGTCGGGGCACCCACATTGCTGGTGGGGATGCAGATGGTGTAGGTGTGGAACAGTCCTGTGTTTCCTGAAAGGTGAGACATAGTGTCCCCGTGGGTCCACAGCTCCACTCCCAGGGATGGGTCCATGTGAATCTCCTCCACGAATGTTTGTGGCGGCACTTTCTGTAACAGTTGAAAGGGGGAACCGGCCCAGATGCCATCAGCGGGTGAGCAGGAGGGAGGTGGTCCAGGCACTCGGGTGCCCGGCAGGTCCACACCTGCCACACCACCAAGCCTGGGAGGCAGGCTCTTTGAAGAAGCTGCTGGAACCAGGGGGCTGGCAGCTGGGGTGCACCTGGGTCACTGGCCTCTCCCAGGTGTGGATGGGGAGGCGCGGCTTAGTGGGTGCTGAAAGACAGAGATGGCGGAGGCTGAGTCACCTCTGGGTGCCGGACCACCCACAGCCACACAGCCCCATGCTTGCCAGCTGGTCCTGTGCATCCCGTGAGCATGACAGAGGTGCAGGTTTGTGTTTAGGGCTGCAGGGAACCAAGACACTCAACCGTAAACAGCAGACTGACTCACCCTGACTGACTCACCCTGTCTTCCTCGAGCGCACACGGGGCCCTTGGTCACACGCAGGTCAGCCTATGGCTCACACCTCATGGCCTGACTGCGAAACCCCCCGAGTACTGGGGCTCCCCCAGGGCCACCAGAGCTTCAAGTGCAAGTGACACCCCAACCAAGCCCATCTCCTGTCACCCCAACTTCACAAAAGGGGGGCTTGAGACCATGGAAGGGGTGGGGGGCATAGGGGAACCTGCAGTTGGACCCCCATCTGCCCACCCAGGGCTCTGTCCTGGCAGCAGCTCCAGAGGTCCCCTCCAAGACCCCCGCAGGGCCTCTGCCGCACGGAGAGGTAGGGTGGTGGGTGGGCTCAGCTCAGGCCTCTGTTTGCCTCAAGTTTCAACATTTACAGAACATTCATCCTGGGCTCTTCTGGGGAGGTATTTCCTACAGGAATGTAAACATTCGAGACTTGGAAGGCTCGTGCTGGGCATGGCGCTGGTGGGTCTCCTGGGAGCCGGTCTTCATCTCGGGGTGGGGGGTGGTTCTGGGAGTCTGTGCCTGGCCTCCCCAGTGGGTGGGAATTGAGAGTCACCCCTCCTTGGGAGCCTGGTCTCCTGTGGCCTCTATGCTCCATCAGGGGCTTGCTGTGTGACCTCAGGTCAGAGGCACGACCTCTCTGGGCCCGCAGAGCCAATGGGACCAATTCTATTTTCTCGCCTCATCATTGGCCCTAGGCCCTCAGCACCACGTCTCTGTGCCGCTCACCTAGCGGGGCTTTAGGGAGCAGCCCTCTCTGTGTGCTGGTGGCTTGGCAGGCGCCTGGTCTGATGGTCACAAAAGTCTGTCTTAGAGACAGGAGACAGGGCATCAGAGGGTTCTGTGGACTCTGCCTGTTGCTAGCATCGTGATTCTGAGGCTCTGTGCAACCCGGCCTTTTGTTGTTGTTGTTGTTGTTGTTTTTTTGCAACCCGGCCTTTTGTTCAGGAGTCAGGAGGCTGCCGGGCTGGTAAGTCCTGCCCTTATCTGCAAGGTGCTCAGTCCCTATCCTGTAGGCTTGCTCCTGGCTGGACCTATGTTCACATCTCTCTGGGACGCCTGACCCCAGCGTCCTCAGTGAGACCTGTGGCCCCAGCCTCAGGAAGCCGAGTGGGAGCAGAGCCTCAAGAGGTTACCTGGGCCCCACGGGAGGCTAGTACCAGCAGCCTTCAGGCCTCCAGCATCTCCACTGGAATGCTCGGAGCTCCCATCACCTGCCCACCCCGGGGGAGGAATGTGGCCTGGGATACTGGGAGCCAGAAGCCCGGGAGGAGGGGTGGTGAGAGGCCTCCCTCCGCCTTCTGGAATTCCCCAGGCTTGGCATCAGATCCTGGCCTGCTTCTCCCCACCCCTACCACTGAGTGAGCCCCTGGCCCTCCTCTCCACAGGCTGCTGGGCACTAGGGTGACCAGTGAGAAGGGGTGGCACCTTCCAAGGCTGGTCCCTGCCTTACAATGTCCCCTCCTCAGAGAGGCCTTCCCTGGCCACCTGACCTATGGCCCCTTCGGAGAGGCCATTGCCCTTCAAAGTCCTAGACCAGGCCCCACTGTTGTTCTGGGCTGGATGCCTCTCTGTGGGCCATCCTGGGCGCTGTGGGGTTTCGATCAGCATCCCTGGTCTCCACCCAGTTGTGGCCACAGTGCCCTCCCCTCCCCCAGTCAGGACAGCCAGTACTGCTGTGTATCCTGGGCAGGGTGGGGAAGGAACATCCCCAGATGAGACCCACTGCCCCAGACCTTCCTGAGATGAGAGGCTTATTGTCCTCTTCTCCAGGAGAACTGATGCTTTCAAACTGTGGTGCTGAAGAAGACCCTTGAGAATCTCCTGAACAGCAAGATCAAACCAGTCTATCCTAAAGGAAATTAACCCCGAATATTCACTGGAAGGACAGATGCTGAGGCTGAAGCTCCAGTACTTTGGCCACCTGATGCAATGACGTGAAGAGATAACTCATTGGAAAAGACCCTGATGCTGGGAAAGATTGAAGGCAGGAGAAGAAGGAGATGACAGAAGATGAGATAGTTGGATAGCACCACTGACTCAATGGACATGAGTTTGAGCAAGCTCTGGGAGACAGTGAAGGACAGGGAAGCTGAGTGCTGCAGTCCATGGGGTGGCAAAGGGTCAAACACGACTTAGTGAGTGAACAACTGGGCCAGGAGCTCCCTGGGGACGCTGCCGGGCCCAGGACTCGCCTGGGGCCACAGGACAGCCACCTGCCCAGTCACTTGCATGAGGTCATAGTGGGTGGGGGCAGAGACACCTCCTGGCTGGGCCCTGCTGGACATCCTGGGGCCTCAGAGGACTTGCAGAGCTGGGCAGGGAGCGGGGAGCTGGGGACAGGCAGAGTGAGACAAGCCTGGGCTAGGCTCCTCACCAGGGCAGGAATTTGGGTTCCCCCTCACCCTCCACCTGCACTCTCCAGGCCCAGCAAACCTCTGCCTCTGGGCACGTTCCAGCAGCTGCTGACACATTCACTGCCTGGAGCTCAGAGGCTGGGCCCTGTGAGCAGACCATCACCACCAGGGGCCCCAGGGAGGGCCTTCCTCTCTAGTCCATTCCAGGTCCCCATCTGGGTGTCCCCAGCAGGCAGATGAGAGACCCCCACACCTCTGCTTCAGAGTTAACCCTCCTTAGGGGTCAGCTTTGGGCTTGGGCGTGGGGCAGTGTTGGGGGGTTCCTCTCCTCCTGTCCAAGGCCCTGTTCTAGCTGCACTATGTCTCACCCCCCCCACCCCCAGAGCCCCAGGCTGGGCCAAGCCCTGCCCCGTGCCCTGGCTCTGTAACTCTGGGGGAGCCACTTCCTCTCCCTTGGCCTCGGGTTCCTGCTCTGTACAGTGGGCTCATAATTGCACATCCTCTCAGGGTGGACATGGGGCCACCTGGGTGGGGTCAGAGGTCAGCCTGGGGATAGAATCTGGTGTCCCCATGGCGGGCCTGGCCAAGGAGTAAAGGTGGGCCTTGCAGCCTTCTTGCTTTGAACCTGAAACTCCACCCAGTTTGTCTGGAATGTCTTGGCCTCTGGCCAGCGTGGTGAGCCTGTGGCGTGTCCACTGGGATGAGCCAGCTGGCTGCCGCGTGCATGCCTAGGGTGGAAGCGCCTCCATTCCTGTCCCTTGGCTCAGCCCTTGTGGCCCGGCCCTGAGGGAGGGGTGGAGCCAGAAGACGAGACATTCCTGGGTGTCTCTGACCTCATAGTGCTCTCTGTTGGGTGTCAGTGGGGATCCAGGTGCCTAGCTTAGCCCTGCCTAGCTTAGGCCCTCACCCCACCTCCAGGATGTCTGTACGTGTAACTGGGGAAGAGGTCTGTGAAGGCCTCCTGGGAGCCAGGTGGGGAGGGGAGAGGCCCATCCAGATGCTGCCCCAATGCCAGCACAGTGTGCAGCACACACTGCCTGCGTGGGTGAACGCAGATGTAAAAATCAGGGGGGTGGGGGGCACTTAGGGTCTGTGCTCCTTATCACCACGTGTGGGTTACATCTCAATGAAAAAGTCTAACACAGAATAGTCTGAGCAAACTCTGGGCTTCCCTGGTGGCTCAGATGATAAAGAATCCATCTGCAATGCAGGAGACCCAGGTTTGATCCCCAGATTGGGAAGATCCCCTGGATAAAGAAATGGCAACTCACTCCAGTATTCTTGCCTGGAGAATTTCATGGACAGAGGAGCCTGGTGGGCTACAGTTCCTGGGGTTGCAAAGAGTCGGACACTCTGAGCGGCTAACACATACACAAACTGGAAGATAGTAAAAGACAGGGAAGCCTGGCATGCTACAGTCCGTGGACTCGCAAAGAGTCAGACAGGACTAAGCGACTGAACAATAAATGATAAAATGACAAAATAAAATAGAGCAGAAAGGGTGACCGGCTGGATGCTCTCAGGCTCCTGACCCTGATAGCCTGTGAGCACCGGTGCCCAAGGCCCCACACCCCAGGTCACTGAGGTCAGACCTACGTGCCGGGGCTGCACAGCTGCTGGGACCTCCCTTGAACTCACAGAGACTGGGGAGACTTAAGAGTCAGACGGAACCGCCTGTTTCCTTGAGACCAGAGAACGGTTTGGAGTTGTGGCTGGAGGTGGTGGCACAAGGGACTGCTGGAGTCCCTCTGAGGCAGGTCTGTCCAGAGCTGGACCTTCTCCCAGGGAACCAGGGAAGGCAGGAGGAGCTGGTGGCTGCAGCTCCTGGCTAGGTCTGCACGGGGAGAATCCTGTCCCTTGGCCCTGACCTGTATCTCACCCTGGGCCCGCGCCCAGGCCCGGAAGGAGGGTTTCCTGGTTTCGGGGCTGGTTCCCCTCCACACACAATGCATGTCAGGCTGCCCAAGCCCCACCCAGCCCAGACACAGCTTCTCTGGGAGGAGCCCCTCAGCCCCTTGCCGGGAAGGCTATGTCCCACACATCTGAGCCCCACTTACCTGCCATGAGCTGGGCCCCAGGACAGTGCAGGCGAATGGGCAGTAGATGCTGGACGCAGACACCAGCCAACACCTCTGGCCACCGGCACCCTCCTGGGCAGCCTGAATGAGGTCCTGTGTGAGATGCGGGTGGTGATAGTGTGACTTCAAGTTGACCCAGGAGTCAGCTCTACAGCCGTGCAGACCCGGGGTCATGGCATAACCACCCAAATAATGATGGTGATGGTGGTGATGAGGGTGAGAGTGATGCTAGTGGTGACAGTGGGGCTGCTGAGGACCCTGACTGCCGTGTCCACTCTGAGCTCCCCAGATGTGTTTACCCTTCAGGGTGGTGCTCTTACCACTGTCCCCACTTTACAGCCAGGAGGAGAGACAGCTAAGTGACTGGCCACACAGCTAAGAGGCAGGAAGAAGGGGCAAGGTCAGCCTGTCATCCTGATGTGATACTGCAAGGCGGGGTGATCTAGAGCACTTGGGGGTGCAGGGGGCAGGAAGAGGTGTAGGTTCTGCAGGCCTAGAGGTACTCAGGGATCCTGATGGGGACCACCCTGCTCGACAGCTGCTGCTCTAAGCCCCTGGGGGCTGCCCCAGGAGGACAGTATCTACAAGTGCCAGGTCCTCCCGCCCCCAACCCCTTCATCCCACCCAGCCTCCAGCCCTTTCCCAACCTGGAGACCCCATAGGAAGCTCAGCAAACAAGTCACCCCTTGGCTGGGGGCCAGAGGTCTGAAGGAGGTGGCCAGCCCCCTGCAGCCAGCAGGAAAGTGACTGATGAGCCTCCGTCCCTGAGCCCCGCCCAGCGATGCCGGCAGGGCTAGACGCAGCTCTTGGGCGCCCCATAGTGGCTGCTGGGGAGAGTACAAGCGGGAACACCTCTCCTCAGTTCCGGACCTCCGGCAGCCTCCAGCCTGAGCAGCTGCCCCCCCCCCCCCCCACCCCGACTTCAGATGACAGGGGCACTGCTGATGGAGGGCCCAACTGGCTCCCTTCAGGGACCACTCGCTCCTCTGTCTGTGGGACCTGGGACAGCAGGGTTTCTTCTTATTTTTAAAATTTATTTAAACAGACAGTTTCTTAAAGAGGGGCTCATACAGATTTCAGTGCCAGAGGGTGGGGTCACAGAGCTTCCTTTTGAAGAACTTGGCCTGAGGAACTCTGGCCCCACCGGGAAGAGACAGTGTTGTCTTCTGTGTGTCCATGCGTGTCTTATAGTATTTAAAATGTTTTTTTATTGTGATAAAATATATATAAATAAAACTTACTGCCTTGACCATCAAGCGTGCAGTTCAGTGGTATTAAATACATTCATAATGTTGTGCAGCAATCAGCACCATCCATCTCTACAACTTTCTCACCTTGTAGAATGGAGCTCTACACCCATTAGACACTAACCCCCACCCCCAGCCCCTGGCCGCTGTTATTCAACTCCTCTAGGCACCTTGTGTAACTGGAATTACACTGTACTTGTTTGTGACTGGCTTATTTTACTTAGCACAATTTCTCAAGTTTCATCCATATGCTTGTCACAATTTCCCTCCTTTTAAAAGATGAACAACAACAACAAAAAATTAAAAAATAAAAGATGAACATTGCACTGTGTGCATAGACCATATCCAGCTTATCCCGTCACCCACCCATAGACACGTGGGTTGCTTCCATCACAGACTATTGTGAATAATGCTGCTGTGAACATGGCTGTACAAATCTTTTCAAGACACCGCCTTCTTTTGGGTAAGTAACCTAGAGGTGGAATTGTTGGATCAGATGGCAGTTCTATTTTTAAGTTTTTTAAGAACCACTATACTGTTTTCCACAGCAGCTGTACCATTTTACCTTCCTACCAACAATGCACAGGATTTCAATTTCTCCACAGCCTCAACACTTATTTTTTCAAATTCATTGTAGTCATTCTAACAGGTGTGAGTGGATTTTGTTACATGTGCAGGTGAAGCAAACTATGGACAAGACACAAAGAGATTAAAAATCCAACTGACCCTTCTAAAGAGCTGGGAGCAAAAGCAGGGTACCAGCGCACGCCCCTTGCACTCAGAATCACCAAAGAGATGGGCAAACCACCGAAGCTCCCCTCCAGTCAAATCCCTGGACCCACTCCTACCCTCATCCCATATAATGGAGTGAACAAGGGAACCTATTACTTGTCTTCACTCCCTCCTACTGCAGCAGGAACCCTGATAAAGCCCTGCCTGAATTTCTTATCTCGTCTCATATAAATTTCTATTGACTAGGAAGGACAAGAAAGGCTTCCCAGATGATACTAGTGGTAAAGAATCCACCTGCCAATGCAGGAGATCCAGGTTTGATCCCTGAGTTGGGAAGATTCCCTGGAGGAGGCAACCCACTCCAGTATTCTTGCCTGGAGAATCCCATGGATAGAGGAGCCTGGAGGGTTACAGTCCATGGAGTCGCAAAGAGTTCGAAGCAACTTAGCACACACGCATGTAGGGAGAACAAGAACCCTGGTCCATAATACAACCACAAACGTAAACACGTGATGTCCGTGCATGTGCTGGGGGTCCTGGAAAGGGCACACATCTCTCCAGCTGACACCAACAGGGAATGATGACCTTCCTACAGGGCGCTGGCCTCAGTGACCTGAGGCCCAGCTGCCAGAGCCCAGTGGAAGCAACAGCAAACACACTGCCCACTCGAACACTGGTTTCCAGGTATGAGTAGCCTCAGCCCTGACCAGGCCCAGACATTAAATCCTCCCGGACCTGTACAGAAGTTGGCAGTGACTCAAATAGGGCACCTTGAGGCCAGGCCGACCGGGATCATCTGCAGTCGCCACAAGGTGAGCAGACACAGCCCTGGGAGAGCCCTCACCTGTGTGACCTCACGGAGACTTGAGTGGGGGGAAGTGAGGTGGGAGCCCAATCTTAGAGGACCGGGAGGATTTGCCGAGTAAGAGGCATCGGGATTTCGGAAGCTCCACTGCCGGGCTTGGCCCTGGGCAGCTGGGGCGGCGGGGTGTACAAGCTCTGGAGTCCACCCCCGAGGGGCCCTCTCTCTCATCTGAAAGATCAAGTCTCAAGGGGGTGTTTCAGCTGAAACGGCGGGGCAAAATCCCAGGGTTGTGGGACGGGGGGCTCTGGAGTTAGCTCTGCAGCCTGGAGTTTTTCTAGTTTCTTCATTAACAGACCCTCGCACCAGGGACGGCCTGGCATAGACTGCTCTGGGGAGGATGGAGTGGGACTGATGTGGCGGAAGGGTCCTGCAGGGCCCGGATAGTGCTGAGCACCCGCTGTGCGGGTTTGACCTGGCTCCGCCACGAGGCGTGGCCGAGCTCCTTTCTAGCTCAGACCCCGGTTTCTGGGGCAGTGAAGTTCCACTTTGGGGAGGAGCCCGTCACCCCAGCCCTGCCACTCCTCTCTCAGGAACCCAGGGCTCGCTCTTGCTCTTATAACCAGCGGCGCCCGTTCTGTGTCCATCTTCGCGGTGCTTGGCTTAGCCCTGGGCTGAGACCCCCGGGGCGGTCTGCAGCTCCCACGTGCTGACAACCCGGCTCGTGTCAGCGCTCCAGCCCTCCCACCTGGGTCGGGTCCTGCTTGGGAGGCCTCTGGCCCGGCCGATCCCGGCGGCGGTAATCGCCCACGGGGGCGAAAACCACCGCTGCGAAAACGCGCCAACCTGCGGCCTTGCAAGTTTGCACCAGCCGCCCGCCCAGATTCCTGGGACGCCCGGTTTCCGCCCACCGGGAGCGGAATTGCGTCATAGCGGCGGACCGCAAGCGCGCTCTCTCTCTCTCTGCGCAAACTCGCGGCGGGGCGCAGGACCCGGAAGTACTCGTCGCGGCCCCGCCCCGTCCGCCAATAGCGCTGCCGGGGGAAGCGGCGCTTCCTTTCTGCGCTCGCGCTCATCGTGGTGCCATCAGGTGGGTTGCGAGGCTGGCGTCCGGGCTGGCGCGGGGCCCGAGATCGGGAGGGAGGATGGCACGGGTCTTGGGTCAGTGCAGGAGAACGGCTTTAGGGTCCGGGGTCGGGGGGTGGGGGCACGGCGCTGGGCCCGGGATCGGGACGGTAACATACCCAGGCGCGCGGTGGTCGGGGCTGGGTGGGCAGGGGCGCGCGAACACGACCCGCCCTTACGAAGCCGCCTTGGGGTCCCGCAGACGCTCGCTCAACATGCAGAACGACGCCGGTGAGTTCGTGGACCTGTATGTGCCGCGGAAATGGTGAGTGTCCCTCTCTCCTACCCCTAAACCCCCTCCATCCCCAATTTACATCTCCCCGCTCACTGCGCTCCCCCCGCAGCTCCGCCAGCAACCGTATCATCGGCGCCAAGGACCACGCGTCCATCCAGATGAACGTGGCTGAGGTGAGCCGGGCGGCCGCAGGGCCTACCCGCTGGGTGAGGGGGCGAGGTCGGGCGGACTTGCACGTTGATTCCCAAACCTCAGGTTTCGACCCGAAGGCGCTTGGGCACCTCTTTACGACTCCTTTTCTCGATTTTTAGGTTGACAAGGTGACAGGCAGGTTCAACGGCCAGTTTAAAACCTACGCTATCTGCGGGGCCATTCGCAGGATGGTGTGTGTCTTGGGGCCCCGCGCTTACCTGGTGGGCTTTTGAACCGGAATAGCGTCCCCCTCGCTGAGGCCTGAGCGGGTTTGTTGGCGAAATGGACCGGAGCCTGTTGGATCAGATTGTGCTGGTTGCCAGCCTCTTCCTGGGGGTAGAAATAGGATGCTCAGGATCCAGGAAAGGGGCCCCCTTACCTTGGAAAACCTCCGAGCTTTCCAGTTGTCACAGGGACCTCCTTGAGACCCTGTCCCCCACTGCAGAGGCAACGGTCTGCCTGTTGCTAGCTAGTCTCCACTTGGTTCAACTGGTGGGCAGCTGGGCGGGATTTCAGACCAGAAGGGCAGCTGGTCCCAATGTGCTTTTTCCCCTAGGGTGAGTCAGATGACTCCATTCTCCGGCTGGCCAAGGCTGATGGCATCGTCTCAAAGTAAGAGGACTGGAGTTTGGGCATTAGGGCCCAGGATGCTTCAGAAACCAGGTTTTAAAGTTGTTCTTTTTTGTTCCAGGAACTTCTAACTGAAGAGGATCCCGGATATGGAATATTTGTGATAAATAAAGTGAAAACCTATTTGCTTCATTCTGTGCGTTTTTGGCAGCCGAAGTGGGGGTGGGTGGGCTCTTGGGGGCTCTGGAGTGTTGGGGGTGATAGCTGAAAGACAGCCTATGACACGCGTTGCAAAACCAAATTTTTACTTAAAGCACAAATAACATTACTTTTTGCAAACAGATCCTTGACCCTTGACAGTGAGGTCAGACAGCCACTTAGCACACATTAAGTCTATGGTGCCTCCCAGGCACTGAGGGAGTAGCCCCAGGCCCTTGGAAACAGGTGTCTGGGGTGACAGTTCAGGCTGACATTTAATGCCTTAAATACTGGCTTCACTTGAGTACCACACAGTGGCAGCTCTTGACATTAACAAGGACACAACACTCTAAAGGGAAGGTTACAGAGCCTGGTGAATGACTAGTTCTCACTATAAACACTGTACTGCCATTCTAACATCTGTACGGAAATTCTCAAGATGTGTTCCTCAAAGCTAACTGTAAACCAGCAGGTAATTTTGGAAGTTGGTCCCTTTAGGTGCCTGTAACAGGAGTGTCCTTGAGACAATTGACACCTTCCAGGGTTGCCTGGGGCCTAGCAGCTTCATCCTTCAAGCCCCCTTGGTGCACATCAGAGTTTGGGGGTGTTCTGAGGGGAGGACAGGAAAGAGGCACTCCTTGATAAATAAGGTTGGGTACAGAGTTGAGCTTCAAGCTCCATCCTGCAGTCCCCCTGGACCTAAGTGAGTGACCAAGGAAGAAGAGCAGCGAGTGGGGTGGGGCAGCTGTCCTGTGCCCCTGTTGGGGTCCCTGTGCCCTCCTGGGCTGGGATCTTGCTGAGCTACTGGTGTTAGAAAGTGCTGATGAGGGCTGGCATCTTTTCTGCAGAAGGTCCACTCCACATGGGCAGGATGCAGCATGGAGCTGCCCCAGCGCCCCTCCAGTGACAGGTTCTTGGGACCACAGTGGGAAGCAGCTTGATGGCCCAGCCAACACGGTCCTTTCTGAGAGCAGCTGGCTGATGAAGGAGAAGCTCCAGTCCTAGGTCTTCAGTGTTTATGGTGTGGAGGCAAGTGGAAGAACTGGGTAACATGAAGGCTGGTGAGGCGGGCAAGCTGGACACAGGCCTGCCCTGGACAACGACCAGCCCTTGGGGTCTGCCTGGTGTGACCACTGCTCTGGCCAAGGTGGCTTTCACTTCCTGCCTGGGAGGAAGAAGGCAGAGCCTTTACCCTTGTGAGCAGGATGGTTGAAGTGGTCTGTGTTCCTCCCCACTTGAGGATCAAGTGTGGTTCAGGTCACATCCTCAGCTAGTTTTTGTTCCCTTAGAAAAAGACCCACAGAACCAAATCCTAAATGATAATAAATACATTTTCCCCCACAATATTGCTTAGGAAAATCAAGAATCAGCAATCCAGTCATTCTGAAGGTCCTGGGTGTCATGGGCAAGTGGGGTTTTCCGGTGAGACATCCCTGCGTGGTGTGGACTGGTTCCATGGAGAGGCCAGCTGGGGTGTGCACCACCCGGGCCCTCAGGACTTCACAGTGACGCGATCCTTGGAAGAAGAGAGGTCCGAGAGTAAAAAATGAGATCACAACTAACCAGGAGTCTGTCCTCGTTGGCTTAGGCTGACGTAGAACTCTGCTTGTGGATATGGGGAGGTGGACAGACACCCACCTGGGCTGGGCTGGGCTGGGAGGGGAGCTGGGCTGAGGGGGTGGGGGGTTCAGTGCTGTCTCCACCTCTGAAAACCCCAAATAGCCGAGATTAATGCTCCAATGGGTTAAGTCCAACAACCCAGCGTCTGCAGTGGGGTCTGGAAACCCAGGCCTCCATGAGACACCAGTGTGGTGGCTCCGACAGCAGCAGGAGGCTGGGTGACGCAGAGAGAAGCACGGTGGATTCACCACTGGGCGCAGTAAACCAAAGTCCTGGTGCCAGAGCAGTCGTGGGCACACGAAAATAAGAAGCACTGACAGAACCCAGATCTGTTCAGAGGAACGCAGAAGGGCTCTCAAAGTACCGTGGCGGTGTGGTGTGCTTAGGAATGGAAGCCAGGGTGTGGAGGGGCCGCGTCCACACACCAGCCTGGAAAGGTGCCCGAGGAGGCCGGCCAGCTAGAACTGCTGCGTGAGGCGTCTGTAATGAGGTAACACCTGGTTCTCAGGAAGGTAGAGAGCGAGCTCCAAGGCCACGAGCACCGTGAACTCAAAGCCGATGAGATCCCGTCGGTTGAACCGAAACCTTTCTTCCAACTTCTGCGTCCAGGAAGAAAGAGGGGTTGAGCTGGGCCCCTCCTCAGGGTCTGGGCCGGGCTGGGGGCGAGGCCCTCCTCTGAGACCCGGCAGGTTGGGGGCGGGGGCGGGCCCGTACTCACGTCGATGAGCTGCTTCACGTCGCTCTTGCGTAGGTCGCTGCTGATCTTGGCGGCCAGCAGCACGCAGGCGCCGGCGCATAGCTTGCGGTTCTGCTTGTTGAGCTTACCCTGCAACACCAGCTTCTCGAAGTACACATAGGCCATGGACACGGTCACGGGCTCCAAGCCACACTCCTCGGACAGGTTCCGCATCTCTCGTTTCAAACTGCGGGTTTACACGGAGCCACAGACTGTGGGGATGGGGGGGCGTGTCTTTGGGCCCCGGGAAAAGCACCCTTTCCTCCCAGAGGGCACGGCCCAGCACCAGGGCCCATAGATGGGGTGGTGGGGGGCAGTGGCAGGCTGGTCTTGGTCTCTGCTCAGCCCACAGCACCTGCACTGTCCACAAGGGGACCCCACAGAGGACTGGGTCCCTGTGCTCCTGTGGCAGCAAGGGGACTGGTGTTGGGAGGGAAGGGCAGTGCCAAGGCACCGGGGGGGGGGGTGGGGGGGAGATGTGTGGGCGGCTTGTGTGGGGCCTTGACCTCCTACCCATCAGGTGGGGATGGTCAGTGGCTGGCTTAGGGGCTGTGGGTGCTGGTGTGGGGGTCCCCACAGGTGCAGGCAGGAATAAGACACCTGACCAAGGAGGTGGCAGGGAGCTGCCAGGATTGGTCGGGCTGGACAGCAGGAGGGTGGGCTGAGGAGGGGCGCCTTGGGTTTCTCTAGCTCAGGACTCCATGGGGAATGGGAGAGAAGGGCTGAGCTGGCTGGGCTGTGGGCATAGGGACACCGCAGACTTGGGGACGACCAAGGGCTCCTCACCTCCTGATCTTGCTCAGTGTCAGCCTGATGTGGGGGAATTTCTCCCGGAAGGTCTCGTTCATGTCCTTCTTGAGGTCGGAGGGCTTCACGTACTCAATCACCGTGGTCTGCAGCAGAGAAGACCATCCCCATGCAGCTTGGGGGCACCCGCCTGGCCAGGGGAGGTGGCTGCATGCCCCCTCAGTGCCAACCCCTCAGCCGCCCCCGGGGCGACGCCCCTACCATGTAGGACGCGAAGATGAGCACACGCTTGTGCTTGCCGCAGGGCCACTGAGGGTCATCCAGCAGGTTGGGGTTGTACTCCAGGGCATCCCCCACATCGGCCCCTGTGGGCAGAGGGCAGCCCTGACCCACCACGAGCCTGGAGCTTGGGTCAGTGGTCATGCCAACCCCAGCCTGGGGTAGCACCTATCAGCGCCAGGGAGCAGCTAGGTGGAGGGCGTCATTGTGGGACAAGGAGAGCGGGGTGCAGGGGCTCCAGGTGTGGGTCTCTCTCCTGGGGCTGGATGGGAGGGTGTCCTGATGGTGAAGGACCCCTGGAGCCACAGGTGGGGGCCCCACTATCCTGAGAGGTCATGGCCAGCCTGCTCCCCAAGCCTGGACTAAGGACCATGGGCTGGGATGTGACACCGGGGCCACCTGCCCTGCCCCTGGTCAGGGCCCTTGGCTACCTAGCTCCGAGCTGGCTGGCGCTGCCCTGGGTGGGATGGGTTTGCATCGGGACCCCAGCAGAGTGCGGGGCACACTGGGGCGGGGCTGAGGCGTTGGGCCGTGGCTGTCTGGCTTGAGCGTGACCAGGGCGTTGGTGGGGTACAGGAACTTGGCGTAAGAAACAACCTGGAAAGGCAGTGCATTGGGTTCAACCCTGCTGCCCCGTCCAAGACCAGAGGTCCAGTAAGCTCCCTCCCGGCTGCCACAGCTCCCACTGCCCAGGACTGATGCTGCTCACTCCCTCGGAGGTTCCAGAATGCCCCATCCTTCACTGGGATCTGCAGCTGGAACTTCTCCCAGCCCAGGAGTCCTGAGCCCCTCACTCTCACCACTAGAGCCGATCTTGTCACCCAGCCCCACAAGGCTACCAGACCATCTGCACAGGCTGTGTGGCCTCCTCCCACGGGACCTCACACTTAAGAGGATTTCAGTCAAACACATCTTTGAGTCTACTTTCCCAGAAGACATGCATAAGCCCTGTGCCCCCACCAAGTATAGCGCCAGCTCCCACCTTTCCATCTGCCCCCAGCTCAACGCCTTCCAACTGGAAGACCATCTCGGAAGACACAGAAACGCCGCCAGATGGGTGCCTCTGCTTCTGGCTGTCCACTCTCAGGTCACTGCAACACATAGGATGGTACACAGCTGTCACTCCCCACTGCCGACCTCGCACAGACTGGGAGCTGAGCCCGAGGCTGGCAGCACCCCCACCTCCGTATCCTTGAGCAGGATGTCCCAGGTACCCATGTCTAGCAGCATCTCCCAGAGAACCAGGACCCACAGGGCCTTTGGAGTCCCTGACAAGTTTCAGCAGAAGCTGGTCTACTGGCCCCGGGGTGAAGCTGCGAGGGTGTGGAGCCCCCGCTGGGTGGGGGTTAGCCGCTCACCTGACTCGCAGGCCTTCTCCATACGGCAGGACTGAGAAGGCCGCGCACAGAGACCGTCTGGCGCAGATCAGCACAATCCTGCAGGAGGGACGGGTCAGAATAGGGTAGCTGGCATTTCCCAGGAGACCCCTTCCCACCAGGATTAGGACTGGGCTTTGTCCCAGGGGTCAGGGGACACCCAGCTAAGGGGGTCCAGTGGCCAGGGTTGGTCCATCTGGTTGCCCAGCTTTCGCCAGTTTTTCTAGTTTAAGAAGGGCGTTGTGTATCATCCCCTCAGTGAGTGCGGCCCTTCCACATGATGCACAACACTGCAGGCAGGGTGGAAGCCGGAGGCCAGGTCATCCAGGAGAGAACAGGCTGTGCAGGAGAGCAGAGGCATGTCCCTGAGGACTGGCTTGTTGAAGGAGCCAGTCCCCAGGCATCCCAGGAAGACAGGAGCCTAAGAACATCAGGAAGCCCCAAGTTCCATGTCCCGAGCCAAAGTGGCCCGAGAGGGGCCCTATGTGGGGCACATGGCGGGAAGGCTGGCCTTTCCTCCCTCTGGGCACTGCTCTGCCTGGCCCAGCCCCAGTCCAGCAGGGAGGACAATGGTAGGAGACCCCTTTCCTGGCCAGGCTAGCACTCAGTCGGCCTGGGGCCTGCTTCTAAGCACCAGACGGAGTCCCTCATGGGGACAGTGTTGGGGGTCCTGGACTGTCTGAGCTATGGCCACCAGGGGGAAGACTCAGCACTCCCCAAGTAGGGCTACCTGGTGGGTACCTGGGCACAGCCTCCGGCAGGAAGGGGTTGCTCAGGGTCAGGACAATGGCCTCAGGGCCAGGAAGGTGGGGCATGAGGGACATGGGGCACCAGGGACCAGGTGTCTCCCACACAGGGCCTCCGAGGGCCGAGCGCCCGGCTCAGGGTGCCCTCTGGGTTTCCTTCTCCCCACTGTGTTCTCAACGTTCAGCATTTCTACTCAAGACCAGAGTCTACTGGGCGGCCCCTCGCCCAGGGTGTCCTGTGGACCTTGGCGCTCAGGGAATATGAACGGAGGTGGGTGGGAGGGAAGGAGGGACCACTTCCAAGGGGACAAGGGACGGGCTGTGGGGATAAGTCTCCTGAGCTGAGGGAAGACAGGGCTGCTGACATAGGCAGGACGAGGTCCCACGGGGCTGGAGGGAGGACATGGTGGGCCGTGCGCCTGTACCTGCTGTTCCTGGTGTCGTACTGCCGCATGTTCTTGATGAAATGTGTCTTCTTCAGGCCTTTGTGTCTTGGCGATCCGGATATGTGTTTGGTTCTGCAGGTGAAAAGCAGGTCACTCTGCCCCTCCTAGACCCATCTTGGCCCCAGGAGAGAGGTGGGGGACACAGGTGGGGGACACAGGCGGGCTCCTTACCTTTGACCTGAGGGACATCCCACTGTGTCTTCCAGAAACTCGAGGGAGCAGCGTTGGGATGCCACGCGCCTTCTGTGAGGAGGACAGAAGAGCCCCAGGGTGCGGGGCCTCAGGGGGCAACCCCAGGCTGCCTCGGTACTGGGCTCTGTTCTCGGGGAGGGGGCCCAGGCCATGGGCCAGAAGCAGGTCTGCAAGCAGACCTGAGTGCTGGGCAGGGTCACCCGAGGCCAGAAGAGCCTGAGGTGGGGCGTAGTGCTGAGAGGAAAGGCTGGGCGTGCCCTGGTCTGCCCGCCACCTCTCAAAGCTCAGCCTAGGGGTCCCGAGAGCTCCCTCGGGCTTAGGAATGGGGTGAGACAGATCATGCGTGCCCACAGCAGGCTGCAGGCGGAAGTGCTTCTGGAAGGGATCTAGTGGAAGCCAGGGAAGGGGACATGGGGGCCTGGCAGTGGCTCTGCAGGGCTGAAGGGCAGACGAGCACACGCCCTGCCAACCCGCTCTGCCCATCTTGGTGTGTGGCGCTACCATTAGCACTGACACAGCTTGCTCAGTCCCCGGCCAGGGACACCCAGGAGCCCTTCCCCCTCAGCCAGGCCACCCTCACCGCCCCCCACTCCTGTGCCAGCCCTTCCCCTGCCTCAGGGCCCTCACCGGGGTTGTTCTCTCCAGCTGGACCCTCCTTCTCCAAGTCCTCCCATGGCTACATGCCCCTCAACTGGATGCTCAGCTCTCATGTGGCCCTCATCCTCCCACGGGCAGCAGCCCTGCATCACCCGTGATCCTAGGACCGAGTCTCAGGGACTGTCCATTCCTGCCTGTTGCCCAGCAACCGGGAATGCCCCAGGTAGGGGCTGGGTAAGCACTGACCCACAGTCGGTGACGAGGCAGGACCTGCCCTGCCCTGAGACGGTGCCCTGCTGGAGGTGGATATGCAGGAAGGACCGAGCCAGGAAGCAAAGCTGGCCCAGTGGAGACTGGACCATCCCTGGGGAGGTGTGTGCGTCGCATCTCACGGGCGGGCTCAGAGGCCCCAGGAGCAGTCCCGCGTGGCTTTCTCAGGCTGTCTTCCTGAGGTAATTTCCCAGGTGAGGCCCAATGGCTCCTGCACACCTGGGACCTCACTGACAGGGCCTGGGCCAGCGGCGGTCTCCATGGAGGCGCCCGGCAGATGCCATGGGACCTTGGGGGTACAATCAGCGCACACACCCCAAAGCCTAGAGGCTGCTTGGCCTCTGACCTGGCTCCTCCTGCTGGTCTCGGGTCCCTGCAGGAGAGGCCTCTCCCCTCAGCAAGCTGAGCACCTGAGCCCAGCTGGTTTTGTGCACCGCTGTCTTCACTGTTGTCTCCTTTTATCTTTCCTTGTTTTAAGCATCTTACATATCAAGTCAGTCCTCACAGCCCTCAGTGTACAGGGGCCAAACTGAGGCACAGAGCCGGTGCAGGCGGGCCTGGGAGCTGCATCCCACGAGCTCTGAGCACCAGCCTCCACCACCAGACTCCTCCACCTGCTGCCCTCCTGACCACAGCAGGGGCGCTGGAATCAAGGCCGCTCTGTGTTCTCAGGGCTCTTTCCCTGAACCTGGCCGGTGTCTGGGTGCAGAGACAAGGATAGCGCTGACAATGGCACTGCAAATTTTGAGCACAGAACAGGCCGGCCAAGTGAGGGGCTGCTGCCTTCCTGCCTCCCTCCCACTCCAGAGGAGAGGCCCGCAGCCTGAGGGAAGCCGAGAGCCCTGGGGGGAGGCTTTACAAGATTGCCAGAGGGAACCCTGCTATTGCATGAAGCTGCCAGGCTTTCCACAGGGGAGGGGAGTGCAAAGCGGTGGCGGAGGAGGAGGGCACAGTGGCCTGGTGGGGCAGGCGGAGCACCTGAAAGCCCGCTTCTGACCAGCTGGGGAAGCCCGGAACCTGCCAAGTGTTAAGTGACTATGGTGTTGATATGAAAAGAAAATTCTAGGGAGTCTGAAGTTCGAGGGAAGAAGATAAGGGTTCTGAGGATTCACTCCCTGGCTCAGCAAAAAAGCCACACCAGACTGTAAGCATGCCCTGGACAACCTGGACGTAACAAGAGTCTCCATTCCCTGGCCCTGGTCTTGCCAAGCCACCCTTGCTGAGCCTGGCCATCCATCTGATTTCGCAACAGCCCCTCTGGCAGGTAGTACTTAACACAAACCCATTTCACAGGGAAGCAAACTGAGGCGCAGAGAGGCGGTGCCACCTGCTCCAAGTCACAGAGCTCACGAGCGGTGAAGTCAGAATTCCAACCAGGTCTGTTCCCAGAGCCTGGCTCAGACCACCCCTCTCATGACACAGACTTTGAGAAAAGATCCTCAGAACTCTCTTCATGCCCAGAACAAGTGTCCCTTGAAGCCCACAGCCAGTAGATGGCAGCCCACTTTGCTAGGCCAGCCACCCTCCCACACTCAGCAGCGGCTATCCACGGCCCTGCCTCTGGAACCCCAGAGCACAAACGGACAGCGCCCACCCCAGGAGCCCTCCATCCGTCAGACCCAAGGGCAGGGCCCTGGGCTCGGGAGCAGAAACCAAGGCGGGGCAGAGTCTTCGTGGGCAGGTACGGCCTGAAGGGCAGGAAGGACATCTGACCGGGGATGTGAAGGCCAAGTGGGAGGGAGGGCCTCACACAGCGGACGGCCGTGCCGCTCTGCCCTAGAGTGGCTTGAAGGAGACCTGGTGTGACCAGGGAACTGTCCTTGGGTTGAGGGCCGCCAGGAGACAGGACCACTTTGTGGGAGAGTCTGCTAACCGAGGACAACAGGCTTTGGGGCTGTTTTAAAGTGGGCTGACTTCCACCAAGAAAACCGTGTTTTCTCCTCTCAGTCCCGTTGGGTAAGCAGCCCCATCTCCCTGGGTACATGGTACACTTACTGCCACTTTTGGGACAAACAGACCACTCTGTCCCAACCAGCCCCCCGGCTCCCGTCAGAGCCCTGGCGAGGCTCATCTGTGGACAGGATCAGGCTTCTTAGCCTGTGCAGATGCAGCTCTTGCTGAAGTCTACCTACGCAGTGTGACAGTGGCCTCAGGGCCACTCAGAAGGACTCCAAATGTAGAGTCAAGAAATCTAGCCACAAGCACCATACCCTGGCCTCCACCTCCCAGCCGAAGTCCCTCAGAAGAACCCATCACCTGGAACTGCCTGAGGACCAGGGCTGCGAAGCAACGACAGCCAGTGCAGCCGTCATGACCTCCAGGTAAGAAGAGCCTCTGGACAGCAGGGGACTGCGGTGAGTTCAAGGTCTTGGCCCACCCATGTGCAGCACGAGCTGCGGGATTCTGCACACCTCCAGGGCCCGTGAAAGGGTCTCTGGGGGAAGGAAGTGGGGTGTTCGGCAGCCACACATGTGGGCAGGGGGCACAGACTAGAGGGGCAGGGCAAGTGCCTGCGACCTGGGATGTGACGGGCCCGGGGACGCTGAGCTCAGAGAGGACAAAGGAGAGGGTGATGGGGGAGCTCCAGGGACCAGCGGCTGTGGGCTGGGAGTCTGGCCCGCTGTGGGAGACTCTGGGGAGAGGTCACAGTGCAGGGAAGACCCCTGGCCCACAGAGGGGTTCGCCCAGTTCAAAGAACAAAGGGGAACGTATGGTGGACGTTTGTGAGTCCCTGTGTCCAGTGAACTGATAAAATGGGTGGGGGAGGGGTGTGTGTGTCTGGACCGGACAGGGCTCCGTGTCTGGGGGCTGACAAGGGTTGAGGGAACCCTGACCCTGTATTCAGGGGTGGCAGGATTCAGACGACCATAACCCTTAAGTCTGGGGATCAATAAGGCCCAAGGAAACCCTAACATCCATGTAAAGGGGATTGACAGATCCCAGAAGACCCTTGACTCTGACACCTTAGGCTGGGGAAGGGCCCAGGCAAGACTCCCTTGTGGGGTTGGCAAGACCCAGGACACCCTAAGTCTCTGTCCCTCACTGACAGGGCCCAGGACACCCCAACATGTGTCTGGGGCTCACAGAGGATCAGGGTCACCTCCTGATCTCCAAGCCCTATGCTGATAGGTCACTCCAGCCCTGTGTCACGGGCTGATCCTGGTTTTCCGTAGGTCACCTCAGCCCCATGTTATGCACTGAGCCAGCCCACGGCCACCTCGCCGTCCTGACCACTGAGCTGATGGCCCCACGTCACTCCGACCCTATGTCCTGGGCTGCCAGGCCCCTAGGCCACCTCAACCTCTGCCAGGGCCACTCCACTGACCCGGAGCCCAGTGACCCCAACCCTGAACCCTGGGTGACTGCCAGGTGACCCCGACCCCCGCGCTGACCCAGCCTCGGGCCACTCCGCCGCCCCCAGACTCCAGGTGACCCGGGCCGCACTCACCTTTGGCGCTGCCCGTCCAGGCCCAGGCCGAGGCCGAGGCCCAAGCTGGTGGGCGCGGGAGCGGGGCTGAGCAGGCTCTGGGGCGCTGAGGTTCTGCCTCCGGGTCCGGGCAGGGGCAGGCCGGCGGGGGGCGCGGGCGGCGGCGGCGGCGGAGGAGGCGGCGGCGCCGGAGGCTCGCGCGTCTCGGTGGGCGGTGGCGGCGGCGGCGGGGGCTTTTCGCCCCCGGGGCCCAGGCTCGGGGGCCGCCCGTCCAGGGAGATGTTGTTGAGGAAGAAGAGCGCGGCCTGGCGGCGCCGCGAATCCCCGCGCCTCCGCAGCGCCTGTGGCGCTGCCCTGGCGGCGGGGCCGGGGGACGTGCCCGGCGCTCCACCCGCCGCGGCTGCGGCCATCCTCCGACTGAGCCCGCCGCCCGCCGGCCGCCGCCCGCCCGCTCGCGCACGCGCCCGGGCCCGCCGCCGATTGGCCGGGGCGCGCCCGCATGCAAATATATCGCCATCGCGCCCGTCCATTGGCCAGCGCGGGGGCGTGGGGGGGGGGCGCTCCCCTGGGTCCTAGAGGCTGTTCGCATGCTGCCCTGGGGAGCCAGGAGCCGCGAGTCAGTCTGCGTCTGGGCCCGCGAGGCCTGACTCGGGGCGAGTGGCGGCGTCGACTCGTGTTCGAGTCCCCGGCTCGGAAGTCGCGGCCCCGGGACTCCAGAGCCCTATTCCTTTTGCTGGGCTGCGGCATTCGTGGTCAGCCTCCGTCGAGCCTGTCTTTAGGCTCCACTTCCCCTCTCAGGGTGTGTCTTTGCGGGGGGTGGGGCTGAGGTGCAGGGCTGGAGCTGTGGCAACCGGCAACAGAGATCTGGGCGGCCCCTGGAGGAGCTCCAAGAATGACCGTCGATGCCACCTGGTCTCCAGCGACTGAAGACCGTGGGCCGGAGGGGAGAAGGCACCTGCCTGGGGTGGCAGGCAGGGTGATGCTGGAGCTTGAGCCCCAGGCAGAGTCCTGCACTTCCGTCCCTCAGCAGCAAAGTGACCTTGAGTCTGTGGGGTACCAGGCCTTCTGTTCCCAGCCCAGACTCCAGAGCCAATGGCTTCATGCTCAGGAGCCCACCTGCGTCTTGCAGGACAGGATTGTATAGCCACCTGTATGCCACTGGCCTGCTCTGTCCAGCTTTCTGCCTGTAGGTTTACCCATCCTTAAAGTGGGGACAGCGACTGCGACCTCAGGGTATTGTAAGGGCTGAACGGCTCAGCCAGGGAACATCACTGCGCTGGGTCTACCTGGAGGCTGGAAACTGGGCACTCGCCATGAAATTTGCCACACAGCTCTGTGAATGCTCCCCACGCGGCACACAAATTTCTCTCTGTTAGCGAGGAGAAGCTGGGGTCGACATTGATAAGTCAGGGCCCTGCTGGCCCGCTGTTCTAGTAGGAGGGCCCTGGCAGGTGGAGGGGGCGGGACCCACAAGCTGGTGGCTAATAGTTACACTGATGTCAGATGAGGAAGATAAAGGGGGATGGGAGGATGGAGGGCTGTCATCTGGTTGTTGGGCCTCAGCTCCAAAACCATGCTATCTGCTGCTGGATAATGGGGCTGGGCTCTGGGGTGGCCTCTCTTCTGCCGGCGGACACCATGTTAAGCTTTGAGGTTGCTGCAGAGATAGCAGGGCGGCGGGGGCAGAACACGGTCTTCCTGGTTCTGTGCGGGGCGGTCTCCTGGATGAGCTGCCTTGTGGTCGTGCAGAGGGCTGATGGTTCAGTGGCGGGTGTGGGGCCAGGGACACGGAGGTATCAGTGAGGAGGGGGTCTGCGTGGTGCCTGGTGCACATTCTGTTCCCGAAGCCCTCGGCAGAGGCTCAGCACACAGGGCTGGTTTGGATCCTGCCCTTCAGACTCCCCACCCCTGGACACTCAAGAGTCACCCACCCGGGGAAGGTGGAGGCCTGGCTGAACCCAAACCCTGCCAGCTGCACACGTCATCCTTCCTTACACTTTATTCTCCCCGTGCCCTGGGACCCCTTCTCTGCAGAGGCGCTGCACTGCTGCCGGCTGGCCTTCTTAGCCCTCACCAAGCAGCACACTTGTGGGACCCCTCAAGGGGGCGCCCGAGACCACTGCTTGGAGCTCGACACCCCATCTGGAATGGGTAGCGAGGCATGCAGTCCCTGGGTCCAGGGTAGTAGTCGAGTCTGGGTTGGTGGGAGGAGGGGAACTGCCCAGGAGGGCCTGCCCGTGTAAAGCAGGGTTGGGGGCGGGGCTTGGCTGGAGCTTGAGCCATGCCGGTCTCCCAGGACCCTGCTCCCCACAGGGGAGCAGATGCTGGGGTGAGAGTGGTGGGTAAGATCGTTTCTGAGATGGAGGGGCTCAAAAGACCAGTCATCTTGGCCTTCACAGCCCCATGGATGTGGCAGGACCCAGTCCACTACCCCACTTCTGGAGCCGTCTGCTTGGCTGGTGGTGGGGGCTGTCCTGGCTGCGGGCAATCAATCCGTGGGGTGCATGACTGGGCAGGCTGGGATGCCCAGGTCTTTTCCCAGGTGCTGGTGCTGGGTGAGCGACTCCTGGCTCCCTGGTTCCTCCTTTCTCAGGTCAGCTTCTTGGAGGCTGGGGGAAGTGGACCAACGTTAAGCTGGGAGGCATGGTAGTAACCTTGTGTGTCCTCTCTTGCAGGGACACTGGGCTTTTGCCCAGGGACTCGCGGGCAGTTTCTGGGAACACAGGAGCCCACACTGGCAGTCAACCTGCTCCTGATGACAGCGGATGCTGGACAGGGCGACCTGATTGGAGGGAAGCCTTGGGAATTTGGTAGAAAGTGTGTGACCCTGGAATCTGCCTGGCCCTGGGGCCTCCCCTGCTGCCTTGCAGAGGGTCTGGGGCATCTGGATAAGCTGAACTCACTGGGAAATGTTCTCCGAACACCTGGGATGTTGGCAGGTGCTTCCATGGGCCTGCTTCTGGCTTCACAGAGAAGGGACATGTGGTTCCTGGCACCCTTGCAGGTGAAACCTACACGATGCTGAGCTTCAGGTATGCCTCTGATGTGGAACCAGCTCTGGTTCTGGGTCAGATGGATCAGGTTGGCATCCTGACCCCACGTACCACCTCTGTGACCCTGGGAAAGTTACCCCACCCTGAGCCCCCACTTTCCCATCTATGAGACAGTGATGGCTGATCCCTGGGCAGGCCCACGAGGCCCAAAGGCAGTAACGACTGGACGCTTCTTGAGCCTCTCTCTGTATGGGCACACAACACAAGGATGCTATTCTCACTTATCACCTGTGAGGTGCTGAGGGTATGGGTGCCATGGTCTGGGTGGGTGGGCAAGGGGGTGGCTTGACTCCATGTGGACGGTGGGGGCAGATGCAGTGCACCCCTGTGGACCGTGCCTGCCAGGATGGCTTCCGAAAATTCCCAGCTGGCTGTGCTGTGAGGTCACACCAGCATGCTGGCCTCCTCCAGTGCTTGCCTGACAAACACAGGCTGCGGTCACCTTCCCGACAACAATGGTGCATTGTGGCAGCTGTGGCCCAGCCTGCAACACGGACCTGCCTGAACAAACACCAGGCGGCGTGCAGTATCAGCTCAGGTGTTCAAAGGCTCTCGCGGGCGCCTGGAGACCTGGCCTGAGCTGCCACTGTGGCCAGAGCAGGAAGTGGAAGCCGTCCTTATACCCTCGACCTGGGTGGAGGGGGAGCCCACAGGCACCACCCTTGGCAAACAGGAGAGCAGCCCCCAGCCCCCCATCGAGAACAAACACACCCACGCCCCGGAGGCAGCACCCTCTGCTGGGTCTCCTCCTCAGAAGTGGACAAGGTGGTCCAGGCGAGCTTGCCCCCTCCCAGGTGGGGCTGTGAGAGGGGAGGGGTCTAGGACCACCAGGCCTGGGACTGCTTGTGGCCCAGGATGCCCTGTCTCCCCTGAAGATGACACGACTGTTCTTGCCTGTGTCCCACTACTGTCTCATATCAGCCATGGTATTGCCCCCTTTTCAGAGGGAGACAGGCTTGGGGTGAAGGGGCAAGCCCAGCGAGGAGGAAGTGGACTCGGTGTCTGCCCAGGCCTGACCCGGGTCCTCTTACAAGACTGCTCTGGGAGCAGCTCCAAGTAGCCAGAAGGGCTGGGGGCCTCGGTGCTACAACTGCCCCGCCCCCACCCAAAGCAAAGGGGCCTACCTTTGCTCCAGGGGTCAGAGGCCCACTTCCTCTTCTGCGGGCCCCGTCCACACTCCTTGTTGCAGATGCACCCGGGTCCCTCCTCCGGCGAGCTCTGTGTGGCCTCCACCCGGGTCCTCAGGCCCATCTGAGGGGTGGGGGTGTGGTCATGGTGAGGACCCCCCAAGCCTGGGGCAGCCAGGGTGCCACCACCCCTCTCCAGTGTACGGCTGTACTGACCTCACTGTCCGAGGTGTCTGGCTCGTCCAGCTCATCCGACTCCGGCTGTTGTCCTTGGGCTTTGCTGAGCTCTGCAGGACGCAGGGTGGGGTCAGCCCAGGATGGTGGCCTGGGCATCTAGTAGAAGCCTAGGTCCCTAACCTGCCAGGCTGGGATCAGTGGCAACACCTCTGAAGCTGGAGAAACTGAGGCACCGAGAGCCTGAGTAACCTGCCCTGGGGTGGAGTCCAAGCCCAAAGTATCCTGCACTCCTGCAATGACCCCACCCACTGGGGTGCCCCTGGCTTGGTTGCTGGGTGACAGGGAACTCATCACCTGCCCTGAAGCCCCAGTTGCTAGGAGGCCCTCCATTCACTTCCTGTGGTCAGAAACATGCCCTCCCTGGGCCCCTCGCTCCACTCTGGGTCTGGAGGTGGGGAACCAAGTCTGAGACAAGTTTGTTGGGTCAGGCCCTCCCCACTCACGGTGGTTCCACTTCCACTGTGGAACACTTCCTATGTTCACATCCTCACCTGGGTGGCCATCTCCACAAGGCCTTGGTGGGTAGGGGGGCAGTTTAGGCCTCCCTCTGTCCTCCTCTCCTTGCCTACTTGGAGAGGGCAGGCTGAGGTGGGGCCCTGGGGCAGAGTAGGGGGTGTCCTGGCGAGAAGGGAGAGACTTGAGCTCATGTAAGGCAACTCCCCCCCACCCAACCCGGCCTCGGGCACAGCCTGCGGGGGCCCTGGACAGGGCGGGGCTGGAGGGTCAGCTGACTCCCTGTGGCTTGTGACCTGGGCAGCAGGCTTTCCCTCGGGAACTGGCTGGTGGAGCAGAGAGGGCAGCCCGGGGCTTAGGTGCTCTGGGTGGGATACACAGAGCCCAGGAATGGGGCTTGGGCCCTCACCGGGGAAGGTGGATGCTCTTTTGCTTCTGGCTCTTTGGCTTCCTGGGTGCCATTGCTGAGTCTCTGGGCTCCACACCGGGCAGGTGGTCCCACTCCCTGGGGTGGCTCAGGGCTGGGCGTGGGGACCCGTGGGGGGCTGAGTGACCCCGACTGGTTGGCAGGCTTGGGGGCGCTGGCCCGGCACCGACCGCGCTCTGAGAGGTCCAGGGGCTTGTCTGGGACATAGTCCTGTGTGGTTGTGCCCTCCTTCCCCTGGGGGCTGCCCGGGCCTGCAGGCAGTGGGTGCCTCCCTCTGGCCGCCTCGCCCTCAGGACCCTCGGAGTCTGAGTCTGCTGGTGGGGAGGGTGGCATCCCTTTGGGCCCCCGAGGGCCCCTCAGTCGGGCACTGCCCACCCTGCCCTGTGCCCGCAGCTGCTGGGCCAGGAGCATGTGCAGTGCGCCTTCCAGCTGTGGGTTCCGCATGCCCGCCAGGGCGCCCGGCAGGCCCAGCAGGCCCGAGGGCTCCTCCCAGACCTCCGCCTCCCCAGCCTTGAGGCCCTGGGACTGGGGGCCGCTGGGGGCTGTGGTGGGGACCGGGGGGCTGCCAAGGTGCAGGGTTAGGTGGCGGTTTAGGAGGCAGAGGCGGTCGGCCTGGAGGGAGTGCTTCAGGGACTCGCAGGTCTTGACAGAGGGCCGAGAGGCCTGCAGGAAGCTGTGGGCAAGGAGAAGCCTGGTGACTGTGGGGCATGGTCAGCCCCACTTCACAGGGAGGACTGTGGGCCCTAGGGGTGAGGCGGGTGCCCACATGACACGGTGGGCAGTGGGGAGGGGAGTGCCCTGGCCCCTGGGGATTGGGTGCCTGGTTTCAGAGTTGACCTGGGGCCTCGGGGTCAGAGGAGGGACCCGGCACTAAGACCTCTCCCCGTTCTGGGCGTCAGCTGCCTGCCCAGTCCCTTGGAGCACCCTGCCCACCTGGGCACCCACCACAACCCCACCCCCACTCTCCTCAGACCATGATGAGAGGGGTGCCCAGTCCCCATCTCCTCTGTCCACGAATCCCCACCCCACCCCGGCCGTTCAGATGTCCATGTGGGAACCATGCTGCAGGCAGGGGGAAGCCAAGACAGGGAGAGCAGGTCTCCTGAAGGGACAAAGGGAGGGACTCCCTGCTGCTGGCCCCTGCCTTAAAGCTGGGACCAGAGGAGGAGACTGGCTGCCCAGCTGAGGCAGCTCCTGGTGGTGGCAGAGGGCAGGTGCTCACCTGTCCAGAGGGAGGCTGTGCTCACCAGGTGGGCTGGGTGGGCTATTCCTGGTGGGCGGCAGTGGGGGCGTCCCATTGGTGGAGCCCTGGTCGGCGGAGCAGGCCTGGGACCCCGGCCGCACCACGGCGATGGTCCCGTGCAGCTGGTTGGAGATGTGCTGGGGGTTCTGCATGGGGTGGGCAGGTCAGCCTGGGTGGGCTTGGCTGCTACCCTCTGCCCTTTTCTCTGTGCCACTTTGGGCAGGCCACCCACCCACTCTGAGCCTCGCTTCCACCCTCGTCACGTGGAGCTCAGGACTCCCTGCTTGGCACGAGGATGGGCACGTGCCATGTGCACGGCACACAGCAAGGCTGGCAGTTCTGGTCTCCTTCTTGGGCTGCCCGGGAAGAGGGAGGAGTGGGTTTAGGGGTGCGGGGTGCGGGATCCCTCACCCTCACCATGTCCGGGGTCCATGCCTCAGGCAGATTGGGACTTGGGGAGATTTTGGCCATTGGAGATGTCCTGTATACCCCCAGCCTTTCTGTGGGAGGAGGGACAGAGGGCAGGATGGTTGGGAGGGGCTGAGAGGGGTCAGCTCAGCCCCCGGCCCAAGGGCTCCCTGGTCCCAGGCTGCTCAGCCTCCCCTGCCCCCACACCCCCCTCTCCTGTGGACCTGCACCTGCATGGTCATCCTCTGTCTCCTCGTGGCCTCCCAGTGGTTTCTCAGTGACAGCCTTCCGGGCACCCAGGGAGGGGAGCAGCAGGGGTGACGGGGGCTCCGAGGTGCCCTCCCTGAGCTGGGGCTTGGGCCTGTCCCCACTGGGAGGCAAAGATGAGGCAGGTGAGGGGGCAGCATACCAGAGATGATCAGAAAGGCCAGGGCGCCCTCCTGGGGGCCAAGCCGCCTGTGCGGGAGACCCAGGTGACCAGGAAAGACATCATCGTGGGCTCACACCCATGTCTGGGGGTGGCCCAAGCGCCAGAGCTGCCATGGGTGCTGTGGCCCAGCTCCGTTTCTGGGGTGTCCTGTGCCTGCAGACCAGGGGAGGTCGCTATCTGTCCCAGGGTGCTGGCCTGTGGGCCCCCTCCCCCTGCATGAGTGCCTGGGGCTCCCCCCACTCACCCTGGGCCCTGAAGCCGCTTCACTTCCTCCTTCAAGGCGTCATTTTCCTCCTGCAGCCGAGTCAGCTCAGTGGCTGCGGAAGGCACTGATTAGGAAGGACTTGGGGCGGGGAAGGGTGGGTGGGGAACTCACGGCCCTGGGAGTCCCCCAGTCCTGGCCCAACTGGGACTCCAGCACTTGGCTCAGGGCCTGGCATACAACAGATGCCCCATAGATACTTGCTGCATGAGTGGGTGGGTGGATGTTGAGTGAGCAGAACCAGCCTGGAGGCCATGAAAAGGGATGGCGCTCCCCAGTCCCCAGGGACGCCCCCCCCCCAGCCAAAGGAAAGGGGCTTGTGCTCATCAGCAGGCCACATGGAACCCAGCTCTCTGCGGGAACCTCCTCATCCTTAGAAGGAGGGAGCTGAGGCCCCGAGAGGGCAGGGATGCCCCAGCCTGGTGACTGAGCAGCAGGTGGCCTGTGGGGGTCAGCAGGGGCTTTGCACCATCTGTCTGTGAGTTGCGGTGCGGATGTCCCTCCTGACAGTGCAGCCCTGGATCACCTCCTCCCCTTTCCCCGAGACCCCTCGTTGGGCTGAGCAGGTGGGGGGTCGCCGCCCCCTACGGGAGGATGGGGTGCAGGATGCGGGGCAGGGGGGTGCTCACTGAGGAGGAAGATGTGCTGCAGGTTCTGGAGGAGGGAGCTCTCGTACTCTTGCTGCTTCTTCCTGGCCAGCTCCTGGGTGACCATGCAGCGGTCACACAGCCCAGCCCGCAGCCTGCGGGGCGAGGAGGGATGGCGAGAGGCCTCTCTGAGAGGGAGGGGCTGGGATACCCCACCCCCTGCCCCACTCCCAGGACCTGCCCTGCCTTTCCCCACTGCGTTGCCCACCCCATGGGCTCAGCACACCACATGCTATTGAGTTTGGGAAGGAACCTTGAAAAATGCAGATTACTTAAGGCTCTGCGAAGTCCTGCAGTGGCTGAGTTGACTCCAGAGCATCCCAGACTCATTCTCCACAGAACGCTCTGGTCTTCCCTCCGCTCCTGCCCCCATCGTGAGTGGAGTGTGAGGTGCCCCCACCTGTTCTCCAGCACCCGCAGATTCTCCTTTAGCACCTTCTGCTGCTCCCTCAGCTGGTGGTTCTTGGCACAGAGCTCCTCCACCCTCTGGGCATCCCTGTGGGGGATGATCTGAAGTTGGGGGTCTGCTCTACCCAGAGAGCCCTCCGCTACCCACTAGCCTCTCCCTGGCCACCAGCCTAGGACTTCATTGAGACTTAGGGCCTTGCAAGGGCTATGCCAGCTCGCCCAAGCGTGAGTGTGTATGGCCGCCTTGAGGACTCTCTCGTCCCCATGCCACCTGGCAGAGTTCTGTGAAGTGGGGACCTGGGGAGTCTGCCTGTGGGTCTCCAGGACTCACGAGGAGTCCCCCCTGTTGACAGTTATCGGTCCCAGATGTGCCCTGCATGGATACTCCTTGCCCAACCCTTTGGAGGGTCCCTGTTCACTCTGTTGGGCTCGGACTTTCCAGCCCCACTCCTCCAGCTCCTCGAAGCATGACCTTGGGCCAGACTCCCCCTACCCGCTATGCTGAGCTTCAGTTTCCCCTGTATCACTGCTGGTGGCAGTGTCAGGGCTCTGGGGCTGCAGGGGAAGAGGGGGAGATGAGCTCTGGCAGTCACTGCCCGTCCAGTCTCCTGGGCCAGGCCTGTCCTCACTCACCGGCACCTCTCTGAGTTCAGTTCCAGAAGCTTGTTCTGCAGGCCTGAGGAGTGAGGAAAGGGGCAGAGGTCAGGCCCAGCCGGGCTGCCATCTCTACATGGAGCTGGGGCGTTTCCTGTCCCTGGTTGTCTGGCAGAGCCCTCTCCAGACGCCCACCACTTGCCTGGGTTCCTGCACGGACTCCCTGAGGTCACCCCCTTGAAGGGCTCCCAGTCTGCATCTGCTGCCAGCTTCTGCTCAGTCTCCTGGCTGCCTGGGACCCTGGTCTGGGCCCAGTCTCTCCCCTCCCTTGTCTCTGGCTCTGGTGTCAGTTGAGGATGGGTGCCGGATGCTGGGAGTCACCAGTTACCCAGCCAAGGCCCGGAAGGGATGCTTTTTGGGTGCTGCCAATGGGCCCCCAAGGGAGACCCCAGCAGAGCCCCTCCTCCCCTCCCTATCATGGTCTGGCTTGGGCCCTAGGCTAGCCCAAGCAGTCCCTGCCCCTCTGGGTCTCTGGACCTTTGATGTGGGGAGCAGGTGAGGACTCTCAGAAAAGTCAGGGGAGGGTCTGGCCCAGGCGCTGGGGGAGTGAATGGAGCAGGTGGCTGCAGTCCTGTTGCTGGTGGGGAAATTGGATAGACATGCATACCAGGGCAGAGCTTAGCCTGGGGTTCTGGAAGCGGCAGAGGGATTTTAGCTCAGCACGCAGAAGGCTCCAGACAAGCCTCCAGAGCCTTGGGCTCCATTCCTATGAGGAAAGAAGGTGACCTCCCTTCTGGGGGACGTGGAGGCCCCACCTTGGGCCAGGGGCCGGTCTTGGCTATAGTGTCTTGGCTCTCTGCGGCCAGGCTGGTCTTTTATTTCTGTTCTGATATGAGCTGACCATTTGGGGACCACCCCTTCAGGGCTGCACTTGGGTGTTGATCTAAGGCTGGGTGCCTGGCCACTATGCAGCTCTGGGCTCTGGGTCAGGACTCCCTTTCTGGGCCTGGAAGGCGTGGTCCTGGTTTTGGTGAGAATTTGAGGCAGCATGTGGAAGTCCCCTGGCTTGACCTTGGCCCTTAGACTGCTGTCTGGCTGCAAGTTTGTCCTCCCCAAGGTACTCACCCATGACCTCATTCTCGTGGACTTCCTTCAGTCTGTTTAGTGACTCTATGAAGCTCTCCATGGCTCCCGTGGCCCTGGCCCTGGGTCCTCTGTGCTCCAGGTGTGGGGACGGCCCCTTGGCCTCTACTGCCCGTCTGTTTCCAGCCTATGGAGTAGGAAGCAGGGGGACAGTCACATTAGCTCAGGAGGGATCTGTGGGCTGCAGGGTGCAAGAGGCAGGTGTGGGAGTCCTGTCTTGTGACCACACACTGGGTCATGTCCACACCTGAGGGGGGCATGTATGTCCCTCCTGTAGGGACTTCTCACTTCATCTCAACTCCCTAATCGTCTTCACTTCATCTCATCTCCCTAATCCAGTCTTCACAGCAAAGCAGATGGCTTGAGGGGACCAGCTCCCACTTGATGCTGGCGCCACTAGGGTGCATGTGACCTGTGATGAGGCCCCAGACTGGAGATGCCCATGCCGGCAGACAGCTGGCGGGTCAGTAAGCCAGGGTGTGTTCAGCCTGGAAAGCTCTCTCAGTAGGGTCGTTTCCTACAGTGGCATGGATGGCCCCATGGGGCCACAGTGGAGACTTCGGGGGTTGGCTGACTATTTTCTCTGCTGGAACTGGTGACCGTACCCTGGCAGAAGTCCACCTAGCTGCCCCTCATGGCCTGGGCCCTTTTTCCTGCCTGTATTTCACCTCCATGAAGCATTTGTTAAAACTTAAAAGGTTGTGGGATTGAGAACCCAAGCTGGGAGCTAGATAACCTTGCCCATCGTGTGACTGCTGTGAGCTCTGGCACCTCTGAGCAGCCCTTTCTTCCCTCTGGTAGTGGCCATGAGGCCTGTCTAGTGGGCCTGGTGAGCATGCCTTGGGGTCCTGCAGGATCCAGCTTGGAGCTGGGGATGAGGCTGGGGCTCAGCCCAGTGGCAGCTTCCTCACCGTGGTGCCAGGCACCACCCTCCTCCAGGCGGGAGCCCCTCGGTCCTGGTGGCACATCTCTGGTGGTGGGTACCAGCGGCCACCATTACCCTGTGGCACCATCTGTCACCCAGTGGGGGTCAGACCCACAGCTCATAGCCAGGTCAGCAGAGATGCCACCAGCCCAGACCAGTGCCATCATCACCTCCAGGCCGGGGGGAGGCAGCCCCTCTGGTCCCTCCTTGTTCTCCGCCTGAGGAGCCCAGTGGTCCACAGGACCTCGAAAACGAGCGGCTGACTCCTGGTACACTGAGTCCTCTCCTCCGGGGGTCCTACACTGGGTGTTGGCAGCAGCTCGTGGTTTGCCCTCTGCACATGCCCAGAACATCACTCCCTCCTTCACAGAGCCTGCCTGGGCCCAGGCCACCAACCGCTGCTGCAGTGCTCCACCACCCCCAGGAGGGCCTTTGCACAAACCCTGGAAACCTCTCCCCAAAGACCCCTTCAGCCTTGCCCGAAGGAGGGTTGTGGTCTTGCATTTCAGAGACTGGAGTGTTTGCAGCAGTAGTCTCCAAACTGGAAATCCTCCAATGTCTGCTGGTGATTGTCCAGCAGTGGCAAGAGAGAAGACGATCCAGGGCCATTACGGTTTGGTTCTGAGACACTGCAGAGTAGGGGCCAGACTGGGGAAGCCAGCACAATGCGGGATTCACGCACAGGGAGTATAGAAGAGGCACAGCTGCTCTAGGCTCTCTGAAGCTGGGTGGTGGGCACCCTGGCACTGGGATCACTAACTGAGGGGAGCAGGCCCTGTGACCCCAAGAGAAGCCAGGGGCCGGGGCAAGCACTATCCTGGAGCTTTCCAGGGGACTTGACAGGGAGGCTGGCTCTCAGCCTGGTCCTCGAACCCCAGGCCCAGCAAGAGGACAAAGAATGGTCCTGTGTCTCACAGTGGCCACCAGAGCCCACAGGCAGAGATGTGCTGGAGGGATGTAGCGACAGGAAGGTGGGGTTCCCCAAACTTGTTTTAGACCTGCCTGGCCTCTGGGACACTCCCAAGAGATGGCCAGGGAAGGGGGGGGTCCCTGCTTACTGGCTGTGTGTTAGGTGGGTGAGGGCTCTGTGAATAAGGAGCTTGGCGGGGTTCCCTCCTTGAGGCTGGGAGCCACTGGGATATCCTGGCAGGTTAGGGAATAAGATGCTGAATTGCAGAGGCTGGGGGAGCCAGGGCTATAGTAGGGTATACATGATAATCCGGCCCCACTTCCTGAGCCCATCTAACCCTGACCACACTGCAAGGAGCCCACTTTCCAGATGGGGAAACTGAGGCCCAAAGACATCGAATCATGCTCCTTGGCTGCCCAGTGGGAAGCAGGATTCGGGGCTTGACTTCTTCCTGGGGCTGAGGATGTGTCCTTGCCCCCTGTGGACCAGGGATGTGCTCCAGGTGGCCCTGCTCTGCTGGCTCTCCCATCTTCATCTTGTGGGAGATGGGACTGTGGGAGGAGCTCTCCTCGGCTCGGGCTCCCTGTAGGGTGAGGTGGGCCAGCTGGAGAGGGCCAAGCCACTGTGCCTGAAATTCCACCCAGACCCGCCTGACAGGCCGTTCTTCCCCATCAGCGTCTGCCATGGGCCGTCGTGGGCTGGGCCAACGCCTGTGAAGGAGCCGTCCCTGGGAGCCTGCGGTGCCCCAGGCCCAGGAGAGGCTCTGCAGATGGGTGCAGGTCTGAGTGAGAGGCCAACATTGTTCCTAATGACAGTGCTGTGGTGTGGAGCAGGGCAGGTAAAGGCCCAGACACCCTCCTCTGTCCCGGTACCCTAGGCTCCTCTCTATTCCAAACCGCCCAAAGGCCCCACCTGGCTGCCCCTCTGGGGTCTCTGATGGGCAGAGGGCAGCGTGGACACAGACATGGGTCCAGGCAGGGGCAGCACAGCTGGAGGGTGTGTTCTGCTGGGAGCCCCACATCTCCCAGGGATGACCAGGGCTGTCCAGCCCCTGGTGACAGTGCCATGGGGGTGGTGTGGCTCCCCTGGGCCAGCAGGTGACAGGGCATTTGGCCAAGGAGAAGAGGACAGTCAGTCTCCTGGGGCAGTCCCAGCCCCCACTCTCAGAGTGCAGGGGGGCAGCGTGGGTCCAAGGAAGCAGCAGGAGGATGAGGAGGTGGGTCCGCAGCTGACAGGGGTTTGGTGGCTGTGGGTAGGAAGAACCTCGGCTGTAAAAGTGCATGTGGCGGCTTCCCTGGTAGCTCAGTGAGTAAGAATCTGCCTGCCAGTGCAGGAGACACAAGTTTGAGCCCTGGTCCGGGAAGATCCCACATGCCGTGGAGCAACTAAGCCCATGTGCCACAACTACTGAGTCTGTAGCTCTAGAGTCTGAGAGCTACAACTACTCAAGCCCGCTTGCCTACAGCCTGTGCTCCTCAACAAGAGAAGCCACCGCAATGAAAAGCTTGCACATCACAACTAGAGAGTAGCCCCATTTGCCAAAACTAGAGAAAAACCTGTGCAGCAACAAAGACCCAGTGCAGACAAAAACAAGTAAATGAACATAAATAAGGTTATTTTTAAAAGGTGCATGTGGTCTGTGCCAGAGGGCAGTGGGCCAGCCCTCCCTGGGGGCCTCCGTGGTGTTTGCCGGGTGTGCTGAGAGCCACTGAGGGGAGAGGGGCTCAGGGGCTCAGGGAACTCAAGGCAGGAGGGCTCCCCCCAGGCCTGGGGTGGGGGCTACAGTGCTGGAAGGAGGAGTGAGCAGGTTATGGGGTGGGGTCTTGGCTGCTGCCTCTGGGCCTGGGGGCCCTGGGCAATAGAGAGGGTGGCCCAAGTTGCCCACTGCGGCAGGGGGTGGTGGGTGCTGGGAGCAGAGGCCTGAATGCTGCTTCTCAAGGGCCCAGGGTCACTCCTATTCCTGCTCTGGACACCCAGGCTGGAAGATCTCTGCTGGGTGGAGACCCAGAAGCTGCAGGTGGCAGGGCAGGGCAGGGGTCAGGCACACCGCTGACCCCATGCACCTGCCACTCACCTGGGCAAGGTCAGCCTGCGCAGTGCACCCTGGCCTGCCTGGAGCCAATGTGGACAGGACTAGTGGGTTCCCAGAGCCTGAGTCCCTCATCTGGGGTAACCGCGCCGCCACCTCAGGTTGTTGTGGGTGTGTCCCACCAAATACATGTGTCCGGACGATGCCATCCGGGTGAAGTGTGTACTCAGCCCAGGGCCTGGCAAGCACTCAGCTAACTGCAGATGGAGACCCTGCATCCACCGCATGCAGCTGCCCTCCAGTCCCTCCCCTGCAGGTGGCCCTAGGGGTCCAGCAGGGCTCCTTACAGGACCTCAAGCTCAAGTGCCATCAAGGCCCTCTACAGGAGGACAAGAACGCTCCTGAGTTCAGAGCAGAGTCTCAGATGCCAGCACTGATGACACACATTTGTGCCCTGCATGGACATTTAGGGTCCACTGGGTCTTGGTGGCCGTGGCTCAGGGAAATGCCCCTGCCACCATGTAAGAGAAGGCCACTAGAGCCCCCGCTGTGGCCCTGGGCTGGGTGCTGCCCGCTGAGCCGCAAAGCCTCGGTGGTGAGGTTCTTGCCCGGCTCCTGGGCCAGCCGGCAGGGCCCTGACCACTTTCTCTTTTTGGAGCCTCTTCTCCAGCAGGCCCTGGGGTCCAGGAGCCCCAGGCCCCCAGTTCTGTGCCTGCTCTGCCATTGATCCATCCACCCACCTGTGAGTGACACAATGACAATGGTGCAGCAGTAACCACAGCGGTGGCCCTTGTTCCCCGAGCAGCTGCTCAGCCGAGTACCTGACCAGGGCTCTATGCGCTGTGTGGCATCTACAGCAGGCCCCCTACCACGTCCCAGGGTGATCCAGGGATGCTCCGCCTGCCCGTCACCAAGGACCTCACGAGGCTGGGTACACCGTCCAAGCCCTTTCCATGTCCTCCACACAGGTCTTTATGGAGCACCCGCTGTGTGCCCCGGCTCAGCCCACAGGTGATTGGAGCTCGCCTTGCCTTCTGGCACTCACTGTCCCATTCTACAGATTCAGGGACTGAGGTGCGAAGCAGGTCAGAGGCTCCGGTGGTGGCTCCCTGCATCCCACGTGGTGAGGGAGAAGCCCCTTCTTTGACCACCTTAGCTGAGTCTCTCTCCCACTGTGTCTCAGTGTCCCGGGCCATGAGACGATGGCAGTGCCCTGGCCCAGCTCCTGGAGACTGAGGAGTTTGCACCACCTTGGGTGGCCGGGTCTCCTCCATGTGGCAGGCATCCAGTGCCCATTGACTGCAGGTGGTCAGGGGCCAGCCTGCCAGCCTCCACATCCAGGCGTCTGGCAGGAACGTCTCATGTAGTCAGTCCCTGGGCTCACGTTGCCTGTGGAGTGGCCATGACAGCCCTTACTTTGCAGATGAAGGATCTATGGCTCTGAAAGATGGCACTACTCCACAGTCACCAACTCGCAAGGGACATGGCCAGCGCAGCCTCCTGCAACCTCCTGGGCCAGCTCAGATGGCAGGTCCTGAGAGGTGCCACTGCCTGGATGGTTTCTAGCATTGCCAGACACCTAGACCCATGACACATGTGCATACGTATGTGATGCCCACATGTGCAGACACAACAGTATCCTAACAATATCCCAACAACTAGTGCACAACAGAGAAACGTGTGCACATGTGTGCACTCCCCCCACCGTGCACGTGGCACTGTGCAGGACAGGGGAAAGCTGCTTGCACGTGTGTGCACATACTCGAGTATCGCATGTGCGTGTGCACACATGCACAGAGGCACAAGGCAGGTGTGCGCTCGCTCAGCAAGGCCGAGGTGTCGCTGGTGGCTCGGGTAACAGCGGGCCCTGCAACCTGATTCCTCAAGGATGGGCCGGCCCAGGGCCACTGCGACTTCTCAACCGCCTCCCTGAGGCCTGGCGGGGGAGGCTGAGCAGGACTGAGGCCTGGGAGCCTTTTGTCACTGCTTCCCAGGGGACACCGAACTGAGGGCAGCTGATGTCCTACAGTGCCCAGCAGGGAGCCGTGGCTGGCTGCACCGCACGCACTCCACCCCTCATTCCCTAGCTGCAGCCTGTCTGAGGATCCGGGCGGTGAGGCCGGACCAGGATGAAGTGCCAGGCCCCCAGCCTGTTCCCAGTGTCCCCAGAAGACCCAGGGACTTTCCAGCACAGCAGTGCCAACCCTAGCCTTCCCAGCCTTGGCTCCCCCAGCCTGTCTGCCCAGGAAGCTCGCTGCGGCCTGTGTTCCCACTCAGTCCCCTGGACTGTGTGCCCCAGAGCAAGGGCTGCGGCCACCACCCCACCCTGGCCCCTCCTCCAGCCCCCACGAGCAGGGGCTGGGTCTCCACCTGGTAGCTAGCACCCCACAGTGACCCCAGACCTTGTGCCCCTTCCCCTGCCCCCAGCTACTGAAGCCGCTGGGGCCCTGGGGCCCCCGGGTACTCACATGGCCCCGCGTCCGCATCGACCTCTGGGGACCTCCGCTCTGCTCCGGGAAGCTCCCGCCTGAGAGATGGAAACCAGCATTGTGAACTTGCTTGGGAACAAGACAGAATTTTGGCCAAACCCGCTTGACAGGTTTTCGATTCCCCGGGCCAGGAGCAGAGAGGAGGCAGAGCCGGCCCAAAGCCGCCCAACGGGTTCTGCCATCGCATAGAAAGTGGCAGAACGGGTCGGGTCTGACCCTCACAGAGAGAGGATTGTTTCTCCATGATCTCTGCATGGCCTGGGCCTCTGGCTGGAGCCGGGCAGTTAGCAAGGAGAATCCAGAGCCTGGAAGTGGCCTTGAGGGGCAGGGCAGGCGCAGGTTGTGGGGGAGCCGGGGGAGGAAGGAACATTATTACCTCGGGGCGGAGGACAGCAGTGAGCCTCTCCCCTGGCTCTCGTGGGCTGAGCTGTCCTGCCTCAGTTTCCTTGTCTGTAAATTGGGGATGATGACCACAGGCCTGCCTCTATTGGAGCTCTGGAGATGGAATTGTTAGGTAGTTAGAATAGGGAAAAAGAGTCCAAAATGGCCGTGGCTAAAAGACTTGGAAAGGAAAGCCCGCGAAAATAGAACAAAGAAAGGTCCGAGGACCAGAGTGAGAACCTCAGGTAAAACAAACAACGCTCCTGCCTAAGCCCAATTTACATAAGACAGGCCCAGGGACAGAGAAACATATAAAAAGAGGAGCCAAAGCCCTCTTCTCTCCTTTTTTTTTTTGCTCCCTCCCTCTCCCCCGCATGATGGGGCGATCTTCTCTTCGCGTCTTTGGCTCGACGTGCCCTCACGCTTCAAAGATGGATTTTCCTGCTATTATCTAAATAAATAGAGCTGTAACACTGAGCTGAAACACTGATGTATTTAAGAGCTATAACACGGTCTGTTTGAGACCTGAGAGCTATAACACGGTCTGTCCTCCGAGAGCTGTGACCCGCCAGGGGGCTTTAATGTCGGTCACTCCAAATTTTTGTTGTGACGAGACAAAGAACCGAGCATACACTCTCGTGATATCTATGGTGCCGTGACTCGGATAAAACCTGGCTGAAACAACCTCCACGTGGAAGAGGCCAAGCGCAGCAGGAGCCCAACTCAGCAAAGCTCCTGCGGTAGAAGCGGAAAGCGAAGAAAACTCAGCACAGGGGAAGGCCCGTCATGCTGGAGACCGGGGCAGCGAAAACCGAACTCGGCAGAAAGCCCACGTGGCTCAGCCTCAGATTCCAGCAGACCTCCGGTTGAGGTAGGAGGTCCTAGCTCCTATGGCTGGAAGGACATGCCTAACAATTACAATCTCTCGTTTCTTGTTTCCTTGAACCCCCCTGCGATGAGGCAGGCGGCAGTGGGCGCCAGAGGGACTCTGGAGAGGCTGTTCTTCAGTATGTCCCAAAGGCACTACTGCTGAGCCCCAGTAGCGGTTACCCAAGCCGGTGGGGGTTCTCCTGTCCTTACTCTTTGTGCCAAAAATCAGGCCAATAAAAGCTGTGAGCACCGGTCAGATATCTAGCAAATTTCCCAGTAGGCTATGAAGGGGATTCCTTGGCACATCGTTCCCACTGCTTTTTCCTCTTTTCCTTCAGCTCTTTCTCCCGGGACTCGAGCCCTACCAAAACCCAGGATACCCGGCTCAGGATCTGAGGTCTTATTGCAAAAATTCAGTGAGAGACAAAGCGATAAGTGGGAGGTGTATTTGCTAAGATTCCGAGAGAAGCGCCCATTCTACAGGATACCGGCCATGGAATGTGGCCTAAATTTTGCGAGCGGGGCGAATTCATATGCTAATGAGTGGGAGGATCATCCCAGCCATTGGCTTACAGATTGGGGATTAAAGTTTGCTCAATTGGACCCAATTGACTTTAATCGGTTTACGTTATGCTCTGGTGCTATGTCATTCTTCCAAAGGTTGTGCTCTGCCCCCCTTCCTTCCTGTTTCATGCTCCTTTCCTCAGCCCCGTCCGGGCCCACAATGTTGCCTCTACGGTCTACTAGAGGGATAACCAGAAAATAGCTGGCCTTGGGAGGGAAGAACTGTATAATATCCAACCCCTTAGTCCTACCTGGCATTGGTCACACTGGAGATCGTGGGGACGCCCAAACTCCAGTCCGGGGGTCCCAGGAGGTCATCACACCTTGACCTGCCTAGGGATCTGGTCCTCGAAAGGCTGTCACGCCTCAGCCTGCCTGGAGATCTGCATCCTGACCCGGGGACGCCTGGCTCTCAGGTTGTGACAGTACTGGGAAGGATAAGCTTCAAAAAGCCTATTAGTTTTTTTCTTTTCCTTTTCCTCCCTAACATGACTGTTTTTCAGATGGGAAATAACCAATCCACTTCCCGGCAGACGCCCTTGAGATGCATCCTTGACAGCTGGAAGCTGTTCGATCCACTAACTCTGAGGAAGAGTCATTTAAAATTCTTTTGTGCCACTGCGTGGCCACGGTATCCACTGGGGGACAAGGAATACTGGCCCGAGGATGGGACTTTACATTACAATACCATCCTGCAATTGGAATTATTCTGCAAAAGACAAGGGAAATGGACAGAGATCCCCTATGTCCAAATTTTCCTCAGACTGAGAGAACTCTGTCTTAAGTATGGGATTGTTGTACGCCCTAAAAGTGAGCCCACTAGGCTAATGGTGTCAGGCACAGGCAACCAAGAGAAGGAATTCCCCCCCCCCCCCACCGTGGAGGCTCACCTCTCACAGCTGCCGAGTTGCCTGGTGCTGCTTCCTTGTATCCAAGTGTGCCCCCATATCCGGGAGCACCCCTTCCACAAAAGCCAGCTCGAGTATGTCCCTTAGTTGAAACTGGAGGAGAATTCGGACCAACCCGAGTCCATAAACCCTTCTCTCTCTTCGAACTAAGACAAATAAGACCTGGGAAGCTATATAGATGACCCAGGCAAATACATAGATATGTTCCAACATATTACCTTGGCCTTTGACTTGACATGCAAGGACATCATGGTCATATTTAGTCAAACTTTATCTGACCCTGAACATGCTAGGGTCTTAAAGGAAGCCCGGAGGTATGCAACAGGGCTTCACATGTCAAGCGATAGATACCCAGTAGGGGAAACTGCAGTCCCCTCCTCCGATCCTAACTGGAATTATAATGACCCTGAGCACATCTGGGAAAGAGATCATTTTCTAATCTGTATAAAGGTAGGACTGAAAGCAGCCCAGCAAAAAGTAATCAGCTATGCCCGGGTCTCAGCAATAACTCCGGAGTCCAATGAGAACCCCATCTGGAAAGGCTAAAAGAGGCCCTCCAAAAGTTTGCCAATTTGGACTTAGACTCTTACGAAGGACAGGTGATTTTAAAGGACAAATTCCTGTCCCAATGTGCATCAGGTATCAGAATTAAGTTACAACAACTACAGCAGCAGGACTTTGCTGCCTCTCTAGATGAGATGATCCAGACAGCCACCAATACCTTTTATAACAGAACAGGAGAAAGAGGCCAAGGCCCAGGAGAGGGAGAGAAGGAAAGAGACAAGGCATGCCCAGATGTTGGCTGCCATCCAGGGAAGCCCTATGGCACACCCCGAGCCCTTGAATGACAAGGCACGAGGCAAATGCCTAATCTGTAGACAGGCGGGGCATTGGGCCAAAGAGTGTCCTAACCGTGACAAGTCTAGAACGGCTTGCCACAAATGCCATCAACTGGGACATTGGGCGACACGCTGCCTTCGGGACCCAAGAGCCTCAAGGTCAAGCGCCAAGCCTTCCCTCACGATGGTTCAAGAGGACTGAAGCGGCCCGTTCCAGCCAACCCACCTGTTACAGATAACCATCAGGGGGCTGGAGCCAAGGGTGCAACGGGATGTGGCAGGTAGGTCCGAGAATTTCTTGGTTGACACAGGGGCTACCTACTCTGTCTTGATCTCCTACTCCGGAGACTTCTCCCAAACCTGTACCATTTTGGGTGCTACAGGAAAAGCAACTACTAAAAGATTCACCCAAGCATTTCTTTGTTGCTGGGATGGACAAATATTTTCCCACCAGTTCCTGGTGGTCCCTGAGTGTCCTACTCCCTTAATGGGAAGAGACATACTCACTAAACTGGGGACCACCCTTGTGATGGGAAGCTTTTCAGCCCCTAGGGCCCTACAGCTTCTGGTTACTACTGAGGAACCCATTGCACCTCCAATAGAGAGAGAGCAAAGACTATGGGAGGACAAAATTAACCCCCAGGTGTGGGACCAGGGGATTCCTGGCGAGCCCACCAAGCTGAACCGGTCATTATTGTCCTCTGAGATCCCACTCGGTTTCCTAACCAGAAACAATATCCTCTCAAAAGAGAGGCTTGGGAGGGACTACAGCCTTTAATAAATAAATTCCTTGCTTGTGGGCTATTGGTCCCTACCAGTTCGCCATGGAACACCCCAATCCTCTCAATAAAGAAAAAGGACGGAACCTGGCGAATGGTTCAAGATCTCTAGATCATAAATGAAGCTGTAGTCCCCCTCCATCCCACAGTACCCAATCCCTATGTAATCTTGGGGAAAATCCCACCCAGTGCCAAGTGGTTTACAGTCTTGGATCTCAAAGATGCATTTTTTTGCATACCACTGGCTAAAGAATCCCAATATCTTTTTGCCTTTGAGTGGGAGGCCCCAGGAGAAAAACACCAACAGATGACTTAGACAGTATTACCTCAGGGGTTCAGAGATAAGCCCCCATTTGTTTGGACAGGCCCTTAGCCAGGATCTCCTAGATCTGGACCTGGGACCTAATGTATGTCTCTTCTACATATTACAATATGTAGATGACTTACTAATCTGCTCCCCAGATGAGAAAAAGTGCCCAACAACATGCAATTCAGGTTCTAAACTTTTTGGCAGAAGGGGGATATAAAGTCTCCTGTGCTAAGGCACAGATGGTCGAGACAAAGGTCACTTACCTGGGAGTTCAGATTACACATGGGTCCAGGAGGCTGTCCTCTGATCGGGTACAAGGAATCCTCCAGTTGCCCTCCCCCACGAC